TCTTGAATTAAATATAAATATGCGAAATCGTTGATTTTGTATGGGAAATGGGTGGCCCCCACTAGGGTGGCCCCAGTAAGGGTGTTTCGACTTATTAGATGTTCGACACCCAACTTCTCGCGCAGAAACGGCAGTATCCCCTGAGCGACCAGAGCAGACCTGTATCTAGGGGCTCCCAGGGAAGTGCTCTCATGGCCACCGTCAGTCGGTGGGTCGATGATGGTGAGTTTGCTGAATTCGGCTGCCAGTTCGGGATTGGCTGATAACATGGGCTTATGCACTGCGGCCCACTGCCCTGCTACCTCATTTGTGGCGGGTGTGTCTATGGTCGTGTTTACGAGACAATGCACAATGACGACGTTGGATTCGCGTGCCTTCGCTAGGAGTATCTTGGCTGACTTGATAAGCTTTTTGTTTGGTTTCTGAGTCTTGGGTCATATTGACAAGTACATTCTGGTAGTCGAGAAAGAGCAAGGCTGTCTTGGAGGGGGGGTAGCTCGACGGCTTGCTAGGGCCAAGGGTACTCATGGTGATACGTCGACAATTTTCGTTGATATGAACATATACATACAGACGTAATGACGACAACAGAATGAAGTTAGGTAGGTAGCTAGCCTTCGACGTATGTTGGGAGGCCAATTTCGCTGATTCCGGGTGGAGCGGCTAGCAGTCAAGTTACGGAATAAAGGGGTAGTTAGCCTTTCGTATATTTCTCTTTGTTCCCTATAAGTACCTAGGTGCTATAATTAATTATAAACACGCAAGGTACCTAATTATAGCTCTGGTCCCTTACCTGTGCCGTAGCCCTTATATGCATATAGCTCGGTATTTTGGTAGTGTGTGTATCGTATGTGTTATGTAGTATTTTAATGGCTTGAGTTACATAGCTTTTTAAAGGATCCGAAAGAAGAATTATATACGAAGCCCTCTCTGGAGCCAGTTGTAACTGCGAGGTTCAAATAACGAGGGCTACAGAGACAGAGTCATGATGTTTCTGAGCAAATATGCTTTTCCGTCAGTTAGGAGACTTATAATGCTAACATATGCTCTATAAACATTGCATCTAATAAACCATGAAAACCCCTCGGTGTGGTTTGGATCTGTTCATATTACATCAATGGTAAGGACCAATATCTAACCCCCCCTTAATAATATACTCTCAATCCATTTAATTCCATTCTTGACTTTCCAAAAGATTGCTTGCTTCGCACTCTTTGACCTCCGTTTACACCCTAAGAGGTACCTAATCTAGAACCGCCAGGGAAAGAAATCGAGAACACCACATGGAAGAACTTCGAGGCATCTAGCGGCCAGCCCTTTCTGTATATGCCTAGCTTTATGAAAGATTATACTTGGGATATTCGTTGGTAAGCTTTCATCTACCCGATCCCTGGCACGAAATTCATCTTAAAAACACGAGAGTGACAGATTATGAGAAACGCTGAATGTGCAGTATGCGAGGCAAAAATCTACCACCTTTTACGAAGCTCTACTTGCAAGTGCTTTTATAATCGAAGGCTGGTAGGTCCTAAAAGCCAGAGCGGCAAAGGTGATAGCTATTATTGGCCTGAGGATCATTATGAGACATCAAAGACGCTGAAACCCGAGTTAACGAAGACAGCTAATCACCCACACACTTTTAACAGGCCTTGAATGGGCGTTCTTATACGAGTGACCAAGTAACTATTAATAGGTATAATAAATGGTGTTTTAGCAAAAAAGTCTATATAAGCTAGGGTCCCCACTTACTTGTGAAGAAGCTTGTTTAGTTAATCAAGTCACTCATATTCCTGATATACCGTATCCTTCACTAAGCTCTATATAATTATCAATTGCTCTTATAGTTATCCTTAACACTCGAACCTTCCCTCGAAACAATATGGCAAGTATTGGGCGTTTTACTCCGAACGCTAACTCATGTTGCCTTTGCTATAGTATAGAGTTGTAAGTCTTCGACGATGAGTTATAAGAGTGTGTGTTGCGTGTTGTTAAAGTTCGTGGTTTAATTTAACATGGTTTCTATCCTCGGTTAAGAGTTTATTTCGATATAATTTGGGGTGAATATGTTCTCAAGATGTATTTACTATATAGGTACCTGATAATTACTACGCAACTATATTTGTTTTGAAGTTATTTATATATAATCAAGGTCGGATAATTGTATACGTCGCATTTCTTTCGGGGAGATTTATAAGAACCAGCTTTCTTTCTCGTCCTGGCGTTAGATAGGTAACCAACAAAGCTAACAACTTATCTGAGAGACTCAGATCCACCAAGCTACTGCAGTTCTGGGTCCCGACCCGTCGAGCTATGATTATAATGCTTAACTGGCTTCAGAGGGAATGTATCAGATATGCTCTCATCAACACGAATCCAGCTCCTGGACGCTTGCGGATCTTCGACTTCAGGCCAACCATGTACTGGCGTGTTCGGATGGGGACCTCTTGACTGATTTCCGCTAACGCCCCGAGTTCTAGTCGAATTCGCCGCCGATAACCCATGCCAATTTCGGACTGCCCTTATCGCCTTGGAATCATCACTAAAGAGAGGCCCAAGTGTAGGGAGGCAGGCGCAGAGGATGGCTACACCTGACTGTATTTCTCCCCATAGTATAAGGACACTAAAGTCAACTTGATGATTGTAAGTATTTCTAATAGATGCAGGTATTAACTAAAGGAGTAACTTACAATTCTTGGTTGGGTCTGGAAGTGGATATATCGCTGTCAAGCGAACGATGCTTGCAATGCATACACTACGCTTGTTAACTTAGACCACCCAAGGAAGTTCATGCAACTCACAGTCCTCCTAATATAAAAATAACCAAGAGAGAGATCCTCCTTGTCATAGATAGCTGGAGCTTTCCCAATATGCCAAAAGGGATACAGATGATCACCACATCCAGGAGTAGATTTGTCGTTTCATACCCTAGAAGGAAGTCCGTTGCATTGAGGCAATATTCTTGTGAGTTGAACTGAGTCCAGAACGCGTCGATAGGATCGCATTGAAATGTTATGATGAATATAGCGACAATGAACCAGATGATACATAGAACGGCTGTGGTTATGGTTGCTCGCTTGGAGGTCTTGTTTACTGAGAATAATGAGTAGTAAAACCACAAGATGCTCAATTTAACAGTAGTAATAATTCCGCTAAACAGGAACTCGCAGATCCAGGCCATCTTTTTGCCATTTAGCCCCTTGTCGTTTTCCAATTAGTGTCAATCGAGTATAACTTACTTTCAGAAGTTCGATCACCTCGGGAGGCTCCAAAGGGGGACCGGTTTCAAACGCGCCATGTCTGACGATAACTAAATTGATATTCAGTCCAAGTCTTGTTAAAGAAACCACTGGTCTAGGAGCAAGCGCCTACAGTCGATTATGAGACCACATTGGGCGCAATAGAGAATCAAGGACACGATACACAGCCAATCGTGGCCTTTAAGACATTGACGCTGACTAACTCTCACCCAGATTCTTAGGAGAACGACGATAGAAGTCAAACCAATCAAAACAGCACAAGTACGCAAATTATCTTGTCCGCTAGAGGTAGTGGAATGTGGCGTCGAGGATATGATAGAACCCATCTGTCGGGTTGGTGGACGCGGTGGCCTCCAGCGAATCGAATGGGGTTAAAATTGAAGCAAAAGACAAAACCAACAATAAGGATCCCATGTCACTTGATGTTCTTCTAAAGGTCCATGAATATTAAATAAAATACCATGCTATAAAAAAGGCTGGTGCTGTTGGTGCGGCAGTGCCTACCTACAAGGCTCGCTGATAGGTCAGTTATAAGACGGACGTAAGCGGCACAGGCGGCCAAGCAGAAGCTGATGCCGGTATAAATACCACTTCATAATCTTTTAATGGATGATGACTACCTAGTAGTCAGGTACTCACTCTCTGTTATATCTTACGTAACTTCGCTATTTTCAACCCTCCTTTCAGCTGAATTTAATAGATATATCTCGAAAAGGTAGGCTTGGAACAAGATATAAGTTTATGAAAGGTCCGTGTCACTTACTTAAGCAAGACTTAAACCGTTTATTTAGCTAAGAAGTGTGTATTAAACGGTTAACAATTAAGGATTAATCCGAAATACTTCCAAACAAAAAGGCTTTTCATAAAGTTATTTTAAAAATGTTTATAGACGTTAGCTAATAACCTTTCATAGAAGACATGCTTTTTTAACAATATTGCAAAGGTCGGAATAACCTCTTATTATCTTGCAAATCCGGTACGTTATCCCTGATCTTGCCTGGTTCCTTAATTAAAGCGCAACACTCTCTAGGTGCGAGGAGGCGAAAGCCAGTACTACCTAATACCGGTGCAACTGCAAGGGTAATGCATAGGTAGGTACCTCGGTATATATAGATCGCAAGCGGGATTAGCGACGCCAATCCCGGTGAATAGGAACTCAATATGTAGAAGCCCCCGCATATGTAGGTGACCACCCATCGTGTTCATGACTTCAGCTTGCGGGAGTTGCCGCCGGCAAAGGGACGTGAACTGACGATTTTCCGACTAACTATCGGTCCGAGATCGACCTATTCAGCTACCTACTAACCGACCTGAACATATTAGGGTTGCACTGCTGGATACACCGTTGGTTGCATGGGTTTGTAAGTTTGTAAGCTCGCAAGTTTATACTCGGCTCGTTTCTTATGGGCCAAACAAAGACCACAGCGTGGAGCGTACTGCTGTAAATCTCAATGCTCAATGCTCAATGCTCAATGCCGAGCCGAGGTTCTTATCCTGTAAATGATCGGCATATTCGGATTTACATAATGGACATTGTTTCGTACGGAAGAGACTACCAAAAGCAAACCAACAAGCATCCATCAGCGCCCACATAATACGAAATCCGATACATCTTGCCGCATGCTGAATCTCGCATATTATACATACCTGGCTATCATTTCCAAAAAGTATTCTCGGCCGAGGCATAAGCAACTTGTGTAGGTACCTATGTAATTGTTTGAGTTTCCTAGCATCTCAGGGCCATAAGCAGGGTATAGGTCTGTGCTGCAAAACGAGGGCAAGACACGGGAAGCTCGGACAAGCAGGCAGGCATAGGTATTTGCTGTGAATAAATAATTACATTTTGAATTATGTCCCGGAGATACCCCACTAGATCGGGGGAGAACTACATTTAGGGCTACGATGCATGCTGCGTCTCCATAACATGCGACGAGAACATGGTATATTTGTACTGTGACCGACTTATCACATCAGGGATGTAGTTATGTACATACATTCATACGCCCCCACGTGAAGGGCCTTGTCCCCGAACGAGCCCGCCAATCATGGCTCGCTTTTATGGTATCTCCCACTTGTATCTCCGCCCCCTGATCGCGGCATCACCAACCTGGTTAGCCTTGTCGCGTACGGATCACCTCAAGGCTTAAGAGACCCTTTCCACGTGGGTCTATAACTCCACTACTTAAGCTTATAGAAACACAGACCAACGACTATCTCTGGGGGCCCGAACTTGTTACCCCTTTTGTTTATATCGATGGTACTATGGCATGGAGCTCACGGATAACGTTACGAGATATTATGTACTAATGAGGAGATCGGGGTAGGAGCTGGAGAAAAGACGATCGATTGTGTTTATCAGCAATACCTAGCATCATTAATAATATGCGTTCGGTTCTATGTATATTAGGTCGTTGTTATAAAAGCAAATACTACAACACAAACCTGTTTCCTCGATCAAATAAATCCATGGCATTACCGAATACCTGTCTGGGTAAACACAGAGGCCTCGTCCATGGTTAGAAGCAGGCTGGTAGGCGTACAACATGCTTTCATACACATGGCATAACTGCCGCCTCCACCATAGGCTAGCACTACCTAGTTAGAGGATTCTAATATAATCAAGCGTGTGCGGTACGACCCTTGGTCGCATCGTTGCAACACGATGCTACCTTGTGGCCCTTGTGGCCCACATATGCGGGAAAGTCCAAATATGCAAAACAACCATCTGCATTGCAACACAGTAGTTCTATGCTCCGTAGTAGTGATGGCTTCATGACATTACACGTGCTAATGCTAGGTGTGTAGGCCGAATCCCGAAACAAGAGTGATTTCCTGTTCATGGTGAGCAAAACAAAGGTGGTTAATCGCCTGCCTGCCTCTGCCTGTCGGGTTCGTAGGTGGCTTCGATTTAGCGTAGATTTTGACGTGTTTATAATACACAAAGTTGCCTCACCTTTCCTTCTCCTATACACCAGACATCTTCACCTCTACTCTTACTTATCCTGCCATCTCTTCATAGTGTACTACGTAGTGTATGTCCACAATGGCATTGTCACGCTCAACTCAGCCGCTTAAAGCTCTTTACATAATATACTTTACTTTGAAACTTCCATTTATATTAATCTCACTTATAATATATTATACTATCCCCTCATTACGACCTATAAGACAATGGAGCATAAGAACAAGTGTAGCCACTTACATTATACGCATATTTTTCAACCTCGTGTCGGTAATTGGTCTTTCGAGCCTTCGACCCCTAACTCCAGAGAAGGCTAAAGAACGGTTTGCCTATATCGAACCCGGTGACGACAAGCTTTACTCCGGCGTCTTATCCCCAGCAGCTATCAAGCCGGTGCCCTTAAAAGGACTTTGGGATGCGAGTCTAGGTGGTCCAGTAACCATTGACAAGTCAAAGGTCCTCCTTCTTTTCCCTGGAGGTGCCTTTGTTTTTGCTTTCGATCCTTACGAGGGGTCCAACATCGTCTCGGATCTAGTGAGACGTGTTCCAGGGGCCAGGGTATTCCTCGCCCAATATCGACTTGCCACCTCCCCCGCCGGTCGATTTCCAGCCGCAATCCAAGACGCCCTTACCTTTTACAACTACATACTAGACCTCGGCATCGATCCGAAAGACATCGTTTTCTTAGGAGACTCGGCTGGAGGCAACGTTGCCGTGGGATTATTAAGATACCTAGAGGAAAGTCAAAAGCTTCCACTACCAGGCGGTGTGCTGGCATACTCGCCATGGGTTCACGTAACCAACGATTCCAAGAGGCAATACGGAGACTCTCCTAAGCTACGGACCGACTGCATCAACTACCCCGTCCTCCAGACCGGATACGACAAGTACATCCCCGAAGGTGGAATGACACCGGAGGTAGCGCCGTACTTTTCCCCTATGACGCACCCATTCAGGACGAGCGTGCCGGTATATATCCAAGCCGGGGAAGCTGAAGTTTTCTACGACGAAAACAAGCAATTCGCAGAGGCAATGGAGAGAATAGAAGGCAACAAGGTGAAATTCCACACGATAAAGCACGCACCACACGACCTCATCCTATCGCATAGGATGGTCGGCTTAACAGCTGAGGCGACCGCCTCGGTCGAGGACGCCATAGCCTTTGTTACCAAGAACGTCGATTGAAAAGGGCAGACATGTGATAGACATAGGCCAAGATGTTATGTAGGTAGATGCATTGACGATAGAGGCCACCCCGCCCGTCGGGCCTTTTCAGGGCATGCACGTAACACGATGCAGACGCTCAGACTCGAGATCACTCGTTTTTGATGGAGCAAGCTCGGGGAATTTTTAATGGTTTAATGATAATGACGAATACGGAATATTGCCAAGGTGATACATACGGAATAGGTAGGATGGTGTTAGGGATGCCACGTGGTTTAACCCCTGTAAATAGCTTCAGTTTACATACATTGGCTAGGTAGCCAAGGTGTCTTTTTTACTACGCCGCAGGCTAATCTTGGTTCTAATCTACTATGTAACGACTTGAGTTATTTTTCGCCCACATCAGTTATTGGTTATAGCGCACACTATGTAAAGATGGGTTGTAAATGAACTAGTTATCCCGTTTTAACTTGTACCAGTTCATCGCCATATTGATTTGATGGTGTATCAATCACGTCTGCTGTAATACTGCAGCTGAACAATATTCTTTACTTTTTGGACCAACTACAAGTTATACCCCAATTAAAACAAGTCTACCGAACCAACACCCAACGTAAGCTTAGAGGTTTTCGAGGAATGATGTAAGATACTGGCCGATCAATTCAATGACTTAAACTGCACTTAGTGATAATGTTGGTGTAAGACGACGAGAATTAAAACGACAACTACTGGTTTAATCACTAGCTTTTTCTTGGTCCAAAAAGCCAACTGCATGTTCCCTTTACACTGGTGTAACCTTGTGATAAGAGCTGATGAGTTAATGTAGCATTATTAAAGTATTCAATCCCGGGTTCAAATGTATAAGATAAAACTTTTTATGTAGTACTAATGTTCCGTCAGTAATGCGGGACAACAACTTCACGTTGCAGTCTTGAAAACCCTGTATGTCATGAGGTAGCATTAAAGGTATAATTCCTTACATAATTGACAACGACCAAGCAAAAAGATGTTGGCAATTCGTAATATGTGTAGAATATAGTAGCTGCTTGAATTAAGCAACATGACTTTTGAAGGCTAATAGGGGTAGGATAATAGGGGTAGGCTACCGGAGGCTCTTACGGCTCTACGCTTCGTACGAATTTACTACCGTACCAAGCTATTAGGCAGCTTCATGTTGTAGGACTTGTGGCCAGCAACTACCAATTCATCATATATTTAATTTCAAACATGATAGTTATATCTCAGATAGCTAGTTCTTGTATATGCCGCTTATTTTTATACTAACAAAGTAACCTAACTACTTGAATAAAGTCAATATCCTCACAAATTCTACTCTAATATCTATCCATTATTTACCTTTTAGTGAACATGTCAAATCCAAATAATTAACACTAACAGGACATGGGCACAATGGAAAGATCTTATAGTATTGCCATAGGTAGTAATATATCCCTAACGTATCAAAAAGCGTAGCGGACAAGAACGCGCCCAAGCTCCCGTGTAGTCGCCGCCTACATGATCAATCCAAAATTTACCATGATCCGCAGCATCGCGTTGGATTCTTTTGGCAGCTCTCCTAGCATCTCGTGCTCATTTCTGCCTCTGCTTTTTACATGCAGCGCACATGCCAATATCGGTGTACCTCATCTCCTTCGTCGTCAAGGTACCGCACGAACCGGCGGCTCCCCCCTCGCGCACCTTCTTGCAGCGAATAACTTTGCCTTTGTACTTCGGCCCGGTGAACCGTCCGCAGGTCAGGCATAGAACGCTCATCAACTCCTGTGTACACATTGTAGTTGTGTATGCGCTATGATGCAGCGCACCGGAAGTAGTAAGCAGTAGGGTCAAATGAAGGGGGAATGCGACAAGGCCACGAGCTAATAGATGGATCTGATATTTTGCTTGAAGGCTAGTGTCAAAGTGAAGTGCTGGGTCGAAGGCAATGTCGGTTCGGGTCCGATGATGCTGGAATTGTCGTTGTTGTGGTTGTGATGGTGGTGATGGTGGTGGTGGTTTGGACTTAAGGATAACTAGGAAACTTAGGGGATATCCTGTACATATAGGCTTATTCCGCCATATTTTCCAAACCGCCCAGTCGTTTAGTGACTCCGAGAGTGTATCTGCTGGGACGTGTCATTTTCCGTTATTTTATCTTTCTCGGGAAAAGGGGGTGAAGTGTAGTTTAAGTAAGATTTGTGAGTAACGATATGTAGATGATTCAGAACCAGCGTTAGAATTAATTATATCATCTGATTGTTAACCTATCGTTAGAGACCAAGTTATTCATCTTCTGATCCAGTTAGGTGAAAAACGAAGCTTGATGCGTTGCGAAGTACGTAGATTATGCCTGCCAAGAGCATGCAAGTCACTTCAATTTCCATTCCCAAGCAATCTGGATCAAAAACTAGATACTGGACGTGTATTTGCCTTCCACCTATATGAGGTAGGATGATTAAGAAAGAAGTTCTGATGATTTGACAGGGGAAGGTCTTAGGAAAAGGAAAGGGGAATGACACGATCTGTACCTCTTGAGTAAATTTATTGCCGCATTAGCATACCTGACTGTCTCCTGATCATGTTCCTGGTTATGTTAAATCTGAAGTTATCCTAAAGGCGGACATCTATATATCCTTAGGTACATATGTAAGAGCCAAGAGCTGGGCCATAGAACTTAAACCAGCTTATTACCCCGGCCTGCCGCGCTAACGTTAAAACAAAATAGAAAGTCTAAGCGAGTCTTCATGATTGAACACTCTATTCATTCATTCATTATATACTACACGCCTCATTAAGGGCCTGGGCGGGCTATAGCCGCCTCTCCTATTGACCTACGGCCCCCGCGGCCCACTGTCCAAAATCTGGGGCGTCCGGCTGCGCGAACAAGTTGCCTCCTTGCTGGCCCTGCGCCTGTTGCTGCTGTTGTACACCACCTCCTCCTTGCTGACCTTGTCTTGCAGCCTCGGCCTCAGCCTGAGCGTGTGCCTGCTGCCTGCGCGCGCGGTAGTACATGAGGATGACTATAGCGCCGACCAGTCCAAGGATGATCAGGCTTTCGACCACGGCGTCTACGTCATCGAGGCCGTCATTTAGGGGTTCCCCATCGCTGCCCGTGATCATGCCCTCGTCGAAGGCCTCGTATCCCTCCTCGTAGTAAATATCTTCCTGGAGGAAGTTGGCGATCCACTCGCTGAGTGACCAGTCCTTTCTGGGCGCTGTTCGGATATACGTCTTAGTCTACATGTAGATAGCGAGAGAGAGAGAGAGAGAGAGAGAGAGAGAGAGAGAAAGAAAACGAATAAGACTTACAAGGTTCGTCCTGGATCGAGTTTATGCGGCCATGGGTGAACGTATTCCAAGCACTGCGCGCTCGGAGTTTAAGGAGGCTTAAGGTCACCGGTAGGTAGGCTTCCTCATTAGCCTCGAGGGCCTGGTCGTAGTATCTCTTAGCGAGGTGGAAATCCTGCGTCAAACCAACCCCATTCTCGTGCATCCAACCAAGGTTATAGAGGGCTTGCGCGCTTTGGAAATACTCCGATGCACCACTATAGCACTGAGCCGCTTTGTCAAACGCTGTTTCGGTACCGATCCCGTCTAGATAATAATCGCCCATTTTAACCAGTGAATCAATGTTAGATTGTATAGCTGATCTGGTCCAGTAGATCAGAGCCAGGGCAGAATTCTGAAGCAGGTTAGGCTTTGCCGGCTGGCGGTGAAGCCATGGTGGTAGGGGTAGTCGTGACTGGGACGGGTCTAACATAAAAGCGACATTGTTCTGCGCCTTTTCGTATCCTTGCTCTGCAGCAATAAGATAATCAAGGAAGGCAAGCTCGTAGTCGCCATCTTCGTAAGCCTGGTTAGCTTCTGCCCAAGATGACACCAGAGGCTCTGCCCTTTCGGCAACGCTCTTGTAATATACCATAGCCATGCCGCACGTTTTGTCTCTCCCAACCCCGTGATGCATCATCTCGGCTAGATAGTACTGCGCCTCAATATTGGCCCACCGAGCAGCCGCTTCGAAGTAAGAGTTGGCAATTTTCAGGTCGTCAGGAGTACCCTGGTCGAGGTGGAGAGCTCCTAAGGCCACGTGAGAAAGGCTAAAGTCCTGGTCTGCTGAAGCCTTGAAAAGCTCTGTGGCCTTAGAAACATTCTTGGGAATCCCAAGGCCGTGAAGATTCATAATACCCAGGCCCCATTGGGACTGGGCATCGCCGTGCTTAATTCCGCGCTCAAACCATCCCCTAGCTAGCTTAAAGTCCTGCCTGACTCCTTCTCCACGTAACCACATCCGGCCGATATAACCGGCGGCCTTACTAGCATATTTCTCCAATTGAGGCTTGGGTTGGTCAACGGGACGGCCATCTTTGGTGCGCCAATACATTGTTGTTACGGCGGCAAAGTACCGTCGAGCTAAATCGACGTTCCTTTCAAGGCCCCGCTGACCTTCGTAATAAAGTCTCCCTAAATTGAACGAAGCCTTAAAATCACCCTTCTGGGACATTAAATCAAGGTATTCGATGACGTCGTCGATGGCGGCGTAGGCATGAGAACTGGGGTCAGCCTTCAGAGCGTTGATACCGGAACTTACAACGCTGGCCCCTTCGCCGTACACACCACCTACGTCGTCAGATAACCGATGCGCTTCCGGTGTGAGGGCCATTCCACCAGGTGGCCCTGATCGGAACCAAACCATGGCTTTGTCCGCCACCCTCTTGTAATACTTGCAAGCCATTTCGCAACTCTTAGGTACACCAACACCGCTAACATGGCGGGCCGCCAGGGTCATTTCCGACCTCGTGTGCCCTGCATCGGCGGCAAATGTATGGTATAGAAGAGCCTTTGATTGATCCCGCTCTACCGCATCCCCCAGTCCTGTCGCATATATCAATCCCACCATATACTGCGCGGAACTGTTCCCATACGAAGCTAGTCTGTAGTAGTGATCGAACGCGGTCTTGAAATTTCTCGGGTGGGAATAATTTCCGAAGAAGTTGAACTGCGCTAGTAGGTAAATCGCATCTGTGTTATTCTGGTCGGCCGATTGCTGTAGGAGCTTGACGCCCTCGAGGAGGGGACCGGTGATAACTGGTGGCGCATGTTCTTGTGGAGGAGCGCTAGCTCGTATACTCGGTAAGATCTTTGGTAAATAATGGAATATTATCCCAAAAACGCTGGTTGGCTTTTTTGATTTTCTGTGTAAATGAGGTGCTTTAATCTTTCGGAATTCGGTCATCGCCTCATGGACAAGCTCCCATCCTATTCCATGTTAGATCCCCGCCGTTCGTTCCAGAATCACATAGTTACGGCGGCTTACCGCTTTGGTAGGGGGTCCAGGCATGTTGCTCGTCTTGAACGACATCGGTCTCGGCAGCTTGTTGAAGATTCGCGGTCGCACTATCATCCTCCAATACTTGTTGTTCGGCAGCGGATGTAAAGGCGATAACCTGCAAAAGCACTATTCGGAGCAGGGATTAGCGCACATAGCTTACAGCGATATTAGATTTATAAGGCGAAACTTACGGAGCGCTGAGACGAACCAACGCCTCATGGTAGATATTCTGCTAAGAGCAAGGCTTTAAATGCTGTATTAATATCATGATCTCCAAGGAGGTAATCATTAAGTGTTGTGTGTGTGTGTGTGTGGAAAAGTTGTCGTATGAAGTATGAAAGGAAGTCGTTCGGGGCTTGGAACTTACAAGCTGTCCAGATCGATCGGTACAAGCAATGGTACTTCCGTACAACTTGCATACGTTGAGAAGCGACAGCCCCGTCTAGAGATCAACTTGCCTCCGATTGGTCAATGTCGCCACAACCTGTGGGGCTATACTTTTTTAACAACTAAAAGTTTTAGTATCGGATCTTATCTTCATAAGGCTGAATTAGTGCGAATATTCATATTTCACAGATGACATGAGCATGTTATTAAAGCAAAACTTCAAAAGGCATTTTATCCAGTTTACAAACGCTAGATTATATACAACAGACCCACGCAGCTCATTAATTATATTACAGGAGCAAATAGCCTGAATTTAGGCGATCTACCAAATACTAGAACCTCTTAGTAGAGGTAAGAAGAAACGCCATGTATCCTCTTAATTGCGTAGACGGGTACAGGATACCAGTTCGCGAGGAGGTCTACGTTCTCGACATCATCCCCCTCGCAGCAGGTCCGGCGACTATCTCCTCGGACCAGAAGCTATCCTTATTTAATCCCACAAGTCTAAAAGCAGGGCCCCAGCTCAATCTTCTCACGCGACACGGCAACATCACCTGTGCCAAGGCATATGACGCAGGGAGCGCTATAGTGTGTACGGCGGGCGAGGATGGCAGCGTATCGATGTGGGATCTAAGGCAGGATGCGCGACAGGCTGAGGTGGCGAGACTAACAGGTTCGTTCATCGCGGCAGATAGCTAGCTGCATTTGTATTTTACGGACGCAATGCTGAGGATTTATATAGATAATCAAGTCTCCGTGTTGTCTTTAGCATGCTCAAGTGCTGGCTTCTCAGTCGCGGCTGGAACCGAACTGCAAGACCACCAAGCATCTATATTAGTATGGTGAGTGTGTTGAAGAAGTATCGTAATTCCTTGTTGTAATATGCTTATACCTGGATGCTTAGGGACGTCCGCTCAACTCCCATCCCGAAGCTTCACTATAAGGAAGTCCACAGCGATGATGTGACAGAGGTTTGCTTTACCTGGTACGAATGATAGATACCCAACACTAACGCAACTTAGCTGAATTTCCATCCTAACGACCACAATATTCTCCTATCAGGATCAACCGATGGCCTTGTAAATATCTGTGATACAAGAATCACTGATGAGGATGAAGTCGTAATCCAGACCTTCAACCACGACGCCTCCATCCACCACGCAGGGTTCCTAAACGATACTGAAGTATACGCATTGTCCCATGATGAAAAGCTAGCACTTTATGATGTTGCCGAAAACCACGAAAATGGAGCAGCAACGACAGATTTTGGGGATATGCGAGAGGTCCTTGGCTGCCAGTATATTGCCAACGTCACTGCGAAATCGAATGGGGCCGGGGCCGTGATTGGCGCTGGTGCACACGAGTAAGTTGTATCTGTACCAGAATAGCTCTTGTATCCGTGCTAACCCTGTGACATGTGCAGCCAACAAGCATTCCAATTGATCCACTTGACAAAAGGCCAAGGATGGAATCTAGATCGAGATAGCAGTGTCAGCTTACCTGGAGCCCATTCTTCGGAGATTGTTCGTAGTTTCTGCTTCTACGACGAGGCGCAGACGGTCTTTAGCGCTGGCGAGGATGGATTTATCAAAGCATGGAAGCCGAACGCATAATCCAATAATTTTGTCCATCCCTTTCAAGAGTATTTGTCGTGCTTGTTCTTGGACTTCAGATCCAGTAGCTGCTCGTAGTAATCGCCCTCCCTTCTCGCTTTCTTTAGATTTCTAACTTCATCCTCGTTGAGTCGCCTGCCTACAGCTTCCTCAAGCTCCTGTCGACTGATCCTTTCCTTCGCCTTCTCCTCCTTCGTTGCCTTAAGTCGAGGTTTGAAGCGCGCTTGCATGCGAATCCTCAATGTAGTATCGAAGCTTATTTCTGTAGCATCTCCACGAACCTCGGGTGTGCCATTTGCCTTCGTAGGCTCCTTGATAGTTAAGAAAGTTTCACTTTGCGACTGGATCTGGAATGTACCCGGTGTTTCAGGAGTCGGAATCACGGTCCACGTTTCGAGAGGCGATATAGCTTCGGATGTCGCACTAAGGATGCCATACTTGTCGCAGCTGAGGTACCTAGACAGTAGCCCATTAGCAATCGAAAAACAAGCAAAAGCGACAGGAATAAGCACATACTTTCCGTACCGGCCTTTAAACCTAAAGCTCTCGGTGCCGTAGATCTTATTCGCAACCCAAACCTGGCGCACGTCGTGGGGTTCGGCGCTGGTAGGATTCGCGTCGATGATGTTCACGATGGGGTCGGTGAAGATCTTGCCGTTAGCATCGCAAGCTAAGCAGGTCGGAGGTTCTGTTGGAAGTACGATCATAACCGGGCCTTGAACATCTCCGACGGCGTCAGCTGATACCCAGCTATCGTCGTTTTCTGCACCCTCGGCCGTCGTGGCGACTGTAAGACTGCTAGGACCTGCATCTTCGGCAGACGGGTCTGCTTCGGTACGCTTTCTCTTCTTGGGCTTCTTGTCGCCCTTGAAGGATAGTGGCTTAACCATGTTGATATCACCTTTAATATCACCTGATATCCAATTGCTTTCTGGTGCGTGCTGACGCTGTATAGAATTAGAATAACGGGATAGGTTGTTGGTGTTTTGGGTACTTCGTATATGTAATTGTTTGGATAATAGGGAGCTCCGATAAGAAAAGCACTGGCGTCACTCGATACGAAGTACCTATGTATTGTACAATGGCTTCATTATTATTAAAACAGAGCGGTCCGCCAAAAGTCTCCAAAGTTTTATTTGATTATTAACAGGTAACTACGAAATGTCAAACACTCGATTCAATTTTTCGTCATTTCCAGTATTCTATTTATCTTCTTATGACAATGTCGTCATATCGTCCACCGTCTCTTAGTAAAGATAGGTACCTAGGTACTCTAGGAGCCATTGCCAAGTACCTATTTAGCGGGAAGCCCCTATGGTATGTAGCTCGGAATGCGCCGGTGGTCAGGTTTTTTGGTGCAAGTATTATTAGTGAAATGCCGACGGTATCCTTAGGGCGAAGCTGTAAAAAGATATCGAAACACTCTCAATATTCTTCAGATAGGTACATATCATATGCCTACGAACCTAGCTCGGCTTTCGGTTCTGCCTAATTATTCCAAACTAACCATATTCTTACTTGCTGAAGCTTTCCTAGCAAGTAAAAATGGCGACAACACAGCCAGTCGTTGTATCATTAGCTGATCTCAAGACCGGTAAGCGTTGTAGTATGAGACTCTTTAGGTAGTACCCATTGCTCACCATTTAGGGAACATCTCTTTTGAGAAACTACAAGAAGCCTTTGGCCCGGAGTCGCTAGGAATTCTAGTCGTGAAAGATGTCCCGGCAGAGTTTCCAAGATTAAGACACCAGCTACTGTCGTATGCCTCATATATGGGCAACTTACCAGAGGCAGACTTTGGTACGTTAGGAACGATTAGATTGTAGTTAATCACTACCACTCGAAAATCATCTTACAGATTTTTAGATAAGTTCACGAACGAAGCTGCCAAGTATTTAGTAGGATGGTCTAAAGGTAGAGAAAAGCTCAAGGATGGGGGCGCCGACGAATACAAGGGCTCCTTTTACGCCAACTGCGCATTTTACGTAGATCCGTCCTTGGAGTCCGCGAAACCGACGGAACAGTTTTCTCTGAAAGATTTCCCCGAGTACTTGGCGCCAAACTCATGGCCGCCCAACGAGATGCTGCCGGGTTTCAGGCCCACGATGGAACAGATGTGTAGACTCATAATTGATACAGCCGTATTAGTTGCGCGAGCTTGTGACAGGTTCGCCGAAAAAGAAATCTTAGGGTACCCTTCAGCCTACTTGGAGAAAGTAGTCAAGTCTTCGTCGACAACGAAAGCCAGACTCCTACACTACTATCCCATGCCCGAGGAGGCCATGGCGAAAAGTCAAGAAGGGGACAATTGGTGTGCAGTTCACAAGGACCACGGCTGCTTGACAGGCCTAACATCTGCTATGTTCGTTGACGAACTGAAGATAGACGCGAAGGTCCCCAGTTCTAGCGGAAAGGTGCCGGACTTGCTACCGACATTGGAGGAATTACCCGCGTCGCCAGATCCGCAAGCCGGACTCTGGATTAAAGACAGAAAGGGTGTACCGGTCCAAGTTAAAATCCCCCGGGATTGTATCGCCTTTCAGACCGGCGAGGCACTTGAAAGGATTACTCGGGGCAAGTTCAAGGCCGTGGAGCACTCGGTAAGAGGAGCGTACGCTAAAGGTGTTGCTCGAAATACACTCGCCGTCTTCACGCAGCCAAATCTTGAAGACGAAGTCGACTTGGACCAACACATCACGTTCGGGGAATTTGCTAGGGGCATTATAGCGAAGAATACCGTCTAAGTAGCAAATTCTTTATTGAGATAGTATAAGAACTTTTACGTTTTGTCCGATGTGAGTAGATGATAAAATTACAACTTACTCCAGTTGTATGCCAGTGTTTGAAACTGAACATTCACATTTAAACATGCTCTAGTTAACTAACTACATAGTACCAAACTTATACATCACCTCCCCTTACTTTACCAATATTAGTAAGTGTCTTGCATACCTAAATACCTAAATACCTAGCTACATGTATATATGCTGCAGCTACCCCACTATAGGTACTAGAGCTATCACAACATATGGCGTCACTCAATGCATTTCCCATTACCTACCTAGGCATTCGGCATCTTTCCGTCCCAAAGCATTAACTACCTCGTAACTCGGCCCCCGTCACTTGTCAGTTTCCGATGCGTCTAGCTCGGAGTTTCTCCCCCTTTGTCTACAATAAAACCCAGGTTCTATCCCTCCAGACAGCCACTAGGTTAGCTAAATTTACCTCTTCAAGCTTTCGCCAATCCTCAAAAACACAATCAACCATGGCGCTAAACCCCAAGTTCGCTGGTCAGCGACTGCTCTTCGGACAGCCTTCCTCCTCCACAGCCGGCGTGCCCCCGGCCGTGCACACCCTTGAGCTGTTTCTCGATTACGTGTGCCCGTTCTCAGCCAAGCAGTTCAAGACCTTCTATCATTCGGTCGTGCCCCTCATCAAAGAAAACCCCAAGTGGGCCAGCAGCCTGCAGGTCATCTTCCGCCAGCAGATCCAGCCCTGGCATCCCTCGTCGACGCTAGTGCATGAGGCGGGCGTCGCTGTGTTGCAGCTCGCACCCGATCGGTACTGGGACTTCAGCGATGCCCTGTTCAAAGCGCAACTGGAGTATTTCGATGAGCCCGTCGTTAACGAGCTCCGCAACGACACCTACCGTCGACTGGCTAAGCTAGCCGCGACCGTCGGCATCGACGAGCAGGCGCTGTATGACTTGCTCGTCATCCCGGACAAGGTGCCACAGGGTAGCATTGGCAACACCGGAAACAAGGTCACCAACGATTTGAAACTGCAGATCCGGTACGGCAGACTGGTAGGCGTGCATGTCAGTCCCACTGTTATCTACGACGGCATTGTCGCAAACGATATCAGTTCATCATGGACTGCGGAGCAGTGGCAGGAGTGGTTGACTAAGAATCTCGGCTGAAGAAAACATTTAAGATACGGCATAAACACAGACAAGTATTATTTGTTCATACTTTGCATGAGTTCCAAGTGTATGGACCAGGGAGTACCTAGTGCAGGTTGTTAGGTATTCATAGAATATAATAATTACCTCATATGTCACCATAAGTTCCAGCTCATATCCGATGTGTAGTATAGGTACCTAAGGTACCTATACATGTAGTAATTATTCAAATCGAATCACCATTATATCGAACAGTCTTGAATAGTATCACGTCAATGAAGGCAATACATAGGTAAGTACAGCGAAAATGACAGAATGATAGCCGAAACCACCTGGCGACAACTGCCAAACACCACTTCAGCTGGCGTAAATCGCGTAGGTTAAATCTTAGTGAGCGTCACTTCACTTAGACACCATCAAGAGTTATAAGAGGGATTTCACATCAAACCCTCTCAATCATGTTAATCCTCGGAGCCATAAGAAGGGCTCAACGGATTCCATTGAGATACAATGCTATAAACTTCCAAAATGTAGCCCCCCGTAATCTTTCGTCTGTAAGGCAGAATTTTCGAGTCTTGGGCATGAGATTCGAGACAACCGGAACAAATACAACGAAGACAGCTACAGCAAACACCGCGGCTAGTCCCAAGCCGCAAACACCCAGATTCGGTCAGTCTCTCCGTGCCAGACTGTGTTCCAACGTACTAATTATCCCATAGCATACCCAGAGAACCTCTGCGTATACCACGCCGGCACAGGCCGGATAACCTTCCTAGCCTGCCTGAAGATCTCGACGCTCTTCATCTTCGCCTTCTTCGGCTTCGTCGTGACCCCCGCGTACCTCGACCGGGAAGGCCTATCGCCCACCGTGCTCCGCAGTATGCCCCTTATTACCCAGCCCCTTTCAACCCCTTCCGCATACTAACCCCAAACCACAGCAACGCTCTCGGCCATCATCCCCCTGCTCTTCGTAGCGTACACCACGTCCCCCTTCGTGTCCTTCATCCACATGCGCCTACCGCCCGTAGCGCGGCAGTCCGAGGACATGCTACGGCGATTCGCGCGTGCGATCCCCGCAGACACGGAGCTCGACATCACGACCATGAGCTTCATCGCCAAGCCGCGCGTGAGCCGCGTGAAGCTGTCGGAACTACGCCCCGTGTCCCGAAGGTTCGGCATCGTGAACCTCGCCCGGGACACCACCGCGGAGAACGCCGCGAGGAAGTGGTACCAGTTCCGCGCCGTGGGCGATTTCAACGCCCAGGGTAGCACCGCGACGCGTGCCCCGTGGGTCTGGGAGAGCATCCTGAATGTTATACAAAAGCCTCGGGTGTGATTTACGAGTCTTCCGCTATTCATAAGCTTTAATGTATATATACTCTCGGACGTCACCCGGCTCTCTACGGCAAGAAGTGGGTTAATTTGGCCTCTTCGAAGCGGCCTGCGGTAACGATTATAACACACTAAGAGCCGTGTCCCTCACCTGGTTCTCGGGCCATTGGCCATATCATGTAATGTACAACAGCTTCTGGCATAGCCAAGCAAATCAATCACTATAGCGGGCTAGAAGCTCTAAAGAAATAGGCAAGTCGGTTAGGGCGCACGGAGTTAATCAAGCCTATTTAAATATACTCATACTAAGAGAGATATCACTCGACGCAACCAACTACCGCAGTTCCAACGGAACGAAATTTATATCACGCTGGAAACATCATTAAGAAGTATTCTACGCATCTAATTCTCATATAATCAATACTCGACGTTGTATGTTTACATTCTAAACATGAACACGCTAACTATCCCTTACACAATATATTATACAGTGACTACCTATTGTGAGGGACCATGGTTATGATGAACTTGATATATTGTTAAAGGGAGAATACAGAGTCTCCTCAATCTATCTGAAGTGTTGACACCTTCCAACAATATACTAGGTCCGTCACTATGATGAGATGCCTCCCGCAAACATTAACGTCTAGAGCACGGAAAAAATTATATTCCTATCAATATCTGATCTTTATACCGAATAACCAGACACACATAAACCCAGTCACCCCTACGATAACATCAAGCTTGCGTCATCTAGAGGTACCTTGGCAACATTTACTCTAACTACATCCCCATCTGGGACTTGCGGTACTCATAGATAGATGGCGTTCTTAGTAGCAAACTCGCGTATAGTCTCCATGTCTACTACGCCGTCGGCTGTCTGGACGTCCTCATAAATATCTTTTGGCTTGCTGAGTATCTCTTGCGACTTCTGGGGTGTGTCCTCCTTGAGTATATTGTACAGCTTAATGAAGGCATCTGCGCCTTGCGCTCCTTTGATAGCGCGATAGACTGGGCTGGTCTATAGGTAATAATCGTTTTTGACGCATACCCAGGGATATCAACCACGCCGTTCACAACAGTTTGAATCCGAATCTGCTTCAAGAGTTGGCCGGAGCCCCCAGCATAGGGATCCTTCCACACCCGTGAGAATGTGAAGGAACCCTAGCCCAGAGTCTATCATGGCCATGAGCACCCCTGGTACCGTCGATGTTGTTTATTTATCCTTGGTGCCAAAGAGTTCCGGGCTCCATAAAACGCCACTGAGGATAAATAGCGAAGAAGGTTACATTAAAGCTGTGGACCATGTATTCCCACCACTGCTCCCATTATGTCTGCCACTGTCGACGCTCAATGGGCAAAGTCATACCAAACTGCTTGGAGATAAATGCATAGACCGCTGCGAAGTTGTTTCCCTACTATTTAGTTCCACCTCGTGACAGATAATGGATACCAGGGAGAATGATTTAGGGTGCGACCATCGTCATATGAATGAACAGGTTAGGTAGGTTATATAATAAGGCTTTCCCTCGCTCGCACAGTTGTTTGTGTAGTGTGCTTTTCAGTAAACGTTCGAAATAATCAGTGTTGGCATTCGTGATATTCCTCTCCTTGGGGAGTTGTTGGCAGTTAAAAGATTATTGCCTGGGTATTGCATATGTTTATTGACAACAACTCGTGTTATTGTTTGCGGTTAGTTGTCGTTAGGTAGATTGCTTAATTTTAGAAGGCCGACCATGGGAAGGTTTTGGTGTCAACGTTCAGTGTAGGTGTTAGGATGCCCAGCCCAGAGTGCACGTTCGAATCCCTCATGCAATAGTGCATAAATTCCAGCGGATCTGGGAACACCTCTGAAATGTCTTCGCAGTCCACCACTTTGAGACGGCTATGCGAATAACCGTTACATGTATATATTCCGGTGGACTTGGCTAGGTAGGTTCATAGTTCTTCGTGCAAAACCGTGTCGCGTTCGTATCGTTAAATTGCAGTATGACTGTAGAATTTGAGGTAAGACTGAATTATATCACGCGTTCCAGGCATCTATGGCGACGTTCTGGGAGTTGAATGAATGTTGTCGCATCTGTAGATAAAGTGTTAAGTTGACGGGTATGTTAACTACTATATATGTAGTTGTGGAATTTGGAATTTGGAAAGGCTGTTGAATTTAAGGATGTGGAAGAGAAATTAAGGAAAGAAGAAAAGATATGAAATATTCGTGGCTCGGCTTCTGTTTTATAAGGGCAGAAAGTGCCTTCCTGACTTTATGTTCGAAAAGCAATTCTAGAATTTATTTAGAAGGTGCAACTTCGAGCTACATATGCTCCTGCTGTCGTTTGCACTTGCCTACCTGTTTAGGAGTCAATTTTCCATAGCAACGACATTACCTAACATGTAGGTACCTAACTTACAGATATCTTAAAGGTAACGAAGTTGTGGTGCGACTCAAATTAGCCCACCAGTCAACCTAGTAGTTTCGATCTGGAAGTCACTACTTAGGTGCCTTTTCAACTCTGACATATACGCCATCATGCTACCTTAATAGCAGTCTCAATATAACGTCATAATTATACTATATACTTAAAGAATAGAAAAAGCAAGCAATCTCTTCTCTAAAATTTAAGGACATTATAAATAAGCAGGTGATCTCATTAAAGGGTAGACTATTATAGATGGTTTTGATAGTTAGGTACATGTATTCATTAATGGTTCCTGCTTACATGTAGATTGTTAAATACACTTTCTACAGTTCGAACGTGAAGGTTTGAGCAGGTTGCACATGAACTGATATGTACCTAAGGTAGGTACCTATGTAGAGCTTGCCTCCCATTAGGATGGAGGTAACCTCATGTAGTTATTAGGTTAGTACTTTGTGCAATGTAACTATTATGTAATTTGGAGAATGTGGGGTAAGAATTGGGGGAGTTCGTCGGCGATATCGCTGCTGGACCCTCTTTTATCTCATTTTCGTCATCTCTGTCATACTGATACGGCAAGAATACAGAAGCTTACCTTCTAAAGACCAGGTACAGACCTAGGCCTCTAGGAATGCATTATGTGTTCCGACGCATTAGTCTGTACTCTTTCCCTCCACATATAAGAAAGACTGCGATCTCGACTTCTTGCCGCACAATGGCTACACAAGGCGGTAGAACGTACAACGTATCTAGCCCAGACCCTAGCCCAGCCCCCGTGGGGATAAGGATGAAGCTGACCATATATTCCCTCAGGACGCAATCGATGCGCTCAACTCCCTTCAAACCCCATATGCTATCGTCGAGGCCCGCCGCAAGGCTGGCATCCGCCCAGATGCCGCCTCCATCGCCGAAATGCATGAGTACTTGCGACGCATTGGCTACACTTCCTCCGACCTCGACCGGCTGAATGTTCTGCACGTCGCGGGTACTAAGGGAAAAGGGAGCACGTGCGCATTTGCAGCATCCATCCTCTTGCACTATCAGCGAGCACATACAGTGCCTCGCAGGATTGGCTTATTTACAAGTCCACACTTGATTGCTGTGCGCGAACGAATTAGGATCAACGACGTTCCTGTCAGCGAGGACGTCTTTGCCCGTTACTTCTTCGAGGTGTGGGACAAACTTGGGGAGGCTGAAGAACGCGAAGGCCAAAGGGTAATAGACCAGAGACTTGATATCCCCATGCCTACGAGGCCGGTCTATTCCCGCTATTTAACACTGATGAGCTATCATTTGTTCCTCCAGGAGGGTATTGATGTTGCTGTATACGAGACAGGTATTGGCGGCGAATTCGATGCCACGAACATCGTAGCACACCCTTTGGCATCTGGTATTAGCACTCTGGGTATAGATCATGTCTTTGCACTCGGGGATACGATACAGAAGATTGCTTGGCATAAGGCCGGTATCATGAAGCCAGGCGGTGCTGCTTTCACCATTGAGCAAGTTCCCGAAGCCGCCGCTGTGCTTCAGGAAAGAGCCAAAGAAAAAGGCGTGCCGCTGAAGGTTTTGGATGTCAACCCCAGACTAAAGGATGTTAAGGTCCGACCAGATGCGCTATTCCAGAAGAAGAATGCCAGCTTGGGAGTCGCCCTAGCGGAAGCAGCCTTGCAGAAGATCGACTCTAACTTCACACCAAATCCGTCGGCATTAAGTAAAGAGTTCGTTGATGGTCTTGAAAAAGTTGTGTGGAGGGGTAGATGCGAGGTCAAGGCTGAAGGGCCAATCATCTGGCATATTGACGGAGCACATACTGTAGATAGTCTCAAGATGGCGACAAGATGGTTTGCAGGTGAGTGCGCGAAGCGAGCCGGCCCGAAAGCCTTGGTTTTCAACCAGCAAGGACGTGACGAGGCCATCCACTTCCTTGAGGGCATAGTCTCTGCCCTCAAAGCCCAGGGGCAAGGGACATTCGAGCACGTCGTCTTTTGCACAAATGTAACTTACGCGAGCACTGGATATAAGCGGGACTTTGTGAACCACCAGTATGACCCCGTAGCCATCAAAGCTCTAACAGCGCAGCGCGCCTTTGCGGAGAAATGGTCCTTGTTAGACCCGACGGCAAAGGTAACTGTTGTACCGACGATTGAAGAGGCGATCAATTATGTCCGAGACCTCAGCAAGACGCCCTTGGACGAAAATGAAACAATACAGGCTTTCATTACCGGTAGCTTGCATCTGGTAGGTGGAGCTCTGGGCATATTAGAAGGCGCTGATGCCTTGTGACCGGCAACGGTCGATTTTCTTTCTATATGGGTTGGTTATGTAAAATAGCTCTAGTTTCAACGAGAGATGGGTATACCCTAGAAAAATAGATCAAGATCAAGATCTACGGCGGCTCAACCCGTATAGAAGAGAATCATACAGAGGTTTCATTGAGTATAATATTGCCTATAACTATTTGAGCAACATCGCAGACTTGAGCAACTAAAAATCTTAAAGTGTATATAATATATTCATGGCTTGTGGCTTATTGTTGAAAGTACAGCCGTCACGGCGCCTACGACTTAGTCCTGAGACCCATAATCTATCGCCTGTTAAACGTCGTTTTCTTCGTGTCCAAGTCACCGAAACCTGTCTTACCTACCGTGCCTACCTACCTAGATGAGTTATTCACAACTCCGCATCTGGCTCTAATATCCTAAGCAGGGCGCCTACAAGGTGGAAGCTGCCCGTAGCTAGAATCACAACTTTGACGCCGTCACGAAGTTGCGTAGCCTTTATTTTCTCGACCGCTTCATCAACGCTTTCTACGACGGCGGTCTCCGTCCGGGGAGATAGCTTCTGCATGGCGTCTGCGGCAGCTTGCTGGACAGCTAAGTCTCGCCCGGGCTCCTCGGCCGTTCTACGTTGTAAATCGTTCCGAGTAAATATCGCGTAGTCGAAGATAGTGCCCTCGGGAACCCCCGACTCCTTCTCAATGCCCCTATGCAGACTGTTTAGGAGGCTTGCTACATCGCGTTCTTGCTGGTTGAATAGTAAGACCACTTTTACGTCGCCAGCTAAAGCTTTGCGTTTCCCCGCGAACCACTTGGCTACTTCCTCCAGACTTTCTGCGGTATGTGCCCCGTCGATAAGCCACGTGAAGTCGCCGTGTTCTCTTGTTTCGGACCGTCCTTGGAGTCTTGCTAACCGTAAACCATCGGAGAAGCGTTCTGTCAGAGCTGCCAGCTTCTCTCCAGGTGGGGTGTCCTGATTTCCATCCAGAACCCTTAAATGCTCAGCTGCAGCTTTCGCCGCTAACGCCTGGTTGTACTTCTGGAACTCGCCTTCGAGGCTACCAGCCTCAGTTCCTCGTACGCCTCCCCACTGCTCGACTTCTTGGTCTTCTAACTCTGCTAACGTGGCGCTCTTCTCCGCTGCTCGTTCGCGTAACACACGCATGGTCTCCTCGCCCTCTCCAGACTGCAGTTTTCGGGTGAAGCATTTCCGTCCTGGCTTCATCACGCCCGCCTTATTCCACGCAATCTCAGGCAGTGTGCCGCCGAGCATACCCACGTGATCAATACCCAGCTGCGAGATCACCGAAGCGGTCACGGCCTCAGCCGGCAGCACATTCGTAGAATCATACTCGCCACCAATGCCGCACTCCACCACCGCGCTCTTAACTCCCTCTCGTAAGAACGCATGGAAGGCCAGGATCGTTAAGAAACGAAAGTAGAAAGGTTTCGTAGCCGGACCCTCGAGCTCCGCGGCCGAGATATCCTTCCCCGAACGCACCGCATCGTCCCGCGCAGCATTAGTGAGCGCATCCCACACCTCGAAGAAATACCACGCGAACAACTCCCGACTAATCGGCCGCCCATCAAGCTGGATGCGCTCGCGCACCGATACCAGGTGCGGCGACGTGTATGTGCCGACCCTACCGGCTACAGACGCTCGCGTTAGGATCGAGGTCAGGTACGCGCACACGGAGCCCTTTCCTTTGGTCCCGGCGACGTGGATGCAGCGGAGCCGGGCGAGATTGTGCTGCGCTAGCCCCGCCCGGCCTAGCCAGGAGAGCATCTCCGGGATGGCGAGGGCATTGAGGTCCTTAGCGGAGGGGGCGGGAGATGAAGCGGAGACGAGAGGGGTGAACAAGGATGTGACGGCGCGGTTTGACTGGATGGAGTCGAGATGCGCGAGCGCCGACTCGTATGTCCGCGCCATGGTTGAGGAGAGGCGCAGGGTAGTTGTGGTGAGGTTGAGGGGAAGAAGAGAAAGAGGTAAAGGTTTGAGTAAGAGGTACGTTATGGATAAGCGCCGAATAAACATTGAACGAAAAGCCATAAACTAGTCGATAATAACGACGAGGTTAAATTAATAAAAACGTTTATTTAAAATAGTTAGGTAGTTAAACATTTATTAAAACCCTCGACCCGCTGACTAATCTGACAACTTCGTCTCTTAACATGTACAGATACAAAAACTCCATCCAAACAACTATTTTGAAGCATGGTGACATGATCCCAGAATGACAATATTGGAGCGAACTGTTAGGATTATAAATAAGACATCTTAAACGCAAGACTACCTCAATATGCACAGCTCAAGCTTCCATCAGTCAGATTTGGAGTTCCTTGCAGAGCAACGAAGTTATTTCTATGCTTTATGCTTTACTCCATAACACGGGCATCAGTCATAGCTCTACTTGCTCGTTGGCGAGCTAATATGAATAGAAAACACATTCTGTATTCATTTAACTAACCCTGCCGTTGAGGGCAACGTTCCTGAGTTCAATCACATAGCTCCTTCAATCCTTCAATCCTCATGAGAGTAGTGTTGAACTTCCTCTCCTTAATATGGTCCGGCATCATGACTTATAGTCACTGTTCCAACACCTTCGTTAGAACACAGAAGACAATATTAGATTAATCCTGTGCCCAGGTACCTGTTCCAGAAACGCGCACTGCCGGATGAATGGGCGAGTTGAGAATACCCTCAATGGTTGGGCCATTTTTGAGACTCAGGCTGATGTTGTTGGTGCCAACCTTTCCTTCTTCAATCTGTCGCTGAGCGGTCAATTGTTGTTTGTTAGTGTATTCAAGCGTAGCATTGTTGGACTCGAATTCCGGTGTAGTGGGATTAATGTTGCCGCTGAAGTGATACTGGATGTCATCGATGACAAAAGTAGAGGTGAACTTGCTGCCGCCGCTGAGACTCTTGATAAAACCGGATGCAGTAGGCATCTGCACAAACGTATTATTAGTTATAGATCATAATTTTCAACTGCTAGGACAAACATTACTTTGGTTGTTTATGCGGTAGGTATTTCTTCGAATAGGCTTGCTTCCTGTAGGGGTAGGTAGAGATGAATGAAGATGCGAGATAGAGAGTGTGTAGAAAAATGTAAAGGTCTTCCACCCATATAAATACACTTTAAGCCTCCGCTTCTAGTGAGATATTCATACAACTTGCGTGCCTCGGAGTTCCTCTTCTAGATTTAGAAAGTTACTATTTGAGATAACATACCGACCGACTAATGACAGATGCATGTGGACAAGCTATCGGACCACTATAAAGTCCTAATATTATACACCATAACTCACAAGGTGATGTTGATTTATAGAAGAGTGGTCCAGTATGTGATAGACTACCTAACTTTTGATTGATCGTCACTATATATGGCGTTATGTTCGTTTCCAAGATTATATCGCAATTAGTTGCCCATGATGCCGATGGGTTAATGCACGATAATATCACTGTTAAACAACATACTACCACTCTCTAGTTCTGGACGAACTCCCTGTTATTACACTTAGGGATGAGCGTAGATGCATTGCAAAGCCACATATTCACTGACCGACAAAGATACTGTTTAAAGCAGCGCCGCGACAACCCATAATATCTTTTGGCTGATGCATATTAGTTTGAGTACGTATCCGACGATTCGGAATAGGTAGTTGATTCGGGAAATGACCCTCATGAGAAGATGGTCTGACGAGCGCACTACCACCAGAGAGTTCGCCTCGCCATTCTTTTTCTTTTAATTTTCTTTTTTTTTCATACGAATAGTAGGCTAGTCGCTCAGTTCTGGTACGTAAGTTAACAAAGAGTGGTATCTGTCAGGATTCTGGATGGGGCATCTAGAACGAAACACATGTTCAGTACCTATGTATCGACACAGACTCTCATAGATAGGTTAGAGTTTCTTGCGGAACGACGAAGTTGTTTCTCTACTGTTTAATTCTACATCGTGACAGTATCCACTATTGAGACGTCCCGATGGACAAATATCATGTGAAGTCCGGCCCGCCAGCCTTGTTTATTTCATCGTCAAATAAGCTCAGCAAGCGCAAAAGCGGCATCGCCATGAATAGCCTCTAGGAGGTAGGCTATTACGACCCTCGATGTTTTTCGGCTCGCAAACCACGACACAAAATACGCCTCCCAACCTCAGAACGCAGCGCTCTCGGGCCCGATTAGCAAAGCAGTCGATTGCTTCAAGATCAGGTGGATCAAGAAGCCGGGAGCCAATATAGTTGTTCTATTAAACTCCAACATAACTATGGGAGCCTGCGGCTGTACATACTGAAAATATTACTTGCCCTAAATGTCTCATCTATAATTCTAACAGTTCTCCTGTAATTGTTGAGGCATTCTACTTGTGGGAAGGGATGCTCCAACGTCAGGGGTTTTATATAGAAACTCATGTATGCCTTCTAGAAGGAGTAGTTGATTCAAGTTTATAAGACATAAGGGAAATAAATAATTAGGCATAGCTAATATATTATGGAATACGGTATAGTTAGTATGGACATCCGAGTGTAAGCAACCTGTCATGGCAAGTAGTTGTTCAAACTTCACTATGATAACGTGGTAAAAGGAGTGGTACATAATTATATCATCAACTTGCTCCCGCGATATAAATATCTACCTAATATACTTATGTTAAAGGTTACGCAGTTAGGTTTCCGACGCATAGGACAAGATGCCCCTTCTATATAGGAGTAAGGCATCAGTTGAATACCTAAAGTCACTATACCATACCTTGGGAAGGCCAGGAGATATGTCAGAAGGTTATAATGTTTAAAAGTGACTTTTGTCGTAATCTAACATATTTTTGACAGCTGATGTTAGAACTTGCTCGGGTGTGTATGATCGCAGGTTATGAACGAGGATGATGATCCTACTTTTTTGTTATGCAGGTTGGATTTCGGTGAGGTGTTGTCATGGTGTTATCGGAGACAAACATAGCTCATAAGCACATATAAATCACCCATTGGCTTTTTACAAACGAGGCGCGATGTAAATAAGGCGGCAGGGTGCAAGGACGCGCCCGAAAGGCTCGGGGTTCACGAGAGTTATAGGCTGTCATCCCCGAGTCTCATCCCGTAAGCCAGCCGCATTATTATGACATATTGATTTATATACATCACTTTCGCCCTTAAGCCACCCGACAGGCACTGAAAATTCGTGTACTGTATAGATCTACATATTTATCAAGCCGTTGTATCATCCAAAGTAGCAAAGTGGTCATATGGTATGCCAATATTTATCTTGTCACAATTATCGACACCTCCCCTTACCCCCTATCGGATCGAGATCCCGGAAATTTTTAAAATGAAGTATTATAGAACTCGCGCAAAAATTGCCATATTCTCGTCAGGAATTTTAGTTGCCAAGACCAAGTTCCTTGATGAAAATATCAGCCACACTCCCGCCAAGAAAAAACCAAGTAGTGCCTACATTTTCGCGCAGCCACTTCTCGAGGACCACGCCGTCTAACTCAATGCATACTGTTTCGGAGTCCAAAGCGAACAACAGGTGGGTAGTCTAGGACATTCAGCTTTGGATGTTTGCCGTCTTGAAGTCGAGGATGCAGATATGCATGGGCAGGACCCTGGCGTTTACCATCTAGTGAAATGAAACGTGCAGCCCGTTGGGTACCGTTGATGGAATCCAGGCTTTGAAGGTCTTCAATTTCAGGCCAGCCAACTTTTGCAGCAGCCTCGATAAAACTACCTATTCTTAGACGTAAGGGCACGGTATGTGTCCTAAGATCTGTACTAGCCCATTGTCTCCGTGAGTGTCTCTAGAGCCAGGACCCTGATACGTTTCGAGCTATGAAGCCCATCAGCTAAGAGTCATCCGATCTCTTCCAAGTCAGGAGTAAGCTGGTTGAAAACACCCATTGCAGCTCTCATTATAGTGTGTTACATGACGACTCAAACTTACGAAAGTTCTCTGGGAAGTCAATCTAAATTAGATATTTTGTTTATTAAATACAATATGAGGGGTGGGAAGGGAGTCGCCCATTCGAGGTGACGAGCAAGAATAAGCCCTAATAGTGCAGATCCTTACCAACATCTGATGGAATAGTATTTCGCTTTAATTAAACCTTTTCGCATTATTTCAAAGTTGTCGAATATCCCTATCCCACAGAAGCCATTACTGTTACCCCTGAGAGACTTTACTACCGGACACGGTACGCGTATAGCTCCCCACAACTTACACCGCAACATTCGGTTATACAAGAGCGGCTATATATGTCTGATAACAGCTCCAGCAAATCATGAAGTGAGTCCACAGTTAATGGATGGTCATGGGGTAGTTTGCATCGCGAACCCATCTTCACCTCGTCTTTGGCTCGGCTGAGTAAGTGGTACCTATATGCGAAGACTACCTCATAAGACAATGATACAAATAGGCTATCAGACTCCACATACGGCGCCTTACACGTAATGTCCATAGCACTAGTTATTCCGCACAAGATATGGTGCTGATAACCAGAGCACATTTCGTTCAAGACTTGGCTTAACTATAACTTATTATTAACTTCTGGGTAGTTAGGACAAATCGTAAGCCATCATCGTATCACTATAACAGAATACAGTATCATTGACGATGGGTTAGTTGAAACTTTAGTGAATACCATTTGCCAATTCCGGTGTTTGAGGAGAATGCCGACAACTCACGATATTTCATGATTGGAAAGTTAAACTTGGTCCCAAAATAAAGAGTCTTTTAGTCTTTATGGCGGGCTACGCAGTACCTAGTTTCGAGTTTCCCATCTTCATCCCATCTATAATGAGTAGTACGCAACATGAAAAGTCCATTTCTCTTTTCTCATATTGTGTTAGTAGGTCGTATTCAACATGAATGATATACAACTCTTAAAACACAAGAAACGTGAAGGATTCTACCTCTCTTAGCTATGAATTGGGTCTTCTGGTTTAACAATCGTATGCAAAAATCACCCACGCCTCATGATATAGTTCTATAGACTATCTTCCAAACCAACAAGTCACTCTTAGCATACACACTTATACGCCACGAGACGTAAAACAGTTCAAAAGCAGGATATACCTGCCGTCTATTGCTTGTTATTATCTCATACACAGGCTAATCAGCCGCCCTTCCCGTCCCCCCTTTATTTTCTTTCCTCTAGAGACAAGGGCAAAGTAGGTTGGGTAGGTAAGTAGGTAGAATGTACAAGGGACAGGTGACAAAGTAAAAGGAAAGAAAAGGAGGTGTTTCCGTTTCTTATGCCCCCAGCTTACTCTACTCTCAAGCTCTGTAACCGAGCTTCGGTAGATATAACCTAATTACCGTTTGTTAGTCTATCTCTACACGAATTACTTGACAACATATAGAAGACTTACCTCTAATGCCTGCTGCACCTCGAGCACCTTCCTAACCTCCGCCAGCCAATCTCGGCTTAACGTCTTGGCCCACCCTTGTAGGCCGTTCATCTCGCGTGCTGCAGCATCTAGGTCGCCCTCCTCAAGAAGCGTCTGGGTTCGGGTAAGGATACTCTCAACATCGTCGCCAGCCGCTAATCCTTGCTTCTTGAAGAGGACCTTGCTCAACACCCAGCTTGATGCATGGGAAGCTATGCCTGCATTATCCGGTAGTAAGCTAGCCTTCCTCACCTCAAGCGCAACGCGACGGAAGCGGTCGATTAGTTGAGAAGGTGTAGCGATGCCACGTTGATACGCTGACGGGTTGATCGAACCGATGGCTGCGTTGACCACTGGGTCATCCGTAGCGATCTCCTTCAGGGCGACTAACTCTCGAACGAAAGGTCGTGGGTGCTCAGTGTCACTGAGACTAGCGCGCACAGCCTCGACAGCGACATGCAGCTGCTGGGTCTTGAGGTTCGTGTCGACAACATCGTTCCATCCAGTCGTGAGCTGCTCCAATTCCCTGACAGCGTTACTTAATTGTTCTAGCTTGCCGAGTCTGCTATTTCGCTCTTCCTCGACACGGCTTTTGACTTCCCGTAAGAACTGGCGTTTTAGATCGACAGCCTGCTCGAGAAGCATATTGCTAAGCTTCGCGTCGTTAATCTGCTTTTCCCGCTCTATTTCCGTCTTGATTCTCGAGTCATATGCAGCCTGGATGCGTTGCATCTCTTCCTCAAACTCTACTCGCCACTGCTTCTCTTGCGCATTCATAGCCTTCTCAACACGGCTGACCAACTCGATAGCTGCACCCTCGAAATCCTTAACCTTGCTCGCCACTTGCGAGGCAGCATCTTTTTCAACCTGGGCCTTCAGCTCGCGGATCTTGGAGCCCACCTTGTTAAGCTCGTTCTTAGCCTTTCCGATAGTGGACGCAAAGCGGTCATCGGCATTGTCAGCGTTTACGACGGTGATGATATCATTGAGCATCTTGACTAGATCCTGGACTACAGGCTCGTCGGCGTCGTTGACGTTCAGAGGGTCAATGGGAACAGGAGGGGGGAATCGGGAAGGCTCGTCGACTTCGGGGGCTACGAAGCCGACTGCTTCCTTCTTCGGCGCTTCGGCCTTCTCTACGGCCTTGGAAGCCGCAGAGGGAGTAGGCTCCGGAACTGCAGTCTTAGGCTCGGCGGGTTTCGCCGCAGGCTTCGCTTCAGCAGGGGCATCTTTCTTCTCGGGTTTTGAAGCGGCAGCATTTTTACTAGCAGTAATATCCCGCATGGCACTTGACTGTCTGCCTGCAGGTTCACCGGCGTCTGCAACTCTCCAAGATGCGCCACTTTGCGGCGATATTTTAACTTGAGCCCCGGTATCCTTACCCAGGCCACCAATAGTCAGACCTCCAGGATATCGCTTCCTGTAGTCAAGCTCTTCGAAGTAGAGCACAGCTTGTTCACCGAATGGTATATATTCGGTGAAAAAGTCGTGGAAGTTGTCGCTTATGCGTGAATACCATACGCCACCACCGAAGGTTATGGCTCCTAGGAGTATCAGAGTCACGACAGAATTATACAATCGACGGAAGAATCCCTTCTTCTTTCTCACGGGCGCCGGCGGGGGCGGGGTGGATTTAGGGCTGGCCTTTCCTACCAAAGATTCTGATACAGGCGGAGGTGGAGGCGGCGTCTGGGGAATATCCTTAGAGTCGATTGTTGAGGAAGCAATCTTAGATTCAGTTTTCAGCGCGGGGGGATCACTCGACGCAGCAGTGGTGGTCTCAGATGTGGGCAGTTTTGCGGGTGTAGAGTCGTTAATTGAGGGTTTCCTATTATCGGCATAGTATCTCTAGTTGCAATTGATGTTAGCCCGGAGTTCTCTAAAGGTTGTACTGGCGTTATGCCATGTTTGGTGACTTCATACCCTCCCAACTGCACCAGCCGATCGTGCGATCGCGGGCTGCCATTGATGGCCGATAGCAGCAGCAACAGGCCTACTGCCTACGGCCCTGACAGATCGCAACGATGTACGCAACATGAGGGCATCGAGTGGGCCTTCAAAATGCGATTGCCGTTGCTAGGTTGTGACTGGGGTTGTTGTCGTTGGCGAGGGATTATATCATGTAAAAACCTCGGGAAGCTTTTTTTAAGCTGCAAGTCGTTTTCGAAGTAAGTTGCGTTGGGCATAGGACAATCCCGGTAAGCGCAAAGTGCTCGGTCTAGTGGGACCTGGTATGTACATAGAGGTAGGTACCTAGGTAGGTAGGTACCTATGAATATTATGTAATCATCAATTCCATCACCATATGCAGCATTACAGCATCACACTTCCATGTTTTACATTAGGTACCTATGTACATACTACATATACGTAGCACATACAAATTACCTATACCTTAGGTACATCATAGGTATACAAACCATAATGCAAACCTCTTATCAAAGTTGATATAATAGTACGTCTCGTCTCGTCGTGAAGAAATGTTACTCTATTGCATTATTCGTCGAGCTATATACGTAGTAGCCCGGCAACGTTCAGTCTCAGTCCTAAGTTCGTCTTAAGCCACACGCAAACGTACCTCTAGCTCATGACCGACTGCAATGCATCCAGCAGTCAAGCCTGTACCTCGAGAACTTGATCAACAAAAAAATCAGGTATTAAAAAAACGATGTATGCCCTCCTGCCAAGAAACTCCCAATGAAATATACACTTGAGCATCTCGCGCCTATCTTCATGCTTCTTAAATGCATCCAGTCTCTATTTCAAGCTGGGTCTGGACAATAGTCTGGCCCGAGCAGTCCTGCAGAGCCTGATTGAGTGCTCTTACTCGAGCGTCGCATGACATCCGTAACATAAGGCTTGAGAACGTAGTTATAAAAGTGAAGAGGTGGACCAGGGCCAGATAGATCCGTAGGCTACGAGGCAATTTGCTGTACCAGGCGTCGTAAGTATCCAGTAGCTCCCAGAACTGCCTCTAACATGCGCAAGGCCCTCCTGATTGTGTATTTGTACCCTCCGGAGCCAAGCTGACGCCTCCCGGTCGCTGTCCAGGCCTGGTATGTCGGGGACCGACTTGATCGAGCGGCAACTTCTTCGCGATAGCAGTAAATAGTTCCCGGACATTTTCTGCAGTCTTGGCCGAAGTTTCGAAGAACAATAACCCTGCCTCGTTTGCGTACGCCTCAGCATCAGCAGTCGAGACAGCTCGCTTATCGGGTTGCTCGTTAACTAAATCCAGTTTGTTTCCGGCGAGGGCAATGATGATGTTCTCGTTCGCTTGTCTTTGCAATTCTTTTACCCAAGCCTTTGCCTTGTCGAGTGATGCCTATATTTACTGTCAGTCCACCTAACCATTATTTCTTTGTTCCTGGGGGACGTACGGATTGGGTGATATCATAGACAACGACGGCGCAGTTCGCATTACGGTAGTACATGGGCGCAAGGGACTTGTACCGCTCCTGGCCGGCAGTATCCCAGATCTCAAACTTAACAGTAGTGTTCTCATCTAAGGAAATAGTTTGTGTTAGGAAAGCAGCGCCGATGGTAGATTCGCGATACGAGTCGAATTGATCCTAGATAGGTATTAGATAAATGTGTTTTATAGAGTACGTGAAAAAGCTATTTACCTTCACAAATCTCAATACTATGGAGCTCTATTTTTAGAAGAGTTAGCAAACGATGCTGCCTAAAATGGGCTTGCTGGTGAGATAGTTAGGTACCTTTCCGACCGCAGATTCTCCTGTGTCCTAATTAGCATACGATGCTACAGATATCCAAAGTCGTGATACATACCTAATAGTACTAACTTAAACTGCGCGAAGCGGCCGGTGACACCACCCCTAGCTGCGGGCCCTGGTCGAGAAGCCATGACAGATAGTGGACGGGATCTGAAGATATCTCGAGTCTTTCGGAAGAGATGGGAGTCGAAACGAACAGGGATGGAGGGAAGACAGAGGCGACGGTTGATAATGGAGACTTTACGGGGTCTGTCTTATCGGAAGGGAATTATTATCGTCAATCCTAACAGTATAGAATCAACAAGGCAGTAACCGGGGGGTAATAGAAGGCCGTCCGTAAAGTAGTAATCTGACTCTAAATGTTCGTACGAGAAAGAAAAGGACGTTTGGGTATGAAATTAGCTTGGTGGGATAAACGAGAGGTTGCTCGGAAAAAGATGGGTTAAAGTGTGAAGCGTGTTGATTGATTATTGCCTTTTGCCTTGACTACGTTGCGATGTTGAAGGAAGCTAAAGGTTGTTGAAGAGTCCATTGCGCTCTGAATGGTGAGTGGCTGAGCAGGTGAGCAGCAGTGGAGCAACACGTCGTCAGGCTCGGGTAGTCGGTGCGTTGCAGGTGGCTACAATGGAAACCACATGCAGCAAATGAATGATATACGGTGAGCTGCTCTTTATCGCTTAGGTAGTTAAATGACACGTGATTAACTTTATATTAGGTACTTAACATAGCAAAACTGACTGTGATTTGTACATAGTGCTCTTTAGCTGTAATAATTCACTTATACGATATGTCCTGGTTCCTGTTTCCTGTTTCCTTAGGTAAGGTACCTAACTTTAATGGAAGTTACCTAACCATAGGTAATATGTATGTACCAGCTTCGATAAGACAGGGGCTTAGGTCAGTTCCTTATCATATGTAATCCGTACCTATGTACATACATAGTGTACTAATGTATGTATATGGACCGTGCACATCCTGGAAATGCATAGACTGGACCTTCTTGGCATCTAACATCTTGGCATCCTTGCGACCAGTCTGCCAGTCCAGCTGTCGAAATCCCCTTTCGGGAAATATAGATGTACACTATTTCATCAGCGGCAAACCCATAGGGATTAAAGAAAGCTGCGCAAACTTCGCTTCAACTGCCAAAACGACGTGTTCTCACAGTCGTCTCACTCTCTTTACACTCCTTGTCCTTCTTACATGTTGATTTCTCCCTCTATTCTTCGCATCCTGTTATGAGTGCGTGCTGAGCATCATCATCATACAGCTAGCCCATCATGACGCTCCCCTACCGGGACATTAATGTCCACGTCGCAGCAGACTCCTATACTTTTACATCACCCTCCTCCCCTAATGCCCCGGCTCTTATCGTTGATCGTCCTACAGGCGATGTGAGATTAAGCGAAGCTTCTCATTTCCCTAGCAAGCGTGTATCTCGTGTTTCTAGTATACCTGGTATACTGGGCTTTATTAGACTTAGACTTGGTATTTCTCCCATTACCTCCTTACAGATATATATCATAAATCTTTGCAAGACTAACACAGCCAAGACAAGTATGTTATCGTCATTACAAAGAGCCAGCCCATGGGCCGCCTTAAGGGCCACATGGTTTACAAGATCATCTCGACCGAGTTTCTCCCTATGCGCGAGCGACAGATCCGCGACCCTGACGAGGACCAATTCCTATCGCTACTCAAGACTTACATCATGAAGGGGCCTATGTACTTCTCCTATTCTCTCGACCTCACCAACAGTTTCCAGAGACAAGCTACTATGGACAATTCGAGCCCGCTTTGGATGCGAGCCGACGATCGTTTCTTCTGGAATAGATTTGTGCAATCAGACCTCATCAACTATCGCAGAACTGGCAACCGATCGCAACCAGGACCTCAACCCGGTGCTGACCCTTATATCCTACCAGTTATATGGGGAACACTCGAAATCCGGCCAACTACATTCAAGAATACACCCCTGACTCTTGTTCTCATCACTCGTAAAGCAAGACACCGAGCCGGAACCAGATACTTCACCAGAGGTCTCGACGAGGAGGGACACGCTGCCAATTACAACGAAACAGAACAGATTGTCGTTTTGAATGACACAGGCCGAGGTCTGGGTGGATATGCTGGGAGCACCGATATGCAAAGCGGCAAATACCGTACTTCGGAAGGGGCAGAGACGCAGGTATTATCTTACGTCCAAACACGAGGCAGCGTACCTGTATATTGGGCTGAAATAAATGCGCTTAAATATACCCCTAAGCTTCAGGTCAAGGGAATCGAAACAGCCCTTCCAGCAGCCAAGAAGCACTTTGACGAGCAGATTCGGATTTACGGGGATAATTATTTAGTCAACCTAGTCAATCAGGGTGGGCGTGAAAAGCGAATAAAGGAGGCCTACGAACAGATGGTGCAGATGCTCGTCTCGTCGGCAGCAGACAAAGTCAAAGGTGACGCGATCACTGACGAGAAGTTCCACATTATCGAGCCCAGTTCCTCGAAACAGGAATACGATCGTCTACATTATGTCTACTTCGACTATCACCACGAGACCAAGGGCATGCAGATGCATAAAGCCATGTTACTCGTCGAGCAGCTTCAAGATGCTCTCATAAAGCAACAGTACTTCCGCGGTGTAGATATGCCCGCTAATGGCGGTCTCGAAACTAGAAACTTCCAGACCAGCGTTGTTCGGACGAACTGCATGGACTCTCTTGACCGCACAAATGTTGTTCAGAGCATGCTGGCGCGATGGACGCTGGACCGCATGTTTGTCGATCTTGGTTTGCTCCAGCGAGGCGAGACTTTCGCCACCGCAGACACGGCTTTTGAATTCCTCTTCCGGAATGTATGGGCTGATAACGCCGATACTGTGTCCAAATCATATGCGGGCACTGGCGCTATGAAGACAGATATTACCCGTACAGGCAAGCGTACAAAGGCAGGTATCATGCAAGATGGCAACATTGCCGTTACGAGATTCTATCTAAACAATTTCCGAGACGGCCCCAGACAGGACGCCTTCGACCTCTTCCTAGGTTCCTACGAGCCTGCTGCCGCTAACATCGGCTCCTCGTTTATATTTGCGGACCGCAGACCTATCCTCATCCAGAGCATCCCCTACATTCTTGCCTTCAGCGTATTTTTCGTCTTCGTAGGCCTCTTCACGAGGCGCCTTCCGGGCTCGACCGTCTGGACTATTAGGCTCTTCATCCTATTCTGGTTGTTGGTCGCCGCCTGGAGTTTCAACTTCGTTATTAATAACGGGATGCTCTACGTAAGTTCCTTGTTCCCTTTGTTTCGTCTTTTAGTTCTATATAAATACCTGTATCGCAAATATAATACTAACAGAATACTGCAGGTCAACTGGCCCAAACTCAACCCGCGACCCTGGGCCACCGAGGGCTACCAGAACACCATCACCAAGATCCACAACGACGCGCTGCTCGGCCCGTTCGTGGCTCGACACGAGCGCGGATTAAGCGCCGCGCGTTATCTCAACGCGGAAGAGGGCAAGAAGAGGATCGAGTAAATGGAAAAAGGAGGAAATGCCGAAGGCTTTTGTGTATTTTTACTTTATATTGTCCCTTCGACTCGGTTGGCCCATTCGATATTACGCTCTAGCATAATTGCATAATTTGTCTTCACCTTGTTGTCTGCATGTCGTGTATTTAGATATTCGTTCGGAGTTTGCATTTGGTAGTTTGTCATCCGTGTCACTGTACAGAAAGCAAAGTATTAATGGTAATATGGTCCCAGTCTCGATTCTGCTATTTGCCTAGCTCCTACGTGCCTTAGGTCGCTTACCCCTATTTCACCATTACTGCTCAAAGTGTACCTACATGACGTATTTCCGCTTAAGCTACGAGCTTCAAATACATAATTCAAAAGAACGAACCTAGCCGTGAGCAGAAACTTAATGTTATTATTACACAATCCTACAGCTAAAAAAAACACCCGGTAATAGAAGCGCGTATATCATACACGTACGTACCAACAAGGCTTCCGACCCCATTCTTTTTCCAATCCGCGCAATGCATAATTATTAGTAGTACTCCGAGTTCATGCCAAACCCATCCACACCACGCAACTCTGATTCTCCCTCCACGCACAACATAGTATACCTCTCTTCTCTTCTCTTCTCTCTCACAACCATACTCTACCCTCTACTTCAAAGACTAGATAAACAACGCTAAAGGAAACAATAACACTATAAGGGAAAAGCTCCTAGGAGGTAGGTAGTACTGATAACAGTTGGACATGTATGTTTTTACATGAGATACATAAAATAAGTAGGTTAAGAGAGGAAAAAGTCGCCCGTGTGAGCTAGGTCGGTAGTAGTGTAGCAAGTAGTAATAAAGAGTCATAAGAGAAAAGGGGGTTAGACAGAAGAGGGAAGAAGAAAAAAAACCGCAACACAACCACAGGGGTATCATTACCAAGAGATTATCGTCCAAACAAATCCTCCTCCTATACTCGGTGCTCAACGCATCAAAACAAAGAATGACGCGGTATCTCGTCGTCTGGGTATTCCTTCTCTCGAGGCTATAGCCAGAGCAACCACCTCACGACGCCCACGACACCTTTCCCCACGCCTAGTACTATACGGGCAAGCATGACTACGAACCAGACGTACCACATGAACCCGACGAGCACCCATTCGACGGCGAGCCAACCGGCACGGCGAGCCCACCGGAACCGGCGTCTTCGACGTCGCAGCATTTTATCCATAGTGTCCGTCACACGCTTCGCCTTAAGTCGCTGTGCATCCACCAGGTCGCGGTTCACCTCATCCGCTTCGTCCGCTGCACGCCGCGTCATCTCCATCAAGTCGCCGCCTACACGGTCATGCAAGACATCCACGCGCCGGTACAGGGCAGGTACAGTCTCACCCGCAAACCGCGCTCTGCTAGTCTCCGAGGCCTGGATCGAACGGGCGATGCTCTCCGAGAGTATCTGCGCTGTAGCCGGATATAGTTGCGCCTCCGACACAACGATGCTGGATGATTTGTCCGGTAGGAACTGGAGGATACCTGCCCACGGCAACCCGACGGTCTTGTCGTCGAGCGTAGAAAGCATGTACTGCTCGTGCGCACGCCGCGAAATTTCCATCGCCTTGATACCAGAACACAAGATTAGCGCGCGGATACGTGCGATCTCGCGCCTAGAAATCTGTGTGCCTTGGGGTGTCCGGCTACCGTTCGAGATTGACCAGTGGCGGGCACTCTCTGAGAACGTCCGAGAACCGAGTCGGGGTCGGTATCGGTTCTGCGAAGCTGGAAGAGAGGACATATCAGCCAGGTCTATTAAGATATCCCGCGGCTTATCGCTCGAATCGCGCGGGCGTGATTCCGTATCGGAGACATCCGAGTCGCGGAGCAGATGGAGCTTGGCGTGTTCCAGTTCCAACGGAGGCGAAGCCTTGCGGATGTCGATCCGAGGCGGTTTCAGTCTGTCAAACCTGGGCGATCTAGTAGGTCGTGATGTAGTGTGCGTTAGAGCAAGGGGTTCCAGCTCTTTAGAGATCGGCTTATCGTAGGATACCGACGCCGATTTGAATGGAGGCATAACGTCCAGGTAGTTCTTATGACGGCTACTCTCATCCCGACGTCGCGAGTTGCTACGAGACAAGGTAAAAGAGCTTCTAATTCTACCTCTCTTAGAGTCCTCCTCTGAATCTTCGCTCGAAGATGACGAAACATCCTCAGCGTCAGAATCCTTCTTCCATAAGAAATCAGTGACCTTAGAAACGCCGCCCCGTATCATGCCATCTAATTTGGCACCTCCTTTAAAAATAGTTCGAAGACCGACCTGCTCATCGGGTTTTAGTTTAATACTTCCCATGCTACGGTGTGATTTATGACTCTCGTTGGTATTTCGCGAGTTGAGCTTGCGTGTGAGGCTCTTAGACCTACGCCGATCAGGCGAACCAAATCGCTCCGTAGTCCCAGTAGAGGGACTTAGTAGCTCAGGCTGCTCAGTAGGACTATCCGCCTTGTCACCTTTTTCGCGGACCAAATGATCAGCACCGCGTTCTCGCTCCTTACTACGATCGCGGAAGATATTCTTGACCCTTGAGAAAGGCTTTCGGCCGGGAGACCCTGGTCGGCTATCAGGCGGGGATATATCCATGCCAATGGTTGGCATATAAATATTGCGACCTCGCGGTCTTATCTCTGGCGACTCCGGCCGAGAAGAGTCCAACTCTACCGATAATCTATAATTCTGACCAGGGACCTCAAGACTGGCACGCCCTGACCCTGCCGGAGACCCCTGTAATACTTTTCCACGGCTGGCTTTATCATGATTATCAACAATGTCGACTCGTGAATCCCTGCGACTGGGCATCTGCTCCGGAGTATGGGAAGTCTTCTCAGACGTCGCCATGTTTGCAGGCAGTTGCTTGAGGCGCCCAATATCAGTCTCATCCGAGATTTTCTGCCCCTCATTAACTTCCTTTGCTAACATTTCCATCATCTGTTTTTCCAGCAGATCCGTGCCGTTAGCACTAATAGTACCGGTACGGTTTCGTCGCTTGCGATCACTTTCACTATCCGATGTATCTGACAATGAGCCCTTCCTAAATCGTAAGAAGTCGTGGCTATGGGAAGCATTATTCTGTTTGTGGTGCATTCCCCTTAGATCTTGAAGTTTTTGACGGGCACGCTCCCGTGCGCTTAAAGAAGGCACCTCGAACTCTATCTTAGTTGGACTTGTATGGTCTGTCTCTGAAGCAGCAGTGGCATCGCCCACGTCGCCTTCCCTAGTAGAAGATGCGGAAAGGGCAGATGTGACAGGTTCATTTGCCTGGTAGGATATTGGGACTTGGGCTTCCGGCTTTCGCGGGAAAATCTTGGAATAATGACGGTCTTCAAGGAGATATTTGTTATCTCCTTGTTCTAGCCAGTAGGCATCCGCAAGCATATCTGCGGGATCAATGGTCCAATCGATTCTTAGCCGTTTAGGTTTCGCTATTGTTGAGATCGGTTTCGGTATATTAGAAGGGGGGAGGTCTTGATCAGGACGTTCGTGTGCTCCCGGAAAATGAGGAAGCGAAGTAGGCCCAAGTGATAGGGCTGATGTCGCTGCGGATGTTGCTGCTTCGTCAATCCAACCCGTCACCCTTGAAATATCTGAGAAGCCTTGCGCCTCTCCATCAATAGCTTTGCGTTCCCGAGCTCGAACCTTTCGGTTCCGGATATATTGAAGGGGGTTGTAAGCCCGACCCAGTGAGACTTGCGGTGCGCCAGTAAGGGGGTTCAGGGGCGATCCAAGAGATACGGAGGGCGTTGAAAGGTTAGAAGACGAAGGTCGGGAGCGGACGTCCTGTTTGAGTGGTGGAAGAAATTGTAGTAGCCTTCTGTATTGAGCCATCAATCCAAGGTAGTCCTTCGCCTTCTGAGCCCGATTAAGAGTTGAAGACGAGAAATGGTATTGGTAACTGCCATCATGATCGAAAGACTGCAACGCGCTAGCCATTGTCGATGGCGACATAATCCTTGGAGACAGAGCTATATCAGGTCTTGGCGAAATGTTGCGAGAAGTCCTTCTCTGTTGCTGCAAGTGCTGCTTAAGACTACCCCCAGCCAGACTGTCAGGAATTTGAGCAAGTCGGGGAGGGATAGGACTCGACATATTTCTCCTTTCTGCCATACGCCTCGATTCACTCAAGTTGAGAGCCATGTTCACGATCTGAGTGGAATCGACATCAAGGGGGGCCGTACTTGGTCGCGGAGTTGGAGTTGGGATCCTTGAGATTCCTCTTCCACCATGGCTATGCCGTCTCTCTTCATCAGGGATTGGACTTATTGATCGCTGTGTTTGGCCATCGCTCGACCTCCTCATTTCCTGACCATCAATACCCAGTCCCATCCGAGGAATACTCGTTGCATTCAACTTATCCGGTACAGCAAGAGACGACCCCTTTCCCTTGCGGCTGTCTACCGGTAGACGTGATTGCCTACGACCATCATCCCGGCTCGTCGACCTTGGCTTAGGCGGTTCGTTGATAAGAGGATTGGCGAGGAGAAAGCCTCCACTCGATCGGGGTTTATGTGACCGGCGCCGTCTATGCAGCTCATGATTCAGGTCCCTATCTCCCTGATCCGGCGCATGGGGGCTCGAGGTCGATTCGTCGGGGTCTATGCGAGAAGAATAGGATAGGGTCGTTGTACCTGTTGAAGGCTCGTTAAGGCTTGCAGCAGCGCTAGATTCGCCGACATCGTAACTACCACGGCTATGCGAGGACCTTGCCGTCGGCAATCGGCTTTGGTAGGTGGCAAACGAATCGCCACTATTATCCTTCATCGTACCCATGGCATCAGCCTTATCAATATGTCTTCTCGCATGCCAAAAGAAAACACTCCCAAGGGTCTAACGGGTAATATGCTATCTCCTTTGACGTTCCCCGTCGACAAATCTGGACATTTTGGAGGTTTCCGACAAGCTGAAAGAACAAGGGGAACTACAACAAAAGTGCCTGGTTGCTATGTAGATGATAATTTTAAGGGTGAATTTTATACTCTTTATTCAATGTTTCGCAAACATTCTATTAACCGCCGGTGTTTCCTGCATAAAACCGAGTCTATTGGGTATCGTCGAAATTCATAAATATGTAGTGTGAAAGTCGAAGGTATCTCGAAGATGGAGCGGTCGCGGTTCGCGGCATGCGGCATGCAGCATGTTACTGCCAGGATGCTCCTGACTTCACCCGGCAACTTTATTTTAATTGGGTCTAGAAATGGGTCTAACGCTTGAACCAAGGATGCATGTGAAGGGATTCCATATGCTTAAATGCATAGGTTAGAGGTACCTACCTTACCTACCTAGGTACCCACCTAACATGATCTACAGTAATATATGCATATATCCAAGAACAACCCCTAAGACATACCCCAAAATAGATGACTCGATACCTCTTCATATGTATGCAGGACTAGAGTACCTCATAGTAGTACGATACGATAATACCTACCTAAGGTAGGTAGCCAATACAGTCTTCACCTACGTAGTGCCCAGTGTTGAATTCTTATGCCTTGTCACAGTAAACCTCACTAATAGTTTCACAGCATTATCACACCACCTACGCAAACAGCAAACAATGCACACACTCAGCACCAATACAAGTCGCAGTTCCAATGAAACAGTACTCAATAAAATTCTGCGTAGCGAGTCCAAACGCCGGGAAATGCGAGCAACTCCTCTTCTCCAAGCCTGCTTACAAATAAGACTGAGTACACAAAGGACTATGTTTTTCCTAGGACCAGGTAGCCAGAAAGCTACCAGAGACAATCCGCCCCTTCTTTCAATAGGTGGCCAACCTTCGCTATCCGCCCATCGGAATCCAATATCAAGTCTGACTTCCAACTGACGAATCAAGCGGTTTGGCTCCAAATTACCACGCAAAAAGGTATCAGAGTTAAATATGTATAATGACGACGGGGAGATATAATATACGAAGCGAACACGAAGGAGATTGCGTGCCAAAGTTCGTGAATAGTAGGTGTAATGAGTAGTGGGGAATGAGCACATCTGCCAGCCCTACTTGTACTTTTAAGTAAACAGACCGCGACGAAGCTCGATTATAGGGAAACTAAGAATAAGTAGCAATCCTGTATTATGCGCCCGGATGCCCACCGCTAGCGATAAATGCCCTTGGATGAGCTCTTTCGCTAAGAAGTTGGGGAACAGCCACGTTTTCGAACCATGACCGTATGTTTGGTTGTATAATGTCGCGCTTGGTGGCCGTGTTTTTCGCCGCGTTTGTGATCGATACGTATACCGCGACGATGATGACGATAACGGCAATAATAGCAACTAGATTAGAACGTCAGTTCCCCATCCACATTAGAAAAACAAGCGAGGGTGAACACATACCGACAATAGCCAAGCAAATCCACTTCTTCTTTCGCGTCGACCTAGCAGTGTTGATAGCTACACCCACTTCTTGATTACCCTTGTCGAGATTCTCAACTACCTCTTCAGCCTTCTGCTCAATGTTGGCAATAGCAACTTCTTGTTGTATAATGAGCGTATCCATATCTTGGAACAGCTGCGCTAGTTCGATCATCTGCTGCTCGATCTTCTTTAATTGTGCATGGCGATCCTGCACAGCGCTTAGAACAGCTTGAGCTTGACCACGACGGTTGCTCTGCATTAATGCTTGCTGGAAAACCTGGCCACCAGTTTGATCCTCAACGGCAGCTCGCACCTCTTCCTCGTCGGCGTCGGGTCGTACGATGCGGTATTGTCGCGCCATCTGTTCTTGGGTCTTCTTGCGGAAAGCTGACTCGACACCCTGGTAGGCCCTGATCGCATCCTTTAATCGGCTATCGACGCGACGAACTTGTTGGGCAAACTTCTGCTGGCTCTCAGGGTTGCTCTTCAATTGTCGGACGCGGTCGGTGAGCGATCTATACTGGGCCATGGTCTCAGAGCTGAGGGCATCTAGTTGGCGATTGGTGTTGCTAGAAGCGGAAGCGTCGGCATCGTCGAGGGCTCTTTGTTGAAGCATCTTAAGTTGGTCAAGATTTCGGTCAATCATGTCGATCCCGCGGTTGATTTCCGTGACCTCGCCAAGGATAGAGTTCGCATTTCCACCTGCAAACCCACCTTGGTTTTGGGTGAGCGAAGCCATCTCGACATTTGCTACACTTTATTAGCATGATTACATAGTGTGTCGCATATCGTCTTAGAAAACGTACCGCCATATTCATCACCGTAGTTTTGTTGTCCGTAGTTGTTATTGACAGCGCTGTTCCGCTCGTCAAAGGGGTTCTGCTGCCCACCGTATCTAGATTGATGAAAGTGTTAGTCGCTTACACGGCGCTTCTATCGCAATTCCATTTTACGATTCAAAAAAGGGGTAACAAACCCGTACTGTGCCATAATGTTAGTGATTATTTATTCCAGAATACCAGTTCTGTGAAGTTTAGAAGAAACAATGGAAATGAAAACGAAAATAAGAAGATTACAGAAGAGTAGGAAATGCGAGTGGTATTCTAAACTGGGTGGAGCCATTGAAACACTCAAGGGGTAGATTTCTTACACTCATGGCGCTTCGGCGGCTTTGTCTGCTAGGGAGCAGACTCGACTAGGATAAATTGCTTGATCTCGTCGGATGTATCGTTTGTCCGTACTAATTCGACGGGGTTATCAATATTCGATTTCTCTAATGTATGGAAAAGAGATGGATGAAAGAATTTAAAGTTTACAAAAATCGCAATAATACTAACAGGAAAGAAAGATGGTTTTGACAGTTGGTGGTTATTATTTGTTGTTGCAGACAGGAGCCAAAGCTGACAAGCTGAAGCCAAAAAAAGGGTTTAGATGGAATTAGTCCGGGCAGGTGGAGTCCTAAAAGTGGCACTAATACCCTTTTAGGCAATATACAAGCCCTGTGCATCGTATCGCCTAGCCCAGTAAATACACTAGACCCAATACCTAACACTAGTGTACGCTACCTGGCTTGTCTCCTATAAATGATCCACCTCGAATATTATTGGCTCTGCATCGTCTGAATCTCTAACATTGTATCAGATGCGAGAATCGCCTAACCAATTTCTACATGCATGCGTAAATAACTACTATGTACGGCAGCTACACCCATAGGATTAGTTATCGGTCTAACCTCAATATAGAATGCAAACTTGAACTGTTCGAAGTTGACTACCTAGGTACCTAAGTTATGATGTAGTTAATTAGAGAATTCTTATAACAAAAAAAAAAAAAAAAAACACCAAGGTATCACCTGCACGTAAGATTGCATGCCAGGGTACATAACATTATTCTTAGCGGCGTCTAAGCATCCAGGTAAGCCTTACCACCTAACACATAACCTACCTAGGTACCTATGTACATATGTAAGGGCAAGGTAGTAGTAATCAACTTTACAATTTTCCATGTTTAGTTTATCTTGATAAATGTAACATTTCATATCATCGTATATCCATGCCATATGTACGGAATCTCCTTGTTCATTTTATCAAGATCTTCGCTTGTGGAGAATGCGATAGGATATTCTAGGATATTCTCAAAAGTCTCACGCGAAGCTCGCTTTAGCTAAGGACTAATAGCCGCAGAATCAGCTTATAACAGCATTCGATCACCGCCATATCTCTCCCCTTTTCCATACGGATTACCTACATGTACCTATGAATGGTACCTATTTAAAAATTACCAGCTGGGGTAACCGCACTAAATCCTCAGCACAGCCATCCCGATTCCAGTCTTAGGTTAGGTAGGTACTTAAGGCTGAACAACCATGGAATTTTAGGTACACAGCTGGGCTTGACATACATACATAGCCTCAGGAGACTTCAACTCAACGCACCACTATAAGACACTTGCGTCAGGCTGAGCCACCCGATCGATAGGAATTGCTTAACTCGAGTTGCACGATCAACTCTTGGATCGGCCCCTGTCATGAACAGATGAACAGATGAACAGATCTCTAGCCATTCAACAGTATCCGTTTCAAATTCTATGTCGATCGATGCCCGGACGTTCTCCAGTTTATTCGCCTGTTAATACCGAATATCGTCTTTGAACCCATCCGAGTCCGACCATTAGGATCAATTGGCTCTGTTGGTATCAGCCACGCAGGTCACACGCAACCGGACTCAACATTTAAGCTTGAATCTCTGGTTAGGCAACCATTTAACGGCAACTTGCATCTGCACTCCAACCTGAATGATCACAAATCCGGGATCCAGTAGCAACGAGGTCTAATCGTAATCCAATCCAGTATACAGACTCGTATCAGACCGCCACCAGAAGCCACGACCACTCGTCATCGTCAAAATCTCGTCATTGTGAGTCCAGTTGTAGTGAGATGCTAATTAGTAGTATACAATCCAATTTTGAGCTCGTTCAACCTAAATCTTGTAGAACTTTTCAGTATAACTACTACCCATTGTCACATCTCTCTTAGCTTAGTAATTCATTAGGTATGTATTCTAATGAAAGACTAGATCATTTTTAGTAAAAATAAAAAATAAAAATGCACCGTAGATCGCCGTAGTGAAACTCGGAATGTTTTGAGCATCGAATCGAAATCGTCATCAAATAAGAGAAGGTCAAATTTTGAATCTCAAGATGACCTATTCATCAAGACATTAGCCTCCCTAGCTTTTTAGGCATGTATACGACGGCTATCATATCGCTCTCTTGTAAAGCACGTGTCTGTATTCCAATATCAAAGACGTAAAGCAACGACAACATTTTATAGTATCACAGGTAGATACCTAGGAATAAATCTGAGTGTCAGCTTCTAATTTAGGCCGTAATCGTATCATAAGCTATCCATTTCATGAATTCAATAGTCATTAGTACATCTATCAACTTCGGAGCGCGAGCTCATCTACCACTAACTCCTCATCCCTAAATCCGTATCTATTACCCCCTTAGACAATCGCATACGCAGATGCGTAGCTCACGCTCGAGTCTGTGACATCTTCAACCAAGCTGCTGCGCTGGTACTGTACAAACTTGAACCGATACTTGTTAGGATCCGGCTTGTCTTTTGCAAGCTCCTCCAGGGCCGCCATCACAACACCGATAGGGTGACGCCCGCAGACGGTGTTCTTGGTGTGTTTGAGGTTGTCAACGAATTTGTCATGGTCGCCTGACGCAACGGCGTCTATGGCTAGGTGGTCGACTTGCTTGATGCTCTCGTGTATAGGTGGGTTTGTTGGCTTGGGCGCCTTTCGACTTAGAGACTGTAGTTGGTCGACCTTGCCCTCCGGCGCGTATGCCGTGTAACTGAATCGCGAACCCCAGTGACAGAAGTCAGAGCTCACGATAAACGCATTATCCGGGTCTTGTAGGTACGGCGCCAGCAACTTGCCGAACTCTTTCTCCTCCGCCCCGTTATTGTCTCCAATGAGGATTGGTACGATAGTAGGGTACTCGGCCTCGGACGCGAACGTCTGCGTGAGCCGCTTGTAGAGAAACGGGAGGTGCATCTCCAGTGAATGCTCGTCCACATCACCTCTGCTGGGGATATCTTGGAATTTGCCCGTGTCGCGAAGCTGCTGCACTACATCCTCGTCGACAGTCAAGTCGCCGAAGGGTGTCTCGTACTTGGCAAACTTGGTTAGGGCACATCCGCGGAGGTAATACGTATGAGAAGGTCCAAGGACGAAAACTCGCTTCGCTTTAGTGAGGTCGAGACACTTGTACGCCCAGGCTGCGCAGGGTCCTGAGTACGAATAGCCTGCATGCCTTTGGGCAAGCTAGAAGTTAGGAATTCCGCAGGAATAACGGAAGTGTACAACTAGGAGATGGAAGAGGAAAGGAACCTACGGTGCAATCACTACTTTGGCGCCGGGAATCGGGAGGCCATTGTCATCGATAGAGCTTGGGACATCGCCGAGAAAGTTGTCGAGCTGGCTGGACAAGCTATCGGGATCACCGTCATACCAACTGTCCGCATGACTAGCGTCTCTGGTTCCTTTCAGCTTCATTTTCGAGACGCAAAGTACCTAACCTTTGTAAGTAGTTTGAAGCAGGCAGAACTATGAAAGAGAAGAGTCTGGCCTTGAGGATAAGAAGTAAAATAAGGGCAAGGGAAATCAGATAGGCCCGGGTAGGTACCTGTTGATCACTAGCAGGTAGTACCTACCCCGCTGCCCCGCGTTCCTGTCAGTGAGAGCCTTAATCGGAAAGCTCAAGTGTACCTACCTATGTATGTCCAGAATGACGTAGGATGAGATATGCAATATCTGAAGGTATTTTATTCCTTTTTGGCGATGTTGTAATCGCGGAAATGCATATCTGGATTAAGTACTATTCCAAATGCGCTGCTGTTTTTGATTTACTCAATTACGACTCTACAGTTACTTCTATTTAATTTATGTATGCGAATTTTAGGGCAATTATGTTAAAGTGTAAGCAGCTACTCCTCTTAACTATTTCGTTATAACTGGCGTTGTTAAGAGTCAAGCAAACAAGCATCATCCAATAGCTCAAGTTATAATGTAACACTTAATAGTTTCTTAATTATCTGAACTTATTAATATTATTCTCTACCATCAAACAACTTTAAATTCCTAGCTATATTTAAATTCCCCTCATACTTTCTATATCACCTGTCGGATTACAACTTCACCCCGATATATAACCCTTACGAATCACGGTGTAGTAGCAGTGATTCGTAAGGGTTATATATCGGGGTGAAGTTGTAATCCGACATACGATGTTGAAAGATCTAGTGCTGGTGTCGCGTGTGTTGCTGCGATGAAGTCTTTCGGATTGTCGCAGCAGTGACTCTTCTGACCTTGCTAATCTGTGTTGCTACTGTCTAGCAACACTGATCAGTGTTGGTAGGTACGTACGTATGGTAAAAGCAATAAACAAGGTAACAATAAACAATAGTGTTGAGACTGGTGTATAATGAGTGTCTAAGGAGGAAAGAATCTATCTAAAGGTGACCAGCAGGACAATGTCCTTATATATCCGTAATAGTAGATGCGCTATTCTTTCCTCCAGTATCGGCAACAAGGCACCTTATCGCTGATAAGGTGCCCACGTGTCGCCGTCCTACAACCATCATCACCGTTACTAATTCTATCTTACTAAAAGGTTGAATTATAATAGTAATTGGAATTTTTATTTATTTAAATGTAACATACGTTTTAAAAAGATACAAGTAGAGCTACGTTTTGTCTCCATTGCTGAATCAACTTGAGAAGCATAGGTGAAACACACTTCTTTGGGATAGAACTCTCATGGAGGGTACCTTTAAGGTTACAATTACAGCGAATAGTTCATCAGAACTAAATACGAATTTCTTGTCAAGACCATTATACCTCCATATATTCAAGAAGACAATCTAGGTTAAGTGAATAGAAAATGGTGCTGCTTAAGGTTAAAGTCGGTTTATATTAAAAACTACCATAAAGAACTAAGACAAGGTAATTATATCAAATTATATTAAATCTTAATAATACCAATCATACTTGACGTTCAATCTGCTTGGGACTTTAAGTATCAGAGTAGTAAAAAATTATTTAAGGATATAATATTTCAAGCAGATACCCCCTTTAATATGCCTCTTACTATTACTTAACTCATGTAGTGGTTAAATATTTAATATCTAATAATCGTCCATTCAACTTAACTTCAACTTAAATACTAACATAAAACGCCATTGGCTTATATCTATCTCCTCAAGTCGTACCTAGACATGGTTCACACATGTCATTAGTCCACGAGAAACCCCTTATGGCTAATTCCATATTTCATTGATTTCGTTGGTAGTGCTTAACACATCCAGCTACTATGAACAAGGACAAACTACATCATATGCATATAGACTACCGCAGCCTATTTTGAAATTTAATAGGCTAGATTGAGTACAATATTTCTTGGTCATAACTTAGTTTCATAATAAAATCAATTGTTAATGCTCTAATAGTGAATTGACCCGACATCTGCTATGGAGCAAAGAAAGAGCTACAATTTATTCTCACTTTATTTTATCCTCGCCTCTTAGTCCATTGGGAACTAACTACGTTATTAGACTGCTAGTTAGTCCTTAATACAACTTATCAGCTTTCACGGGACTTGACACGTCAAGCAAGAATATCACTTTAGTACTCTACCTTAGTTAGTTGAAGCTCGGTTTAATAAACACTACCTACCAACATTTTTCTCCTAGAAACAAGAGGCATTTAACAAAGCCTCGACCATCTGATGTGTGATATCCCTCGCAATAGAACCTGGGACTGGCTAGAACCCTCTATCATGCTCGTGTTATCACGTTGTGGGTACGGAGGCAGTCGTTTTCGTATGAGCTAGTCCTTCGAGATGTATCCGATTTAATAGTCCATAACCCTTCATGAAATATCGACCTTTAGACTTTGAAAACATTCATTAGTTATTATATTTTACATTTGAACTTGTTATTATGAAGATACTTAGATGGTCTAGATCGTGGAAGTATAGATAGCATAGATATGATCATGCTAACACCCCCGATAGCGAGTAAAATCCAAGTGATATAAAGTTTGAATTATCACAAGAACTCTCTTTAGAAACTTTTATTATTGGCCCTTGAAGAATACCAAGTATCAAGTTACTGGGGCTGCTAATGCCCTATAATAGCATTGCCTGCTGTAAGACGCCTGTACTAGAGTGTGTCCAAACCCCATACTCAAACATAAAACCCGGCGATGGCGTGCTCGCCTTGAACTCCAACGCTTATCCACCTTAAATACCCAGCGCCGCCTTAAAAGCTCCCTATTCAGGATAACCTGTAGCTAAGCGCAAAATCTAGATTCCATATACATAATCCGAATGAATCCACTTTTCAGCAAACCTTGATGCCTGAGACACCAGCCCATCCGAGACCACCAACCCAGACCTTTCTTCCAGCACATATCAAGCACTTTCGCTGTTCACCTAGGTTGGTGATGGAGCAGTGCGAGCAGACGTGTTTCCCACACCCTCCACAGCTTGTCTCGGCCTCGGAGCAGAAGCCATCTACGTCCATTGAGTCTTCGCTCGTACCTTCGTGTAATGCCTGTCCGCAATCCTCGCAATTGGTAGGGCCGTCATATACTATGTGATCAACGGGAGGTGGAATTGAGGTGTTTGAGGCAGATGCTGCATTGGGGAGTTTCCAAAAGCTGTGGAGTGATGCCTGGGCCCCTTGCGACGGTATCTGTGTTAGCTGGGGTTGAGGCTGTGTAGGAAGACTGGCGAACGGAGAGTTTTGCTGGACAATGTGCTGTTTCTGGGCGGTATATAGCATGTTTAAGGTACGTTCTATAGGGATTATATATTAGGAAAGCTGTTTGGTACGGCTACAATGATAACTCGCTAGACTTACCATGGATTTCCTCGTCTGAAGGACGACTATTGCGGAACCGTTTCAAGGTGCGGCTGTGTAAGTGGGAAGGTGTTGAGCTCCGCGATGTACAACGAATAGGTGACACGTTGGCCATGCTGTCCATATCCATCATGGCGAGCTGCTCTGGCCGCGAAGGCGAGCCGAAGGGGCCAGAGGAGCTGGAGAGCTCGGACTCGGATCGCTTTCGCTTGAGCTGCATCGTGAAGGGGTTTGAAACTGTTGAATCCTACGGAAGGAGAGCTGATGGTTGGAAGACGAAGGGATAATTGATATTGTATGAATTATGAATATCTGTGTTGAATAAGATTTTATGTGAAGGTAGAAGGAGAAAAATTATGAAGTCGATGAGGTGAGATGAAGAAGATTGAATTGGCGAATTATAAGTTGGGAATATTGTTGAACGTGTACTTCGTATATCGAGACTTCCGTTTGTAATTGGCACCCGGGGACCGGCAATCGCGACCTGTCGCGCTGTGAAACGCGCGTAACCCGCTAAATTTATAGCGCGCTGGGTTCGCGTTAATTGCTTGTCAAGCTTAGAGGGGCTCCTCTTCTTACAACTCCCCACTTCACGATATATCCTATTTTCATAATTCATGTTCAAGACGATACGGACTGCAGATATGCACAATAAATATTAAACCAGAATTTTGCCGAGATGTTTCGATATGTAGGTGTAAGCATCGATGCCGGCGACGGCCATTAATTTTTTTTTATCATCACGACTGATAATCGATTCGGTCTTGACAAGATATTTGAATAAGAAGTTTATTCATAAAGTGTCATTACTAATAAATTTAACTACCTGACTCTAGAAGTCATGTTTTATATCCTCAATACCTCTACATACTGTTACCCTCCTAGATCTACACTGTTGATTCTTCGAAATTAAATTATTACAACAGAGCAGCCCCTAAGAGAACAGCAAAAGCTGCGACAGACATGCCTAACAACGAGGATGATACCTCGACAATGCCCGGTGCGGCATTGGTGTTGACACCGGCACTAGCGCTGGCGCTTGCGGTTTCCGAAGCTGCTGACGCGGCGCTTGATGCGACGGAGGCGGCTGAGTGAGCACTTTCGACAGCGGATGAGGCGGCTGCTTTGGCAGTACCGGTAGCGGTAGAGGCAACACTCTCAGCGCTAGCGATGGCAGCGCTAGCAGATGACAATGCGGCATCAGCGGCAGTAGAAGCTACGCTCTCGATGCTGTTGACTACCGATGTAGCGAGGCTTTGCGCACTGTTCGCAATCGAGGAGCCGAGACCCTCAGCACTGCTCGCAATTGATGAGCCAAGACCCTCTGCACTGCTTGCGATGGAAGACCCGAGGCCTTGAGCGTCGCTAGCAACCGACTGGCCATAGCTCTCAGCAGAGCTAGCGATATCGGATCCGACGGAAGCCCACGAGTTGCCGATCGACTGTCCGGCACTACCCCACGAGTTTGCGAGGCTTTCGGCCGAGTCGACTGCTGAGTGCCAGTCCTGACGTTTGCCGAACTCGCCTGCGATGCTGTTCGCTATCGCAGCCACTTCGCTGGCGGCTTTCTCAGCCGCGGACTGCGCCTCCTTCCAAGCTTGACGGGGATCGAGGACTTGAGCATCGCGTTTTCCAAATTGCGCAGCGATGCTGCTTGCCCCGGCTTGAGCCGAGCTGGCTGCTGCTAAAGCAGAGCTTTCGGCTGCCCGCCATTCTGCTCCGTTTCCTCCGTAGTGCTGTGCGATGGAGCTGGCACGTGCTTGCGCTGAGCTAGCTTGGGCAAGTGCTGACGAGAGGGAGTCTTGCCATGACTGACGTCCCTTTAGTACGGGGGCAGGCGTGATCATAGCATCCCGAGGGGCCTGTTCGACAACGTGGGCTGCGGCGAGGGTAGCCGCGAAAAGGGAGGTAGTAAAACGCATTTTGACCTGTGGGTTTGAGGGATATGAATGTCGATAGTGTATTATTTGAAATTGCTAAGCCCGCCGTATGTGAGGGAAGGAATTTGGGAAGTCAACTCGATGAGAATTTCCTTTATACAAGTAGGGGTTGAGCTCAAAGGGGCGTCATCAAAAGGTAGGTCGGTGCTTAGAACTAATAGCTGCGCCTCTACCAATGATGTCTCACGCTGTCTTACCCCATCCAAGCCAGCTTGTTTCCGTCTGATTACTTCATTTACCAGTTGAATTCGTCATGAATCATTTTTATATTTATGTGGATCGCTCGAAGCGGATGGCTTTGTCGATCCTTACGCTGTTGAATGGGTTGACCTGTTCGAAAGAATAGAGACCGTCTTAAACGGATAACGGCGCTGAGTGGATTTAGTTAGGTATCTTAGGCCGTGGTGGGTAGAGCAGTATGTCGTAGACATTCATTACCAGGTAACAAGTCAGTTCTGCCGAGTTGCGGAACCATGACGACGCACTTTGGTTGGATGTAGTGCCTAACCTAGGGCTTTACTACCTACCTACCTAAGGAAGTCGAGGGCCCCGACTTATTAGTCTGCGGTCTGATGGCCACCATGAGCCTCATGGAAATGGCCGGATACCTGGTGCATTGGTATTGGATGAAAAACTGCCCATGGTGCAAGCCACCCCTGCTGGTAGTTACGGGCAGCTTCAATCAACACACCCTCCTTATTCCCGTCATTCGGAAGAACCGGGTACCTCACGAGTCGTGAGCCATACATATACTGGTGGGTTCTTGGCGATCTCCCGAGACACTATGTGCGTACTATTTGTATAATGGTGTACGTACCTTTTGTGGTCGTTGTCGATAGACAGACCGGAAATGAACACATCAGAAATACAAACACGCAAGGGAGCTTAGCCGTGTTTCTAGCGCTGGACCGATCTGGACAATTTCGCCATATTCGTGGCTGTTTGCGCAGCAACGTCTAGACGAGCTGATGTTATTGTCTTACCTCAAATTAGGCGAGACCGGGCGATGTCCTCTAATTTGACCATTCTTGCGGCCTCCGATCGAACTTGCGCCGCATCCGGAGCCAAGCCACACATGCTTCGTGGTGGTATTTCGTGGTGGTATTTCGTGGTGGACGAGACTAACTTATTGAGGCTATTATCTACGGTACATCTACTAGTCTTTAGCATCGCTGATCGCTTGAGTGGTAGCCATATCTGTATCCCCACGGGCAAGATACATACCGGGATGGCTTTTTTTTCTTCTGAATTTCATCGGATGCTGCCCTCATAAACGATCCATATTACACTACACTACGTACTAACCTTAGGCTCTGGGCAAGGGCTGTACCTATTTACAATACCTACACCACCAAGCGTCCACGTCAAATCTAGATGTCCCGAAATTGGGGAGCCGTGGATGTCAAGCCTCGCCTAGTGTAGTGTAACATAGTTACGGCATCGAGGCGCACAGCAAGGACAAGCTCAGTACACACCACAAAGAAGGAGAAAACAGAAAACATATCCTATGTTACGTTGCAGAATAAGGCAGTTCATGCAGCCACACCTTCGCCTCACCGTGTCCAACCAACCCTCTCATATTTACATAGAGGTGGCTGTATGGAAACGCCACCTACACCAAACCCGTCACAGGCACGCAGGCAAATAGGCTCGTGGCACACCTGTTGTTTATTCAGTGGATATAGGTATCCTATACTCTTGGGGTACATCAGAAGCAGGTATCGATGAATCATGATATAAACCGTGTTACCTGCATGCCTAGTAAGCAGGTATCCTCGGGGCGTCCACTTGTAATCTTCCTCGCGGCTATCTGAGACATTTCGGGGCGGCGAAAGGGGCGCAAGTCATGCGTATAGCTGGCTTTGTGGTGGCTTCACTTGCTGCACTTAATGACTATAATTCGTGCGCAGAACTTGGAATATGGCATCGTGACTTATTAAACCAAGGATTTGCCTTTTGTCCTCTTCAAGGCGCCCCCTCTATGCGTTGCTACGGCCGGTAGGATAAGGGAATCTGCATTTGCGGCGTCGTGTTCACCACGTGGGAAGTGGACTGCGACTGGATCCTGATGGGATGATCTGGGCTAGGTAGTCTAGTCGAACTGTTATACTGGTGGTGATCTATTATAGAGATGGGCGTAATATATCGACGAGTAGTTCTAGCGTTCGCTAGATAACTGTCCTATGGAGTTACTGCTGCTAGCTAAAGAGTTATACGGGGAGTTTCTTATGAAGTAAAGATGACACTAGGGGTGGTAGAATAGGGGAAAGGGGCTGGTTTTCTAGCGAAGTAAATACATATGCACACAAGAAGATATATACGAGGTATATTAAGGGGTAGATAGTCAAGTTCGAGCATCAACAATAAAATATACTTTAACAGGCCGTCGTGTATTCAAATCCACCGCATCTAGTTCGTAGACATTACAATATTAAGCTATCTATCTGATCCATTATGTAGAGCATAGAGTTATCCCAGCAGACCATATCACGCAGAAGAAGAAGAAGAAGAAGCCTTTGCTTCGTGCAGCCGCACTTGAACACCAGTGCCGGACCGGTTCTCAATAGCATGATGAAGCCGGATCCTGCCGTCGCCCTCCTCCATGTTCTCGATGCGGTCGTACTTCTGGCAGAACCGCGACACGACGTAGCTGACTTCCTGGCGTCCGAATTGCTCTGCAGATGGTTATCAGCTGATGTCCTTCGCCTGTGAAATTGGGAGGCGGGAGATGGGGAATGGAATCATGTATCAATAATCAATAGGGGGAAACACTCACGGCCAAGACACTTCCTCGCACCAGCCCCGAACGGAATGAACTCCCACCCAGCCCGATGCGTCTCCCACCTCTCGGGGCGAAACGCCTCGACGTCGGCGCCCCAGATATCCGCGCGGTGCTGCATCGCGTACAGAGGGACGAGCACCTGGGTGCCCTTTGGCACGAACACGGGGGCCTGGCCGTCGGGCCCGCCGCCCCGCGGCAGCACGGCGTCGCGCAGCGCGATGCGCTCGTTCAGCGGGATCACGGTGGCCACGCGCAGGGTCTCGCTGACGACCCACTGCAGGTACGGCAGCTGGCTCAGCGAGCGGAAGTCGGCGGGCCGGTCGTCGAACCGGTTCAGGATCTCGCTGCGCAGGCGCGCGTAGACGGCGGGGTGGCGCGCGAGGAAGTACAGGACCCAGCCGAGGAGGCAGCCCGTCGTGTCCCGGCCGGCGATCAGCACGTGCAGGGTCTCGTTGCGGAGCTCCTGCGGGTTCTGCGTCTCCTTGGCGAGCTCGTTGAGGAGGTTGAAGCGGGCCCCCTTTTCGGGGTCAGGGCCGCCGCCGCCGCCGCCGCCGATGCGCTTCTCCGGGTTCGTGAGGCGGTCGGCTACGATGCCGTCGGCGAACTTGTGGATGGCGGCGCAGTGCTCTTTGAACTCCTTGCTGTTCATGAGCCAGTAGAACTTCGCCAGGGCGCCGCGCTTGTCGATCCAGACTTTGGCGGCGTTGAAGTGGCGGCTGAGGTCCTTTGCGCTGTCGTGCTGTTGCAGAGAGTTGGCCGACTGTCCGAAGATGAACTCGGTCGCCGTGTCGAGGGTGAACTTGAAGAAGAGCGGCGCGAGGTCGACCTTGGACGTCCACCCGGTCGTGGCGTCGGCGGCGAGCTGTCCCCATAGGTTTTGCAGGTGGTGTTCCTCGAGTTGCGGGTCGCTGATCATTTCTCTGGCGAACTGCGGCCGTAGAAGCGCACGGCTGTGCCTCCAGATGTCGCCCCGGCTCGTGAAGATTCCCTTGCCCAAGAGTGGCATCCAACTCAGCTGGCGGTGGTGGCTGATGTCGAAGTCAGGGCTAGTGAAGAGCGCGCGAGCATTCTCGGGATCGCGCGTGACGAGGATCTCATAGTCGATGATGGGCACCTTGACGGTATGGCAGTCCGGCGAGATGCTATCCAGCTTCTCGGCCACGTACTGGGGCCCGCGGTCCTCCTTGGTAGCTTTCATGGACTCCCGCAATATGGAGTTGCCGATCAAATTTGTGCTTCGCAGGACCGGCGGCGGCAGGCACCCGAGTGCTGCAGCCTTTGCATTGTTGTGGCGCTTCTTGAGCTTGGACTTGGCAAAGGTCCAGGCCAGGAAGACGACGAGCAGGACGAGGGCGCTGCTCGTGATCCCAAACATCTTGAGCGCGTCTGGGAGAAACAAAAACAACAAAAAGAAAGAAAGAAAGAAATGGAGTTATTCTGAACTCCGGGAATGGCTTTTCGTAGTCCTAAACTCCTAGTGCTTGCTATAGTGACGATGATGTAGGGATATAATAGAGTACCTAACCTAGATTAATGCTCTATATCGTTGTCCTATCCGTTACTCTTCAGCGAGATATTGGTTCCTCCACAGTTTCCGTCTCAGGGCCAACATAAAGAACGACCTCTGCTACTACCTCGTAAGCGCTAATTAGAATGAATCCTGGGGTATTTGCCATCTTACCAGTGCAGTTGTCGTGGATGTCATTACTTATCATATCCTCTCCCTTACATCCGCCCTGCATTTGTAGCCATTCCACTTCCTCGGTACCGTGTCTAAGAATATCTAAGAATACATACATATCCACCAAGTAAAACATATTAAAAATGCGCCAAACAGGCTCATGTGCCCGTGACGCGACTTGTAGAATTATTCATTAGGTACCTATTCGCCATCTACATGGTAGTGTTGTTGACAACGGCCAAGTTTTCTAGCCCGTTCGACACGCTCAAGCGATAACATGAAGATCGTCATCGATTATTCGCCCATTGGTCGGGTCTCTTTGCCGGTGGCTTTCGTATGGAGCCAGCAGTGCATGAGAGAAGTATGCAAAGTAACTTATGCCGTTACCTATGTAGGTAGTTAGTTATTCAAAGTATTGAGTACTTTGACAGATTTGTCTGACCCCCAACGCGCTTGTCAGGGGTATGTATAAGGGGGGAAACTCGGGTCTCCGCAGCGGGGGATATGTACCATGTAAGTCACTAACCTATGTAAGTTACTATGTAAGTGAGATGTGACTCGAGGGCCTAAAAGCCAAAAGCAAGGCTCCCCCCTGTCGATGAACTTGCCTATTCGGGAAGTGCTGAATCGGGCATTGGCTCGGCTGGACGGACTAGACGGACTAGACGGACTAGACGCGGCGGGCTGAAGATAGTGTGCCCTGATACTTGGAAAAGAAACCGAAAAACAGAGCACAACTCGCATAGTTTTAATTAGCTTTGATTACTTGTAGCAGCCACTGACGATCGACGCAATAAGTACATAGTAAAATAAAGTCTTGCGTATCCACACGGGATATGGAATAATGAATATGGAATATGGGATAGGTATTATGGGATATTATGGGATATAGGACATAGGGTATGGTACAGCACTGGATATAATAGGCAGGAGAATGTCGATCCCCTAGATATGAGTGTCTGTTCTTCCATCTTTGACGCAAAACTTCAAGCTGAGAATTTCTGTAGAACCCCATCTTCCAACTTCTCAAACACAAATTCGTGACGTTTATTGTTTATTTTTTTTATTTATTTATTTATTTTGTTGGTGCCCGAAAGCTCCGTAGTTTAGACTAGAGCTAGACGGTCAACGGTCAACATGCGCGCCTTCACCTACTTCATTCTCTCTTTCGTCGGCGCAGCTCACGGCCTACCGATACTCTTAGCCGAGCACAAGCGGGACCAGCTCATCAACCTCAGTCCCAATCTCGATCTTGGGCTCAATGCCAGTAACGATAACTCCTGCCTTGGGTTAGGCATCTCCGTATGCGATCCCATCACCGTCGACTCCGAGAAGAACTCCACCGTCGTACATGACGACGGCTCTAAGGCTAAGACTAAGGAAGAGCCGAGCACCAACGACAGTGGCTCCGGGGACTCTCTGATCAACCTGAGCCCCGATGTCGACCTTGGCCTCGACCTGAGCAATGAAAACAGCTGCTTGGGCATTGGCATTAGCGCCTGTGATCCCATCACCGTCGGCTCAGATGTCACCAACACAGTCAAGGACGGTGGCGACGAGGCCAAGGTTGTTGAACCATCTTCTGCAGCATCTACAACCACAACTACACCCGCACCTGCAACATACCCTGTCCAGCCTATTCCTACCAGTAGCACCAGCCCAACCAGCAGCCCTGCTACCAACGGCGGCGGTAACAGCCTACTTGACCTGAGTCCAAAAATCGCTCCAGATCTCAACCTAAGCAACGACAACAGCTGCCAGGGCATTGGCATTTCAGCCTGCGACCCCATCACGGTAGATTCCATTGTCAAAAACATAAGCTCGTAACACATCATCTTTCAGGCACATACTTAGGGGATTTGGCTTTGTAATTGTTGTTGTCTGGGAGGAAAAATGTATTTTAAAAAGTTGTCTTGTTACTACTTACTACCTTGTCTCAGATACCTTCGTTCATGTACATTACATACCCGTTTGATACTTCACATTGACTAATATTATTTACTATTGGTGGCTACCAAGACCCTGAAATCACCCCATCACCCACCGTATTAGGTGGTATGTATAACACAGCAAGGCTGGAACTGTGAAGCATGCTTGATTATTAGGTGCTCACAACATGACCTCGGAAGGACCTTGACAATACCACAGGCGCGTAGAAACATCGGAATTGATGTAGATTAGTTTTTTCGTGGATAACAATTATTTCACCCGTAAGGCATAATAATGGTGATGAACTTTTAAATAGGTAGTTATTGTAATCCATACATACATCTCATAAGTGCCCAACCATGCTAATTTGACTGCCTTCATTTACATGTCTTACAGACTTTAAACATGAATACCTAGGTATGTAGCAACACCGTAGCCACCAACAGAGAGCCAGTCCTTGTTTCCGACTTCTCAATTTCCCAATTATCTCCATGTATATACGGTATGAAAAATTACGAATTAATTGTTAATAAGTGGCAGAGTATGGTTCATGCATTTCAGATGGCGGTAACCTTGACGGTGACGCCCTCCTTTGGTCGTAGTACTAATCGCCACATCTTCCACTCTTCGGGATCAGGCGTGTCAAAGTCACGCTTGAATTCGTACATGCTGAGCAAGCAGCATAGCAGAATCTTCATTTCGATCTCCGCGAACTTGCGGCCGATGCAACCGCGCGGGCCTTGAAGGAAAGTCATAAACGCATTGGCAGTGAATGTCTTGGGTAGGTCATCCCACCGATCTGGGTCAAACTCATCGGCGTTAGGGCCCCAGTACATCGGTAACCGGTTGATGGCATTTGCAAGGACGTAAATAACGCTACCGGCAGGAACCTTGTAAGGGCCAAGCTGGTCGTCGGCGAGGGATTGCCGCACTGTCATAGGGATAGGAGGGATGTAGCGCAATGATTCACGGCAGACGTTGTCGAGGTAAGGGAGCTGATCGGGGTCGGCAGTGGCAATTGTTTCGGGGTCAAAGCGGGATTCTTTGTCAAATAGGAAGGGCATGAAGTCTTTGATCTCTTCGCGAAGGCGGGACTGGATCTCGGGGTGGGTGGACAACAAGTGGATAGTCCAGGCTACACCAGTTGCTGTAGTGTCGTGACCAGCACCCAGGAAGGTCATGATCTGGTCGCGCATGGTTTCAAAGGAAAGACCAGCTTCTCCCATAGCCTTCATCTTTTTGTTATCACGGGCGATAAGAGCAATAATATCCTTGCCACCGGTGTTGTTCTCTGCTTGCGCTTGCTTCTCGGTAATAATCTCGGTAGCTTTGTCTAGAATAATGCTTCGAGAAGTCTGCATGTCCTGGTTCATCTTGGAAGGGAGGTACTTGGAGGCAGGGATGAAGGCTTGAATTCCGTGCATAATACGAGATCCAATATCAAAAGCGAAGACGAGGCGATAGGCCTCGCGAATAGGCGTCTCGGGGTTGCGCAGCGAGCCAATTTCGTATCCGAAGCCGGCGCTGCCAATGATATCCAGTGTAGTTCTGTTGAGCCACTCGAGTACCTCAAAAGACTTGGTCGTGACCCCCTCAGCAGCCATTTCCTCGCGCCAGCACTTGGCTAGAAGAAGCGACTTCTCCCAGAAGACCGGAGCGAGTGCACGGATGGACTGGATCGAAAAGCCCGGAGCGAGGGACTTGCGTTGGTGAGCATGCTCTTGCCCCTCGGCGAGTAGAACGCCCTCACCCAGGATGCGGACCATCCAAAGCTTGGCGCGGACAGGCTTAGGGTAGTTGTAAGGGTTCTTGACAGTCATCTGCTTGAGGGCTTCATCGTCGGCAACAGAAAGACGTTCCGCACCGAAAGGGAAGAAGTATCTGACGATAGAACCGTGCTGCTGATGCCAGTTCCGCTGAGGCACACCACATTCTTGCGTGATGATATCGAAGAACTGGCCCCAGAGAGGGAAGCCCGGTACAGTCGGTACATGTCTCAGTTCGGACACATAGAAGGGAAATATCCAGCTAAGCCAGACGACAACGTATAGAGGAAGCACAACAGCCAGCGACGTTGCGACCACTGAGGCAATTGGCAGTTCAGCCTGACGCGCATATAAGAACGAGGCGGCCGCCGTCGCCGCCAGGACCGGAGTCATGGTGACTTTGGACATCTTGAAAGGGTATGTTGGAATGACAGCAGAACAAGAACAAAGACCTCGAAGCCGAGCGTCGGGAGGAGAGGGAGTATATGAGATTCAACTTTGGTGTAAGGTCGCGGACATGTTGACCGGGGCTGATAAGATCAACAAAGAGTGATATTATATAGATAGACGAATGGGAACACACTGAAATATGTGATGATGCCATACTGGAAGAGGGCGTGTAAGACAACGTCTGAGAAGGGGGTCCACCTAATTTCGAGGCACGTCTTGGGCTTTGGGGGTTACTGAGATTAGAACGGAAGGCCACCCAGTCCCAGTGGGCTGGACTTAGATCCAAGAACTGGGTTCAAAAGCATAGGTACCTAGGCACTAACCCAGAACTTGGTCTATTCAGCCCGCAATCTCGGGACAGGTATTCGTCAAGTTTATGTGACGTCGATCTTTGCTGCAATTATCGACCTTACGCATCGTTAGGTCTGAATACCTACCCACGAGCCAACGGCACTAATATGGAAGTCATCTATGCTGGGGCGTTGCAGGAGCATATGCGATATAGCTCAACTGTCGATAACGCTATTACGACTTAGACCCGTAACCGTTTTGTGGATAACCGTCGCTTGGTACACGTAGCAATATCGCCGAAAAGCCCGGTTCCCAGCTATCCGGGTTCTAAGAACTAGACCACTCCACTACTTAGTGGTACTATAAAAAGTGAAAAGTGAGCGGCACTAGAGGATAAGTCCTTGAATAGTAAATCCTACTGACGTAAAGCCTCTTTTTCTTAAAAAAAAAAAATACATCGCCGGCGAGTGCGGAACTGTCCATGATCTTGGCTTGGCGATATTTTGGCATTGGCGATGGCTGACTCTAGGTACTTATCAGGTCAGCTGGACGTAGGATCTAGACCGATGAGTTCTTATCAGGCATAACAGGGGGCGACAACTATGTCGATCTGACTGGTCCTACAATTTGAGTGTGTGGACAAGTTACCACGCTTTCTGAATGGAACAAACAAGGATTCCAGTTGCAATCACATGCATGTAACCTTCACACCGTGACTTATTGAGCATACCATATATCATGGTACATGCCATAAAGCCCTCTCAGGTAAGACATATCGATAGCCTCCAGAATCCTAAACGAGAAAGGGAATTAGTAGATACATACCTGTCTAGGATATCTGTGAGCCACATACCCCAACCGGGGAGGCCTTTGTCCGAGACTATAGAAACAAGCGTATCCACAGTTGTTAGGATTTTGTTGAAAATATGCCATCATCTAGGCCCGAAAGATGTACTGTTTTACTTGTAATTAGCATCAAAAGCAATGGTGTAACCGCACCTTCATACCGTCTTCTATGTGGGGTACCTAATATAGAGTCGACTAAATCCCTAGAATAGAATAACTTCGATCGAGTATCCGGGATTATTCTTAAACTCACTAGGTTTGCTAGCTCAACCTATCCATTTTCAGCCGGTTGATCTTGTAGGCTAGCTTGTTAGTCGACGCGGTATGACATCGATCGCTTAATCTCTATCCAGATCATCGGGCGCTTATAATAATAACGACATTCAACTTCAAAACTCGTGATAGAACCAGACGCTTTTTACTAGAATTCTTTTTTCAATATTGTTACACTTGGGCTTCTCGGCTGGCCTTGTCGACCTCCCTATTATTCTCATATTTGTTAATTAGCCATGTCTTTTGATTCTATCCATGCCTTTCAGGCCTCGCCCGGCGTGATCAAGATCGCGCCGTGGCAGGCTTTTGACAAGCTTTGGATGTCCGTTACGGGATATCATGCAAACGAGTTCAGGTTCAAGGAGGGGGTCACTCCGATGTCGACCGCTACAGAGACCGTTGGCATGATCGTCCTGTATCTCGTTGTCATCTTCGGAGGCCGCGAGTTTATGCGCAACCGCGAGCCGCTGCAGTTGAACGGTCTGTTCAAGGCTCACAACTTGTTCTTAACACTACTGAGCGGTGGCCTCCTAGTTCTCTTCATCGAGCAACTAGCCCCGAGTATCTGGAAGCATGGCCTGTACTCGAACATTTGCAGCGCAGAGGGCTGGACTGACGAGCTCGTAACTCTCTACTATGTGAGTATTGAAGGTCGAGACCCATCAACTGCGACGAAAACGCTAATGCAAGGCAGCTCAACTACATCACCAAATACATCGAACTCATTGATACTGTCTTTTTGATGGTCAAGAAGAAGCCTCTTACCTTCCTCCACACTTACCACCATCCGGCAACGGCATTGCTGTGCTACACACAACTGCTCGGTCACACGTCGGTTTCGTGGGTCCCGATTACTCTGAACTTGACTGTGCACGTCGTGATGTACTGGTACTACTTCCAAAGCGCACGAGGTGTCAAGGTTTGGTGGAAGGAGTGGATTACCCGAATGCAGATTGGCCAGTTCATTCTCGACCTTGGTAAGACCCTGACCGGACTACTCTTTGAGATGGGAGACGCTAACGATGGTGACAGGATTTGTGTACTTCGCATCGTGGGACTACTTTGCTAGTGCCCATGCTCCGTATCTCCCGCATTTGGGGCGATGCGCGGGTGAGCCTTTCGCTGCCGTCTGTGGTTGCCTGATCTTGAGCTCGTATTTAGTGCTCTTTATCATGTTCTATATCGCCACATACAGGAAGGCATCATCTCGCAGGGCCAATAAGAAGTCAGACAAGCACGCCGTCTCATCCATGAGGCAGAGCGCAGCCAAGGTGGCCGACAGCTGCAGCGGAGTGGAACATATGAACAGTTCGATGGTTTACAGAAAGTGATTTTCTGTCAGCTTTACCTATTCAAGCCCAACGCTTGGATACTTGCATGGACTGTGGATACTTAATCGTCAACCTGTCAGATTCTCCTAAGATCTAGAAGGGGGGGGAACGGGAGCATGGTCCGGGGGGGGGGATGGAGTAGGCGTCCCTGTCTATCATTGCAAACTAATGAAAATATATAATTCTTAGTCTAATGTCAGCTGTCTAATGTGTACGCATTTTCGAATTGTTCTAAGCCTAGCGTCATCGGCAAAAATTTCATATCATAGCAATAAAGAGAAACAAATTATTTGAAAGCATAATAAATTATGGCGTTTCGAGTTCCGGTAGTTGTCTGCAAGCCAAGGGGGGAGGGATTTTGGTTATCATTTATCATGTTGGCGTGAAGTTGAAAAAGAGGCGTGACGGCCAAGAGAATCGGCAGGGCGGAAATCACCTTGACCCTTGTAAGTGGTCAATGCACCCTGCTGTGGCATGTAAATGTTACCCAACCCGCAAGCCTAGCTTATTTCCTGTTTGTTTTGATTTTAGGTACCTACCTTATAATAGAGGTACTGAAACAACATTTGAACCAATCACATATCAGGAGCATAAGCAATGTACTAGATACATCTCTAGTACAAGCAATAATCAAGGAACAAAGTCATTGATTACAGGGGTCCTTCAGCCTCTCTTGCCAGCTCTACACTAACCCTGTCCTTATTAAACCCTGTTAAGGCACTCAATCCTCTAAATCCGATAGCTATCGCCAATTTTCCATCCACAAATCGTGAATACTATGTACTTTGGTATTCAATACTTCCTTCGCTTCTGCAAGTTTCACTATGTACATGGGTATTGTACTACCGAACTATAGGTACCCAACTACCGACCCTTGCAGTCAAGTACACTAATTCTTTATTTTAGTACGTTACATAACGGGCCGTTGGAGATATCCGCTTCTTTTTATGTGATCAAGATCGATCGATAATACTTTGCAATATGTGAATCATCGTGGCAATATTATATATTACCTTTAATAACTACCTAGTTTATTATTATATACATACTGACAAAAATGTTGCTTGTCCGGTGAATTCTTCTAACTATATGTAGTAGTTGAGTTGTGGTTAAGCACTGTTTAACTACAAGATCAAAATTAAAAGATGTATTATGCTTTGCATTGATATGTATAAGATCTTGCTTAATCTTGATGAACGTCGCTTTAGCCACGTCACACAAACCCCTAATGTGCCGAAAGCTTAACTAGCTTTTCACTTTTCCCCCTTTCGTTTAGGTAGTTAATTGTTTTTATTCAATAGGACCTTCAATGTTTCAGCTGGTATTCAATACGCTATTTCCGCCCGCTCGCTTAAGACGGCTAGCTTAGCGTCACATACCGGCGGGTTTAAAGAAAAAGATGTTACGCTTACAAGACGCTATTCTGGACTACCGGTACCGGGAACTGCTCAACCCGAAGCAACCAAAAATTTCTTATCAAAATATACTTGCCCACATGTGACAGTGATGTAACCTGTGGTGCCCTATTTTTCGTATTTTCTACGGATGAGAATAGTTTTTGTTCCTAGGGGGAAGAAGGCTTACGCACGTTGCCCGATATGTATCGTACAGAATATTATGCAGGAAGATAGGCTGGCCTCCTACTTGCCGCGCTCTCCGAAAGCCCTAGCGTAACCGTAACCTGGTTTTTTAACTTGGAAACATTTTAGTAACAGTTTCTGAGACATTTTTGGACCCTCTAGGGCATCTGATGCTCTCGATGCCGGGTAGACCTGGAGGGCTGTCCAGCAACCTAGCAACCTAGCAACCCAGCGCACCGTCACCATACACGCTATTCTCCACAAAGAGCACGGTCGTTTACTTGACTTGGAAGGACTTACAGCTTTGACTTTACTAGATCGTGGGATTCCTCCTAGTTTGGACATATCTGAATCCAGAGGAACGGAACGATTAGTCAATGATTCAGCGATGTCAATCACTACCTATTTTGACATGTCATCTCCTAGCTCGATGATAAATGAGCAAGTAAAGTAGCATAATGCCTAGACTTACAGTAAGTACCTTACCCATGTAGCAGCAGCAGGGAAAGAAGTTCCGCACAGCACGGATAGACAAAGGGTGGGCGGGCACCTTAGGGCTTCTTCTCTCTCCGTTGTTAACTGCTACACAACTTGAGGCTAGACCATGTCATCCTTCATCAAAATGATATCACAACCCGGGGCGCGGGTTAGGCTGCTTCCTGTCTTTCAGCTGGACTTTCCTAACATATATGCGTGCGGGAACGTTGCGGATAACTGCCGTATCTTGTGAGACCTTTACATGATGTTGCCCAGCGAAACACATGTTGATATTTCATGCCAATCTTTCATGCCAGTACAAGAGATTAATAACTTACATACAATAGATCCCAACTTTTACAACCTTCACAATTTCCTTTGTCCAGATCCAACCAAGATGTCGACGACGTACATCCTAGGCTCTATTAACCAGAGCCGTGGATCAACTTATGACTTTTCATCAGAAAGTCCCCTAGCCGAGATTCAATCATCTAGGCCCTCTATTGCAGATCTAATATACCTTCATCTAACATGGTCGACGCTCTGGTTTACGTTACTATGTTTTTTCGTCGTATTAAACATCAAGAACATGCCGTTTATGTGGCACGTAAGTAACTCTCGTCTTATACTTATACTATCGTGAAGCTAACATACTCTGAAGCTTCGACTTGTTAATGCTTTCCGTTTTATCTTACGAACACAACGGCCAGCTGTGCCGCTCACACCTGCTCATATCTTTCAACCTATCATCACCTCTTCCACGGCGCAACTCATGGAGATTGACTTCAACATGCACAAATCTAATTCATCATATTTCGCGGACGTTGATATCGCACGAACTCATCTAGTCTGTACATTATTTGCGAAGGGCATCGATCAGATGCGCGGTGGAACCGCTGCATACACCGGGTCTAAGAAGCCCGTGTTCGGCCTTGCGCTCGGCGCTGTATCGTGCAACTTCAAGCGCGAAGTACGTCCGTATGAAGAGTACGAAATGTGGTCTAAAATTCTATCCTGGGACGAGAAATGGATCTATATCGTAACCCACTTTGTCCGCAAGGATGCCGCCAAGCCAAAGAATTATTCACTATACCCCGAGCAGTCACCAAGCCGGAGTCGACGGAATAGCACTGCAGAATTGGACGAGGACCAACTTCGTTACTCGAGTCTTGACAGTGTATCGCCCAACAGCAGCGACATGGAAAATGAGGTCAAACCGGACCAGCATATCTTTGCCACAGCTTTGAGCAAATGCGTCTTTAAATCTGGCCGTAAGACTGTTTCACCGGAACTCATGCTACAGATTTCCGGGTTATTACCGGCGGATAGCTCCGAGGAGAAAACTTTAGACGAGGTCACAATGCAGGCCATTGAGACGCGGAGGCAAAAGGGGCTTGAGACCGCACAGCTCCTTGCCGGCCAGACCCAACAGAATCTCGAGGCCGAGTTCGCAGGTGCAGACTGCGAGGCCTTGGGAAGACACACGGACGGTGCAGGCATTGTTGGAGTAGTCAACACTCTCATGCAGCTTGCGCGTTTGAAAAAGACGCAATTATTATGATCGTCTCGTATCACGTCTCATTGTCATCAACATTGATTACGGTGGCGTTCCCAAGATATATCACTTGCATTCCATCCATCTATAGCGACAGCTTCATTATTAATGTACCATATCCCTAGCATACGGCACCCTACATACTCACATACATACCTTGCATCATGTATGTAGTTGAAAGTATAATGAGCTAATATAATACGTACATGTCAATGTAACATAGACAGAATAAAGCTCGGTCCCTTTGGAACGATTGGTCATAGTAGTCACATATCTAGGGGTCATACATAAGGGCGGCGGTTGCGTATTCTGATAATATTAATATATTCTACCTATCTAATCTTAATACGAGATGACCCCCAACTCTATCTCGCAGTTGGAGAAGCTTGGTTCGACCACGTCGGTCGCGTGTGCGCGTGGGAGTAAACAGGACGAAGCAAAATGTTACATGTGTAAGTATTTTGTAGTTATTCCCGACTTTGCGACTTTGCGACTTTGAGACCGAATTTAAGGGTAACTCAAAATAATTTCTCCTCTCCATTGAAAAAAAAAGCCAGGGACATACCTAGGTTAGTTTAGTGTCAAGATAGATAGGGTTACGCTGGGATCCAAAAGAAGCCTGAATGTTACGTAGCGAGATAAGAAACAAGCTATTTTTATTTTTAGTTATACCTATCTACCAACCAATAACTCTTAACTGTTGAAAGCCGTCAAGCTAACTCTTAGCTGTTGAAAGCTGTCAAGCTATTAGCTTGTGTTGATAGCAACCATTTTTTATTGCCTACCTATGCTTTGTATAAACAGACTATCACGGTGTACCCCTATAAAGCGTAGTAAGTAAGTAGAATTTAATAGCCTAACAAAGCATCCTCGATATTCAGTAGTTCCGACGAACATGCAGGTAGGGGCAAATCGAACCATGGTAAGGAACGGAACACTTATGAATCACGTCAATAATAAGCATTGGTGGGATTACGATATCTTGTCTAACCAGTTCTGGGGAAATCCAAAGTTAGGTTATTGCACGAAGGACGGAGACAGACAGCACCGAGTACAATAGTCTCTTCTCGGCAAGCCACGTGGATGGTAAACATCAAAACATCCAATTCGAGTAAGACCTGAGGCTCCATAAGACTCGACGCTAGGGGACTTTTTACATCATGCGAATAATGTCTCTGCTGGCCGTCTTACCTGGTGATATTGTACCTAGGTACACTAGGTAGTCGGTACATCTTGAACCCCTACGCGAACACTACCTACCTACGCATTAGTTGCGCAACCCGGGAACGCAGGTATGCTGTAGCGCCGTTGACTGTGGCATGTATAGGATACATGTGCATGTAGGTAGGAGGTACTTCTGCTACAAGTGTTACGAAGTACTGAAACGGGAAGAGTAAAAAGACTAAAGATTTAGGTACATGAATAGATACATAAATAGGTACTATGTATGTAAGCAAGACTAAGGGATAACAGCGTTCATTTGAGCGGTACATACTAGTCCCGGGCTTCGGTGGCTATAGTAGCTGCTGCAGCTGCTGCGGTGGCTTCGGTCCACATCCGTCACCTACCCACTTTATTAAATTCCAAGACGGCGGGCCGCAGATCTCTTCCCCTTTCAAGCTCCGATTCATGATAGCGTCTTCTTCTTGTCTCTACTGTGGTATCTCTGCTGTCTCGCCCCTGGTATCTCCTACAGGCCAACTCACCCGGCTCACCCAATGCTCTACTCTAAAGACCCCTTGGCTACTCTGGCTACTCTTAAGCTTCATAGCTTAGACCGGCCCTTTTTCAGCTCGTATCCACCGAATCCACAGCAACGGTAGGATCGACATCGCCGCGCTCCAGCGCCAGCTCAACAGCGCTATTGAATCTTGCCAGCTTTTGTTTCGCTTCCTACTATTGGTCCAAGAGTCGCTAAGCTTCTGTTTTGACGTTAATAGTGATCGCCGACCTTATACTCGGAGCTTGTTTGTCATGCATGGTATTTGCTAACGCTTTCTTCATTGTTTTGGGATCCTCTATCGTATGCCGTTTTATCACTCGTAGCTTAGACATTCCAACTTATCCCATGTCGGCAAAGCGGTTTTGTAAACTCTTCCAATGGGAGAGGAGGTAATTTACCGGGATCGAATCATCCAGAACTAGCGCCATCTGCGGGAAAAACAAGGCAGCTTGTTATTCGTGGGGGCTTGCTTGCGCAACTGCGAGCTAAGGTCTAGGCGCAATCGGCATTGGGAAATTAGCATTGAGGTGCCATACCCGCGGAAGAGGTGGACCGAGTAGGTAGGCGTGTAAGTGACGTCGTACCTCCACGGTGAGCCGGTACCTATGTGACTGGGGTAACACGGTCTCCAACGCTCGTTTAGATGTTTTCTTACTGTCTTCACTATCTTCGACTTGGACTTGGGTCCGAAGCTGCACTGGTTATCGAACCTGTCGAACCCGGAAATAATAGTAAATGCGCGATGGAGGAGGACGCCAACCATCGTACCTCGTCAGTGTATCTATCCGCAACTTCTAACGATGGCAGGGTCAGCCTCTCCTCGACGCAATGTGATGGCGATGCTGAATCGAGCCTCCCTCCGCTTCGCGCGGCCTCTCCTTTCTGGCTCGCCGGAGAACTCATCGATGGCGTTTCAAAGTTGAAGTATTCCCACTCGAGGGATATTTCCACGGCCTCGAGCAAAACGTTGAACGGAGGCAGCGAGACGGATAGCCAAGTTTACTTAGACAGGCAGACTACCTTGGCCGATCTTCTGATAGATTCGGCTCATCTCCGGCATCTATCGACTGTTAGAACAGATGACGCCAAGTTCAGAATCGTCTCGTCTACTCCCAAGGAACGGCTCGTCACGCCCGTCGGGGAGCAAAGACACCCTGGGAAACCGGGGCTGCAATTTTGCAAGACTTCGCGGCCGTATAAGCCGGAACCACAAGGAGATAGCGATGGGCGAAGCGAACGGTCCTCCGTCACAATAACCGAAGCTGCCGACCAGAATCAGTTCTTACAGGGAATCCCTTTACTTCTACTCATTATCGGTCTCTCATTAGTCGTTTTCTTAATTTCTATAGATCGAACTATCATAACAACTGTGAGTAAACAGAGAAAGCTTCAAGCTCGGAATAGGAGACTAACATGGAATATAGGCCATTCCTTTTATTACCGCCGAGTTCAAATCTACAGCGGACATTGGCTGGTATGGCTCATCATACCTTCTCACGGCATGCGCCTTCCAACCCGTCTTCGGGCGCGTCTTCACTCTCTTCAACATCAAATGGTCGTATCTTCTTTCCATGTTTGTTTTTGAAATAGGCTCTATCATTAGCGGCTTCGCGCCATCTTCAGCAACATTAATCATCGGACGCGCGATTTCCGGGTTTGGCAGCGCAGGCATCTTAACCGGGAGCTTTGTAATAGTTGCTACGGCTGTACCATTAAACGTTAGGCCGATATATACTGCAGTGGTTGGGTTAATGTGAGCACTTTATAACCCCTGAATGTCAATCACGGCAAGCTAATTTTGTAGGTTCGGTGTTGGCGCTACTGTTGGCCCTCTCATCGGAGGTGTATTTACGGATCTAGTTGTATGTATAACCCCTAAACCGTCGAAGAACCGACATGCTGACATTAATGCAGACATGGCGATGGTGCTTCTGGATTAACCTTCCGGTTGGTGCCGTAACCATCATTGTGATGATACTGGTATATCACCCGCAACCGCGCACGGGGTCCAAGGGGAAAATCACACAGCGTTTGATCAGCCTCGACCTCGTCGGGAATGTAATTCTCTTGGGCGCCGCGGTGATGTTATTCTTGGCCTTGGAATATACTCTCACGGGCGCCGATTGGGCGAGCGCTGAAGTTATCGGTCTGCTCTGCGGTGCCGGCGTGACGGCAATCGTATTAGTTGGATGGCTCCGGTGGAAGAAAGATCGTGCTCTGATCCCGCCCGCAATTGCCAAGCAAAGGACCGTCGCCGCATCATGCCTGATGGCATTTTTTACTTACGGCGCCTTGCTGATCCATACGTATTTCCTCCCGATCTGGTTCCAGTCCATTCTAGGCTACAGTGCCATTCAGTCAGGGGTTGCCATGATCCCGTACTTTGTTGCAAACGCTTTATTTTCCGTATTCTCGGGGATTTTCGTGTCGGTCGTCGGCTACTTCACACCGCCGGCCATTCTCGGCAGCGCAATCGGCACCGTAGGCTGTGGTATTATCACGCTGTTCAACCCGAGCATGAGTACGGCAATGTGGATTGGATTCGAAATTCTCGCGTCGGCTGGATTCGGTATGTCAATTCAGCAGGGCTTTACGGCGGTGCAGACGGTTCTCGGACCGGACGACTTAGCGGTCGGTACTGCTGCCGTCGTCGCGTCTCAATCGCTAGGTGGAGCCATCTTTATATCGGTCGGCAATAGTGTCTTCCAGAACCGTCTCGCGGATCTCATCGAACAGACGGATATTCCAGGCCTTGACGTCCGTGCTATCGTCGGCGCAGGGGCCATCGCCTTCCGAAAGGTTGTCCCGCCCGAGCAGCTTCCCGCCCTACTCAAGTTGTACGACGAAGCACTACATACCGTCCTTCTCGTTGCAATCCCTCTCGCCGGCTTGGCGTTCTTGTCCTGCTGTGCTCTACAGTGGAAGTCCGTTAAGAAGCCAAACAAGCCTATAGCTGCAACGGAAAAGATGTAGATATTATAGGCTATTATAAGTTCTTTTGTTATATTATATTAACCATGGCATGATAGGTTAGGATAAGACAAGTAATGGGTCAAATTTGTATTAATACGGCATATTAATGTTAAGGGGGACGTAGTGTCTAATCTTCCGCGTTTAATGCTTTACCACGCGCTGCCACGCTGCCACGCTGCCACGAGAATGGCGCAATGCAACCCCCGGCCAGTTGGGATCATCAAGCATTAACCAAGCCAGCAGGGCTGCCAGGGTCTGAAATCTGTTAGTGTTTTGCATAGGGTTCTTGGATTAGGAATAATAGGGCAAATCTATTTAGCTTATACGCATATGATAGATATAGTTAAAAGAATATCTTTGTTAGTTGAGCTATACAACATACAAGCGATTGTTTGAAATAAAGAAATCAATCAATTCTTTTTTCTTTGACTCGGTGGCACGATGAATATAATAGGATGTCACTTTGGAAAACTGGACATACAGAATCCTACGGGGTGGGCATATCTGCAAACCCTGGTGATCTTATCTGCGTTTTGGTCAGCACATAAACCGTGCTCTGTTGTTAGACAGAAAAAACAAGAGGCAACCAAACTTCCGGACGAGTCACAAGAAAAAGAAAAAGAAAAAGAAAAAAACCGAAACCCACCGCTGTTCATTCATTCATTCATTCATTCATCCATTCACCCATTCACTTATTTAGTCATTCGTTCATTAAATAATTTCCTTCTTGTCTATTAAATCGCCGTCGCGGCTGGACCGAAATTTCAAGACGTTCTTTTTTAAGGTCTAGAGATCAGCCATATACTGCCATAACTGCCATATCTGCCATGGGGATTCAATGGTGGGAGGATTTCGGCGACAAACATCCTAAAGTTCATGACACTCTGGCCAACGCGGCATACGCCATAAAACCGTATCTGCCCCCAGTCAATTATATCACGCTGCACTATGCGTACTTCATCGGCACCACGATCGTGGCCACGCTCATCTTCTGGGGCGCTTCGGCCCCGAAGTACAGCGTCGGGTGGTGGGATAGCATGTTCATGGTCATGTCGGCGCTGACTGCGTCCGGGCTCAACACCGTCAACGTCAGCCAGTTGACGACGTTCCAGCAGGTGGAGCTGTGCGTGTTGATGATGATTGGGAGCCAGGTGTTGATCTCGTACGTTACGATCGCGTTTCGGAAACATATCTTCGAGAAGCGGTTCGAGGATATCGTCAAGATGGAACGCGAGAAGCGGAAGAAGAAGGTGTCGGGAACCGGTGCTATCGTCGGCATGACGGGTGCTATGTTTGGGCTGCAGGTCATGTCGTCGTTTGGAAAGGGGCGCGCCGGCGAGAAGGCCCGGCCTACTGGCCACGTGAGGAACCTGTCTTCGTCAACCAGGAGGGCGCTTGCTGCCGAGGAGGGAACTATTTCAGAGATCGACGTCGAAAATGCGAGGGGCCAGCACCACGTTGGTTTCCTGGAGCCCGTCCAAGAGGGCAAATCCCTCGAAGGCCACTCGGCGACAACCGCGCATTCGATCTACCAGACGCAATCTCACCAGAGCGGAGCGACGAGACGACGCTCTGGAACGGCGGAATCGAGGACGGCGTTCGAGGGGTTCAACGTGCAGACGTTTCTAACCGAGCAGAAGCGCAACATCGGGAGGAACGGGCAGTTCTTCAACTTGTCGGAGGACCAACGAGAGTACCTCGGCGGCGTCGAGTACCGCTCGCTCAAATTCCTGTCTTTCTTCGTCATCGTCTACTTCCTGCTGTGCCAATTCTTCGGCGCCATCGCTCTCGGCGCCTGGATGTCCGTCTACGCAGCCGACACCGCCGCCGTCAACGCCCAGAACCCGTGGTGGGCGGGCATCTTCCTGGCCATATCCTCGTACAACAACGCCGGCTTCACGCTCCTGGACGCCGGCTTCATACCCTTCCAGTCTTCGTATTTCCTGCTCGTCGTCGTCACGCTGCTGTCGCTCGCGGGCCCCGCGGCTTTCCCGGTTTTCATGCGGTTTATAATATGGAGCATGTCGACCCTCCTGAATCTTTGTTCCAAAGATAGGGAGTACGGCGTCTGGAAGGAGGGCTTCGACTTTATCCTGAAGTTCCCTCGTCGCGTGTATACCAGTTTGTTTCCGGCCAAGGATACTTGGATGTTTGCGGCTACGTTTGGAGCGTTTGTGATAGTGGATTGGGTCTTGATTCTGCTTCTCAGCATTGGAAATCCGACTATGGATGCTATTCCCGTCGGCCAGCGGATCTTTGACGCGCTCTTCCAGGGATTCTGTAAGTGTCTTCCCTTATGACAATAATACTTGGTGATTTAGAGAGGATCTTGAACTAACGGGCTGAACAGCGATTCCTTCGGGAGGATATGCCATAGTATCACCCTCAGCCATGTACTTCGACATTCTAGTACTTTGGCTCGTCGTGTACTATACAGCGGCCTACCCCCACATCATCACCATGCGAAACTCCAACGTCTACGAAGAACGATCATTGGGTATCTACGAAGGCGACCAACCTGAGGAGGAACAACTCCACTCTGCAAGCAGCAGTATCGTCGAGGAAGATGCTGCCAACATCCTAGATGAAGCCGGACTCCAGCCAGTCACGACCAACAATAAGAACTGGGACGCGGTCTCGCGAGCGCCGACTACCAAATCCATCAAGATGCTCTATTCTGTCGGTCGACGCGGCACAGCATTCGTAGGCCGCCAGCTCCAGCGTCGTATGACGGCCTTCCAAGGCGTCGGCGTCTCCGCGCCCGCGCCCGCACCGGCGATCAAGCCGCTCAGCCGGGCCAAAACTATGGACTTCGGGCGAGCCTCGGTGCACTCTCTCCTCAACCACCCGCCGGCCGGCCCCCCCAGCTTAGTCTCGCAGCAGGTGCGCGGCCAGCTCAGCCACGACGTGTGGTGGATCGCGCTGATGCTCTTCCTCATCACGCTCATCGAGACGAGCCACTCGCTCACCGACCCGGTCTCGTACAGCGTCTTCAACATCTTGTTCGAGATCGTCTCGGGCTACACGAATATCGGCATCAGTATCGGCCTGCCCGACCAGAGCTACAGCTTGAGCGGGGGCATGCACACGGGAAGCAAGATCATCATGATCTTGGTCATGCTGAGAGGTCGGCACAGAGGCCTGCCCGTCGCGCTGGACAGGGCCATTCGGCTGCCGGGGAAGAAACTTGCCGAGTACGAGGAGGAGGACGCCGAGATCCGGAGCATGTCTGCTTTTTCGCGTTGAGCTTAGCGCCATGATTGTTTTGAATACGAACGATGCTATCAGCATGCTTCGTAGATAAATCGGGTGCTTTGACGTCTAACAGTCGCCACTAAATATTTTATGTTTTTCCTTTGTCGTATTCTTCACCCCTTTTTTAGATCTGTTTTCTATCGAGATATCAACGCGATTAGACGGAGTAATAGAGGCAAGTATTGCGGTTCAAGGGCCAGGGACATATTTGAACTTTGGCTTGAGATTAATCAGGCGTTATAAGCGAGCGGGCAATACACACACACGGTTACGAAATATAGAAGTTATTGAATTCATCAGAGGCTCGCCTTAGTCATAGTTAGTACGTATGATAACTAGATTTTATCATGCGTAAGACATAGAGCTATACCCTTACTGGGCTTTACTGCTAGTTACGAGAATGAAAAGATGTTTTCTCGTATGAGCTTAGTATGAGAGTGTTCTTAATACTCAGGTGTCTAGGTGCTTCTCCTGTTAAGATCGGCCGTGATAATTTACGTCTAGAACTAGTCTACTTATACAAACGTTGTAATCCGTAACGGTAAAAACATATAACACTTTATGATAAGAAAGCAGAATGTCGAGATTGAGATGACCATGATTTATCCTCGTCACTGCATACCTAACCTAGGTAAGTTGTCCCCGAGCATCTCCGGCACCCCTTCCGGCTTGACCCACATACCGACCGGCTAGTCATACGCCGACCGGCATCCGAGCGTAGCTTCCTTGGCTTGTTCGGGCTTGTAGGATGTTATTACACCCGTGTCTAGCCAGATGACCGCAGATAGCTTGGTTTGCCCAGGCTCTTAGAGAACCCGACGTCAAGAGCACTGGTGATCCGTACCTGTGATATGATAGCGTGGTCGTCCAACCCATGTTTGCGCCTTTGAATATCTTCACACCTAACCAAGCAAATTTCCACCAAAACCCGCCCGGTTAGCTCAATCGGTAGAGCGTGAGACTCTTAAGGTTCTCGTGGAAACGAGAGAAAAGAAATCTCAAGGTTGCGGGTAAGTCTAGATATAAATAATCCTTAGGATGGTCATCCTCGTACTAACCCGTTGCCATAGGTTCGACCCCCGCATCGGGCTCAATTCCTGATGCTTCTCATTAATTTGAGAAAAATCAACCTTCCTTTTTTTTTCTTCTTCTTCTTTAATTTTTGTGCGCGTGTAGGAGCGCGCTAAGGCTACGGTTCTAAACAGGTCTACCCTTGTTACCATAGATGTGTATTAACAGATGTGTATTGACATTCCCGAGGCCAATCCATAATATCCATAATAGTTCCATAGAGATCCGGCTAAAACTTATTAGGGCTGTCGGACCTATATTTTTTCTATGTTATCGTCTGAGTTAATAGATCCGGCCTCTCTACCACGTTGCTCGGCTTCTTCCCCTGCTGCTAGCTAAAAGCGATTCGTTTACCCAAGACCGTCGAGTTGTATATTAGAGGTCTATTTTATGGACCAGTACGAGATATCACTGACCGACTGCGTTAAAACATATAATATTGAATTGATTAATTGACCGTCGGTTCTCGCAATCGCGGTACAAGTTTCGGGTATATACCAGAAATGAAAAGAACTCAAATCGGTTGTCAAAAGTAAAGCTAGGGGGGGTGATATGTATTAATAATTATGATGATATAGCGTCGTATAAGCGAACAATAATGCTCTGCGGTAGCTTGCTCTTTGTATATGTGGTAAACCCCTATTCACCAGACACATCGCGTGTATCTGCTCCTGCTTCACCGCTAAAACACATCCCTTCAGTCGAAATCCCCCCACGTCTCGATTATGACATCCCTCTCGCCTATCCGGACATCGGCTCTTGGTCTTCGTCGGGACGAACGGCCTGACGAGTAACCGGCTGTATGTCGATGACCGGATCCATGCCCAGCTCTGGCTCCGCTTCTGTAGTATGAGCCATGGCTTGGTGCCGAAGAGCTCATGCAATTACCCATGGTATTTTTACCCTGGCTTTGGTGAGATATCCGCAATACAGTGCTTGTGTTGTGCAGTCTCTAGTAGTGCTAGGAAAGTAAGTGGTTGTTTTCTTGTTGGGCTTGTCGGTTGGAGATGGTGGTTATGAGATTGAGGGACAGGGGGTCAAGTTATAGGTTACGATGCAGGACGAGCAAGAATAAGGAAAGAGAGTAGATATGTAATTATATTTCATACAGCCTCTCTTCGTGGCAGCTGATCTGGACGGTATGCCTACCATGTCACCAGACCCCCTGGTCGTGTCTGACAAGGCAGACAAGTGACTCAACAGGCTATAGTTGATAAGGGGAGTGATTAAGACTATATAAATCATTCGCAAAATTGAATAGAAGCTCTTTTAGTTTTCACCGACGTCTATTCAATAAGTTAAATCTCTTTCTATGAAGTGCAGACCTGTGTATGGTTTCTTGTATATAATTAGGTATCCAACTAGGTAATTAATAATTGCTACATCTAATATGTGAGGCTCAGTCACATGATCGACATCATTCTCAACCAACAACATTAGCAAATCGATGCAAGGAGAAGTCGAATAACTACCTAAACTAAGATCAATAACCGGGTTTGCGATCCTCGTGGAATATCCTGCAGCCTATAAAGCTCGATTAAGGGCAATATTTGTGAGTTGTTGAACAACTTTATCATGCATACAAATCTATTTACGTCGTATTTATCTAGGGTGGCTATTGAATATCGATATATAAGAGACGGAATAATTTGCTTTATAATAGGTATCTGGAAATATCGAGTAACTCAGGTCAACGTGCTTCGGCCAGAGAAATGGCTTTGTGGTTCCGCAAGGGATCCGAACCCAAGTCATAGAAACCAATGACTAGGTTAGGCAGATATACATACTAAACTCATTCTTTGTCATAGATGTCTCATCACAAGTCACGATACAATCAATAAGGAGTCTGGTATGCCTAAAGTTAAGTTTGTGACCATTATGACACAACTCCATAGCCACCTACCTTCTAGAGACCTAAAACATTCAGGTTAGACTCTGGATCCGCTTAGCAGAAAGAGACCATATAAACCTTACCTTTTAACAGTATATTCTCCTATTTTCTGGTCTTATATTGTCCCTCATCGCCAGCCTATCGCTCCTAGCCGCCACTCACATACAACCCCAACCAAAAAAAAAGCCCATATCTTCTTACCTATCGTCAGTCTAGGAGTCTACGCAAGCATATCCCCGCTGCTAACCTCGTCTTACGCACCGCCTGTAACAACAAGACTAGAGCAGAGCACTCATGGGTTGCTGCCTTAGCTGCCCTCGCGGCAAACCCCAGGAGACATCTGAAGCTAGGGATGGGATACCGCTGCAGCAGTCTCGATCGTCCGCAGTCGCCCCCCCGCCCAAGACTTCAAGCAAACGTTCATGCATGTGCTCATGCAAGCGGAAGCGAAAACACGACATCGATGACTGCGATGCACTGGACTGCATGGTATGCTTATGCTGTTGCTGGATGGCATGGTGCTCAGATTGCTAGCTCTACTTGTTTAGCTGGTCCTCTAGGTAGGGCTGTGCTATGAGATATTAGCCCTTGAATTTCCGTGTTTTTGATTGCTAGTGGGTTGGATTATGGTGTTATACGTAACACTTTATCAGAATATAAATTATATGAACTGTTGAGATTTTAATCTGTATTATTGCCCCTGGCATTATGTGAGCACACACGACATCCTACCCCACATCGACTCAGCTCCTAAGCTCCTGAACTCCTAATGTACATGTATATAACAACTATCGTATGTATTTGTAAGCAGCTTCGAAAAGGGGGACTAGTATGTATGTACATACTAACTACCTCTATGTACATAATTCATAACTCCCTAGCGGCCGAAAAGTAGTGTCCCGTCAGTGTTTACGCCGAGTTTCCTAAAATATTCCAGGGTTTAGTCTTCCGCAAGATGCCCGCAATTCCCCGCCAGAAAGCCTGCATCGCCTGTGCGGACTCTAAGCGCAGATGCGATAAGCAGCTCCCCGAGTGCCAGCGGTGTCTAGACAGAGACGTGGACTGCGTTTACCCGCAACCTAAGAGGCGACGGAGAAATCCGACTGCGCGTGCTAGTCAGCCCGAGGAGCTTCCCGCCATCCAGAACCATGCCGACGCCGATGTTCCGGGCGACGGTCTCGATTTCGGGGACTGGGGTGCTATGGGAGTCGCCGATCTGGACGTCTCCCTGTCGGACGTGATAATGCCATACATCCCATCCCCACCGGCGCATATAGCCAGCCAGCCAACCCAGAGACTCGCGCTTGAACACGACGATATCTCCAGCACGCCATGCCCCTGGTTTCTCGGGGACGAGACGTGGATCATGCAGCACAACCAAAAACAACCGGCTACGTCTGCCAATCTCGAGTTAGAGCCCTTCATCCGCGCGGTAGAAGAAATGCTGCATTCCTGGGTCCGGAACGGCTATAATAGCTTTATTCATCGGCGGTTGTATGATAAAGGCATGCCTGTGTGTCTCCAGGACGCCTTCACGACACTTGCGACGTATGTCGGCCGCACACCAGTGATGAAGGAGACGATACTGCAGATTGCAGAGTGGCGTTCATCCGCACTCGCCAGCCAGGGCCCATGTGCTGCCGGTGGCTCACAAGGCATACGGGCACAACTGGCACGTGTGCACGCCCTGTTCGTCTACCAATTCATACTGCTATTCGACGGCTCGGTGCGTTCGCGCGCGCACGCCGAGAAGCAGCAGCCAACGCTGCGGCAGTGGGTGACCCAGATGTGCGAGGTGGCAAAGCGATACAGAGGAGAAGATGTTTTCGCCCAGGACAATCGGCAGCCTCAATGGGCCGTAAGTAGGTTTGACAGAGAATACGACGCGTCTTCGAAGATGTGGCAGCTGTGGATTTTGATCGAAAGCGTACGGCGCTCGCAGCTCATCGTCGATACTATCTCCAACATATACGATACCCTGACTAAGGGGTGGGCTGACTGCACCGGTGCTGTTATGTTTACAGCTCGTCGTGGACTGTGGGAAGCGGACTCTGCGGTGAAGTGGTTTGAGTTGTCTTCGGCGGAAGAGCCGCTGTTCGTGCCGTCTCTGCAGCCTGGACCGCTTATCTCGCAGTACAATGCCGACGAGTTTGATGATCTAGTAAAGGTGATTTGGACGTGTATAATTGGCACGGATAAGATGAAATGTTGGATTGACAAGAGTAACAAGATAATTGGAGTGTAGTATATCCTATAATAATCCTATAATATAAACATCCTAATCATGCCACTGGGTTTGAATACTCGTAGTGAATTCTTTTGACTTCTAATGTGATCTATAGACTGGCTTAACTACGCTAAGACGTTGAAATTCATAATAATCAATACTTCAACTCAAATCGTTTCTCAAGATAGCCTTCTCATACTAAGTATGTTCTAAAATTAAAGCTTGGTTGACTTCGGCCTACGAAAGGGGGCTTTGTAGATTCCCCTCACCGACTAAGTTGAAATATTAATATTATTCAATAACATTAAAAGACATTAAAGCGTTATAGTGGTAGTATATTACACCAGTTTCGTTTCAATAGTCTCTGATAGAATTATGTATCTTGTAAGCCAAGTCAAAACTCCAACAAGACAGAAACATTAAGTCATCACAATCCACAACTTAACAACAATCGCTTACTACCTATGAAAAATATTATTTCGGCGTAAATAACCACCCGAGAATATTAGCAGAAGGGCGCGTGTTGCTAAAACCCAAGGTCTGCATCAGTCCTTTTAGTTATGGCGGGCAGGATGCGGCCAATTTGCGGAAAAGTTGCGGAATTATGGCGGAATCTCCAATCAATCGATCACGTCACCAAGGGGGGGGTTCCCAATATGAGCAGCCCCGAGAAAAATAACTTTGAAGTATTCAGGGTGATTTCAAAGCAAGCCTTATGGCTGATTAAACGAAAACGAGGGCATGATGCTCGGTGTGAAATATTAGGGGATGTAGATGTCGCCTGTGTTATAAAGTCGACGGACCACCACGCAATTCTGTAAAGCACATCTCATTCCATATCATCTCAAAGTAAAATCATCTACAGCCAAGTCTTTTAAACACCTTTGCTTTAACCAACATGGCTCCCTCAGTACCTGTAAAGATCGTTCTCGGCACCCACACGGTACGTACGTCTTATCGCCTACGAGGTACTATTTTATTTCTAACAACATGATTATAGGTGGGCAGCAAAGTCAACAACCCCGGAATTGCTCACTTCGACAGCCCAGAAGAAGTTCAAGCTCTTCTAGATGAATTCTACAACCGAGGCTACAGGGACATCGACACCGGGCGCAACTATCTCGGCTCCGAGGAGCGCCTCGGGCGAGCCGGGGCCGCGTCCCGATTCATCATCCACACGAAGGTCAGGGACGGCCCTCCTGGGTCTCACGCGCCTGCGAAGATCGAGCAGAGCATCAAGATATCTCTCGAGGAGCTCAAGACCCCCAGCGTAGAGACTATGTACCTGCACGTGCCCGACCGCCAGACGTCCATCGAGGACGCGGCGAAGGCGATCAACGAAGGCATCAAGCAGGGCAAGTACAAGCGATTCGGGCTGTCCAACTACACCGAGGACGAAGTGCAGAAGTTCATCGACGTCGCCGAGGCGAAGGGCTACGCAAAGCCCGACTTGTACCAGGGGCATTACAACGCGCTGGTCAGGGGAGGCGAGAAGGCGCTGTTCCCGCTCTTGCGTCGACATGGCATCTCCTTTTTCGCTTACAGGTAAATCAATACCGGATTTTTTCTTTTTTCTTTTTTCAAAAAAAAAAAGTCTTCAGCTGCTTAACTGACGCCGGCGTTAGTCCTGCCGCAGCCGGTATTTTCACGGGCAACGCCGGAAAATCAACCACCTCGTCGCGGTGGAAAGACGATGTAAGTCCCCTAACCTAGTATCTTATCTAGGTAGCCAGTAACACACCGACCATCCTTCCTAACACCATCCACCCCAGAACCAAATCGGAAGACTATACAGCACCATCTACGGACAGCCCCCGGTCCAGGCGTCCGTCGACGTGGTCCGAGCCGCGGCGGAGAAATACGGGATTAGCGGACACGCGGCGGCGCTGCGGTGGACGACGTTCCATAGCGTCCTAGACGGAAGATATGGCGACGGCGTCATCTTCGGCGTCTCGAACTTGGACCAGTTGAGGAAGACGCTGGATGCGCTTGAGGATGGCCCGCTCCCTGCTGAGCTGGCGGATGCTATCGAGGTTGTTTATGCTACGGTTGAGGGCTCTGGACCGCCTTATCATCTATAGGTACCTAGGTAGGTAGTTATTCTGTAATCATAAAGGATAGCTAAGAGTATTTTCGTGTTTTGGGGAGAGTATAAAATGAGTTATACAGACTGATGGAGCAATGTCTTCTAAACTACGATCCTGCTCTAACGATTAAACAATATCCCGATCGGTTGGATGATTGTTTGAATTTCGGAATATAAACTTGATGCATGTGGTTCTCAAGTTGATATTGAATGCTTATAGGTACTGTGTCTTTTAAGCAGAGCAGTTTTACAAACATTCAAGTCTTCAGGTTATTTATAGTCGAGCCGTATGTATCTAAGTGTATAAGTCCTTATTGAGATAACTTACATACTACATGTATGTATGTATGTATGTATCTCATAAGTTAGGTACAATACATGGGCTGTCCCTGCAAGTAGCGCTATCGCGTCTAACAGATCGCTACCTAGGTATGTACTAGCGCAGGTACTCGGAAGTTTTAACCGCAGCCGGAAAGAAAAAGCTACAAAGTACGAAGTACATAGGTACTTGGCCAATTTATTATATGGAACACACTGTCCACTTTCTCTAAACCCTGCCACGTCAACTTCGCGGTCGTAATGTGTCTTGACGTTCTAATGTCGGTGGGATGAGGCCCGGTGTATTGCTGCAAGTCTCGATGGGTTATATAAAAGAATCCCTTCGATGGGCTCGTATCGGGACTATTGCACTGCTTGTGTTCCTTCTCTCGGCTCACGTTTTTGCGTACGAGGAATTGTCAGATGATGCGCTTCGCTATATTCCCAGCGGCGCTCACGACTTCGACATCAAGACTGGGTCTCTCTTGTCGCCTATATTAATACCTCGAGTACCTGGCACCCCGGGTTCTATTGCCGTGCAGCATCACTTTGTCGACTTTTTCTCTCGGCAACTTCCGAAATGGAATATCGACTGGCACAACTCGACGGCAAAGACCCCAGCTACAGGTAGCACGGATGTTCCCTTTAAGAACCTCATCATCACCCGCGATCCGCCGTGGGCGCAAGCCGGGGATGTTGGTCGCTTGACGCTAGTTGCGCATTACGATAGTCTCTATCGCCCGGAGGGATTCGTCGGGGCTACGGACAGCGCCGCTCCCTGCGCCGTGTTGATGCACGTGGCTCGAAGTATCGATGAAGCTCTAACGAAAAAATGGGGGGCTATGGAGGAATCTGGCGACGCCGGCCTCGGACTAGAGGAAGAAAAGGGCGTCCAGATTCTACTCCTAGATGGAGAAGAGGCTTGGGTCAGCTGGACTGACTCAGACTCTCTTTATGGTGCTCGAGCACTTGCGGAAAGCTGGGACTCCGAGTTGCACGCAAGTAGCTCGGCATATCGAACCCGTCTGGATTCGATCAATCTGTTTTTACTCATTGATCTTCTCGGAGCAGCGGATCCCCATGTCCCTTCGTACTTCCAATCGACGCATTGGGCCTACCAAGGCATGTCCAGGATAGAGGATAGAATGCGGAAACTAGGTCTTCTCAAGACCAAACCAAAAACCCCATTCTTGCCGGACTCAGATAAACAAGCATCACAGTTCACCGAAGCATACATCGGGGATGATCATGTGCCTTTTATGGTGCGAGGAGTTGAGGTGTTGCACATCATCCCCTCGCCATTCCCGGGTACGTGGCATACTATGGATGATGACGGCGAGCATCTGGATATAGACTCTTTGGACGACTGGGCAAAGATAATCACTGCGTTTGCGGCGGAGTGGATGGAGCTGGATGCTTTTATAAGCGAGCGGCCTTCAGGGGAGAAGGAGCAAGTTATTAGGAGCAGATCAGAGCTATAAACTTGGTATGCCTTATGATATTTGCTAGAATGCTACGTCTACCAGATAATAAAATACAGAATTAAAAGGGGTGAACGGAATACGAATGAAACTATTACAAAGACCGTGTGGGTTGTATAAGCCTTGACACTGTATGACCATCTGCAATAGGTACCTACCTACCTACCTATCTAGGTAGGTATTCTATATTCTTATCGATAAACAGAAACCACGTCAGCCACTACGACCTTCACTAAAAAAAAAGGTGGAACGGGTATTGTGTTCAATTGAAGGAAGCTCCAGCAAGTCACTCAGCAAGTCACTCAGCAAGTCACTTAGTGGGTAGCTGTTGCAACATTGAACAACTCCTCCGAGCTGCCATTGCACCACTACCACCACTACTACCACCAACACCACCAACACCACCAACACCACCAACACCACCACCACACTCAAGACAGCCCAGCCCAGCCCAGCCCAGCCCAGCTGAACAATGCGATTCCTACACTCGTTCGCAGCGCCCCTCCTGCTGCTAGCTGCCGGCGCCGCTCAAGCAGCTCCTTCGTCCTGGGGCTTCGAGGATGCGAAGCTCACCGTGACGGCCAAGAAGACCGGGGCCAAAGAGCCGGATGTTAGACAGTATGTTCGAGATGAATTATTCGGTAGAGATGGCAGCAGCACATTGTATTGGATTGGATGAGACTGGATTTGAAGGCTGATTAGCAAATTCCACGTTATAGGTTCAACGACAAGACACCAGCCCTCCCGACTCCCGTGGTATTCGATAGCTCCGACAGCTTGAAGATCATCTTGACAGCCAAGGAGAACGGCAAGGGAAAGCGTCCTCACCAGGCATTCCTCGTGCTGCGCGAGCCGGGCTCCGGGCTCGAGGCCCCGTTCCCGTTGACGGTGAAAGACAATGGCAAGGCGACCGTTGAGATTGTGCGTCCAATATTTCCCATCTACTACTACTACTACTACTACTACTACTACTACTACTACTACTACTACTACTACTACTACTACTACTATTACAACTATTGTGTTCTAACACCCCCCACCCCCCCACAGAAACACAGCGACCTCCCCCTCCAACTCGCCATCGCAACGGCCCCCCTTAAAGCATCCCTAGTCCTCGCCTCCTTCGGCTCCTCCGCCGGCCTCGTCAAGGACGTCTTCGACGTGGACGTCGTGCGCGACCCGGCCGCCAAGCCCCTCGTCTACGAGAAGCCGCTGCGCTACGGCAAGCGAGACGAGATCCACCACATCTTCCGCGACGACCCCAAGAGCCCGCCCAAGCTCATCTCTATCGTTTTTGTTTTCGCCGTCTTGGCTACCGTTCCGCTCCTGCTTGCTTCCGTACGTATTTATTGATCCCGCTGCCCCTCCTTCCTTTTCTTTTTTTTTGTTACGTTATGTTGTCCACGATAGCCCGGTATAACGGCAGAAAGAGGGCTTTGCTAACACGGAATGCAGTGGGGTATCGTCGGCGGCAACCTCTCGCATCTGCCCACGGCGCTGAGCGCCGCCCCCGTTGCGCACAGCACTTTCCTGGGATCTATCGCCGCTATGGAGCTTGTCTTCTTCCTGTACTATTCTACGTGGAACCTTTTCCAGACACTACCTTTTATCGGCCTTGTTTCCGTCAGTATTTTCTTTAGCGGTTCCAAGGCCCTCGGTGAGGTCCGGCGCCGCCGGCTGGCCGGGGAGAGGTGAGTGGGATCTACTTAGTAGCTGGCTACATGTCGTTATCGGTAGTGGGTTACCATGCCAGGGTGTGGATATAAAGGGATGAAGGGGTTCTCTGATTCGCGTGGCCTGGAACGCGCGCGATTTGATGCCAATCTATTTGTGGCGTCGACGCGCGAAATACAAGGACTGTTAAAATTACGGTAGATAAATAAAAAAGAATGTATAACAGGACTAAAGCACTTCTTTTATATCTATGTCAAGCATCGTTGTCCTACTCTTACCTTCCAATCCCTCTTCCGTCCCCTCCTTTATTCTTAAACTCGAACAACCTAAACTACCTAAGCTGTAGATACAGTAAGCAGGTGAGTATCACAATAGTACGGACAATAAAACCTCACTGCCTAGATTTAGAAAGAAGAGCTTTCTTTTTTTGCTTTAGTTCATTTCATTTCTATCCCATTTCTATTCAGAACACCCCTACCATCGCAATGTAAATGCAATCGCCATTAATTACCGCGCCCTCTCTTAGTAATCCGAGAGGTGCCCTACCCAACCCCAGCCCGCTGTTGAGCACAAGGTCGAGGGAATAATCCTATCGTCCGTATATGTACACGGTCTAGCCCCCGCTTTGTATCTCAGCCAGACTCCCTCTCCTATCCTATGTCCTTCCCAACCTAGGCTCCGTAGCTACGAAGTCGCGCTGTCCGATGCGCCGAGTGAAGCTATGCCTGCCTATCTACATAGTCCTGTTTCTTTTCTAGTATATTACAACAAAGTAATGCAAGAGCGGAGAAAGGCTAGCTCCCGCGTAGAAGCCAGCGCCGATCCCTGTGATAAAAGGGGGCGTCTTTCCAGAATCGTACGTCGTATCCACTATATCCCCAACTCCATATCTCCCTACCGCATACGCGCAACCGACCGAACCGACTTATCTACTGAGACTTTTTCCCGTTGGCCGTGCCGTTCGCTAGAAGCTCCTGTTTCCGCTTGTTCTCAAGCTGCTTCTCGTGGGGGATGGTGAGGCAGTTGATGCCGAGGAAGTTGCATATGCTGTTGGTGACCAGGTACGCCCAACGGGAGTACACGATGAACGCGAACACGAAATAAGCCCACAGGTAGTAGTGCTCGAGGTCGGCGGAGATAGGTGCGAGTCCGAACCGCGGGAGGTTGCCTAGGAAAGCGCCACCCACTAATGGCGCCAGCATCACGGTCCAGTACGGGAACGGTTGACGGGTAAGGTGAGCGAGGATCATCTTGGTCGTCATACGCCCGAACACGAGCGACATGGTCAGGCAGAAGAGCACCAGGTGGTTCTCGCGCATAAGTGTCGAGTGCGGCGAGTACAGCCATGCACCGATCGAGAAGGTATACACGGCCATGGGAATCCACTCGAGGAATACCGGGAGGACTGGGAGATTATCCCGTCGTCTTGCCTTAACGACGTTGAGAACACAAAATGGCATGTGACCCAAGACGAGTGAGGCCACAATCACGAGGATCCAGATATCACGAATCGAATGATCTGCGACGATTTCGTCGAAACCGAAAAGGTACTTCTGCCCTACAATATTAACGATAGGCTCCGTCCAGATGCCAGGTCCGTAGATGCCTGAGATCGCCATTAGACTACACGCGATTAGGAGACCCTCGGTAGGACCGTTGAAATAGCCCAGGTACAGCGTGTGAGTGTGGTACGTCTCCCAGGTTGAGAAGAACATAGGCAAGCAAGGGCACAGGGCGGTAAAAACGCCCGACTTCGAAGTTCCCAGCGCCATCGCGCCCGTCTCTAGTAAGCTACCAAGAGTGCAGTTTAAGGAGTCGATGCCGTGGTCGAACAGTTCTCCCAGACCACTCGACGTGCCGGTTCGGCGCGCCTGCTTCCCGTCGATGTTGTCCATGGTCTGATACATGAAGAGGCCGAAGGCGAAGCTGAAGTAGAGCCATGACGGGCCCTGAAGTAGACATTAGCCAAGCGCAATCGACACTTTGCAGAATCGCAATACTACGTACCGGTCCTACTAGATCTGGCATAACTATAACCAATAGGGCGATGTTAACTAGAATGAACATGAACCCTATCAGGGTCACCATGTTGGGTGCCAGCCATAACGGCAAAAGCTCAACGAAGGCATTCCACTAGTCCAACTCTTAGTATTATTCGGTGTCAGGGCGGGAATAGAAGCTCGGTACGTACGTAGGGACGGAGGATATAATTGGAGATGGGCGATTTATCGACGGCCGAGTACTTGTAGGACTTGAGGTGGATGAGGGCATCGTCCGAGATGCACTCGGCGACGGCTGTTTCTACACAAGGATTCCACGTCAGACATGAGGAATTGCCAAGGACGGCGGCAGAGAACGCCAAGGTTGTACATACTGCTATTATTCGGGGCCATGGCGGCGCGCAGGACGGTTTGCGATCAGCTCGGAGGCTACAGGACCGTAGGAGAGATACCTAACGAAGTGAAAACACTGTAGCACCTCGAAACTTTGTTCGCGACGGTCAGACTATTGGTTGCAAACTTTTAGACGAACTTGGTAGTTAACAGAAAGGAATGATCATTCCCAAGTCAAGCAGATATTAATCGACTCCATGGGATTATAATGTATTAAAGACGAGTAACAGAGAAGAAATACAGGGGAGAACGAATGTGTCACCAAGGTTTGTAGGTTTGTAGGTCTGTAGATTTGTAGGTTGTAGGCCGGCAAGTCGGTGTGTTGTATAAGTTGGCAGCTTCCATGCAGCGTGCAGTAGAAGTGGAAGTGGAAGAATAATTTACATTCCGATGTACTTATGCCGCTACATATGCACTATAGCGGGGCCGTGACGGTTTTCGTCTGCGTTACATAACGAGTCCCACATGCAAATAGGGTGCCATATCCAAGAACGCAGGTTACACAAACCAAGCCAAGACGAATTAAATCGCAGAGTTTTGAGATGCCCCTATTTTTTTTATTTTTTTTTTCACCTTAACCCTTTAGCGGGTTCCATTGAATAAAGCCTTGTTAGTCCATTCAACTTTCAGGAACAAATCCCATAAAAAAGAATATGGGAATTATTACTGGCCTGTCAGTTTATTCAGCTTGACTAAATTTGAGCTGACATGTGAATGTTATCCAATACATATGTCAGCTTAAATCGCCCCCAAACATCTCATGATGGGACTTGACTTGACGTAAGGATGACGGCATCACGCACGAGGTTGATCAATAGGGAAACAAGTGGCGTGAGCAAAGGCCTGATATGTATACATAGAGATCAGGTCTCATGCATTTAATTATTAGTTCTGAGCTTTGTGTGCTCTATTGTCCCTCGGCGGGATGTCGTTTTGTTTAAGTAGACTGCTATGTATAGCATAAGAGTATGTCCAAATATCCCATCTACGCTTCCATTATCACAAATGCAAGGTTTTCCAAGCTTCAAACCCCCATGCTCCTAAACACAATATTATATCAGTATGCGGTATGTATCAGATGTAACCGCTCTGATCGGATGATTTGGGTCATCGCTCTCGGGCGTGAGACGAAGAACGCGTTCACGCATTTTCGGAGTCATGTTTCGTCATAACAGGATATCTTTAACAGTTATCAGACGCAACATATGATTGAAGCCCTTTCAACGTGCCGCTGTTGCTGCTGCTGCTGCCCAAAGGCTGAAAACGTTCCCCGTTCTTCATTCCTTATAGCAGGAAGACACCAAGGCTTACACTGGCGGCGATGATGGCAAAGCCGAATAGGCCATCGTTAGCACCTACTCGGAAAGCCGCATTGCCGTCATTACCCCCGCCCTCGCTGCTGCCGGCCAACCCGGTGTAAACAGTATTGGGATCGTCAGAATCGGTACCGCTGGCTGTGGCAGTGGGGCCCGCGCTCGATGTTGTGGCGTTGGTCCTCGTCGGGTTCTGGGCACCGCATGGGTGGTCCTCTCGGCACGCCCTGGAGCAGTTGTTGTCCTGTCCACACTTCTGGACGCACTGGTCACCCCATTCCTGGCATACGAAGTACGGCAGAGTAAGCGAGTACTCGGACACGTTCGGTTGCTTGTGGTCTCCGCACACACAGCCGTAGGTCAAAGCTTTCTACAGGGAAAATATCAGTATAAAATGGTTAGCCGTCCGGGTCTACTCTAAAACTTACCGGATCACAATCGTTAACCAAGGTGGTTCCCGGCGGCGTCTGTGAGCAGATTATAGGACAGGTGCTCTTCTCGGACTGGCACCAGCTCGCTGTATATCATATTAGAATCATCGAATCGGAACATGCTCTCGGCAGGTATTGTAGGACGTACTTCTGATAGTCAACGACACGCTGCTGGGATCGATGACATAATCGGCCTGGACCGACGAGACCAAGAGAAGGGCCGCGGCCAAGATGTTCCTTAACGAAGACATTGTGATGGCGGAATTAGGTGCTACGGTAGGACGAGGACGGTTGTGACAGCTGTGACAGTTGATATTACTCGGTTCTCCTCTCTAATTAGAACGACTGTGTAGTATTAAAGGCAATGTACAGCGGAAAGAATTAGTGGTATTGTGTATTAAATGTAAAGGAATATTAGAAATAACGATTGACCGACGACCGACCGAGTTTAAAAACGAGAGGGACGGTGTCTAGGATACGAAGGGGGAACGAGAGGAATGTTCTCAAAGAAAGAGAAATTCTGAGAGCTCTCCAAGATAGGATGGGGAGACCGGGGTTCTTGTGCTCGCACGTATTATAAGATATTGTACTGTACGGGGTACATGACCAAAAATGAAAATAAAAGGAGGTATTCCCTGTCCGGGTGGTGGTCTCAGCGCTATGTATCTCCAAGACCCCAAGCAGCCAGAGCTCTTATGACTGGCTGTTCGCTATCTACTAGACAGGGATCATAGGTAGCTATCGACTTACATGTTCTGTTATTTGTACTGTCTAACATGCGCAAGTAGGCGAGTTGCACCACAGTGACGCCGGCAAAATAGAAACCACGATAGTTCCAGACGGGATATCCGTCGTGTTGTCATCGATTTCGTCTTCTACATTACGAGGCCACTTGCTTGGAAAACCTTAATGGTGGCCTTGAAAAACCTTGGCTTAGATTCGACGACGAGCTTTTGCAAGCTTCAAGTTCGCGTGGGTAGAATAGACTAATACAAGTACGGACTAAATACAACCAACTAAAGAGCGAACAAACCAAGATTTGGCTTCGTGATCTTTTCAAGTTCAGGGTCTCAAGCGGGCGATCTCTCATAAAAAAAAACGCCATCTTGTTAATTCGAAATTCAATGCGCCGTCCTGCTTCCCTGCAACCCGTCCGGGCAGGGAAGCACCGGCGAACCCTCCCCGCCAGCTCACAGCTAACAAACCCCCGTCTAGTTTCAGAGCCTCAGAAGGGTACCATTCGGCTCACCTGCCAAAAAAAAAATAATAATAAAATAAAAACGGTTGGCTTGTACTATATGTACCGTGTTTTGCTTTCGGAAAATAACATTAGGTATCGAAAGAGTCTAGCTTAGGTATTTACAACCACATAATCATAATGCATGTATGTACAGTACTGTACTGTATGTACGGATTACGGGATACAGGAGAAAAAAAAGCCTGCGCTGCTGATCATCTGCATTCATCGTCCGATACCCTTAAGGTTGGAGCGTCATCCAATATTGACCGTAACTTAATTATCGCCGTACGAATCCATCCGACAGGCAAACAGGCAGGCAAACAGGTATGTGTAAGTGTATGTAAGTGTATGTAAGTGCATGTAAGTGTATGTATCTATCTAATGTATGCAACAAGCTACGAAACCATATCATGGCTTTTAAGGTATAATATGGGGGGTCTTAGCTTCTCGATGGTCTTACGGACATTCTCATTGGACTAGAAAGGAGTCAGATGCCTTTTAGGGAAAGCGACTTTTTGCCATTGCCTCGTTTTGCCGTGCCATCGGCTCTGCTACATAGGTAGTTAGAGGCGTCAATCCTCGTATTGCAGGTGGAAGAGGTTGGACTGCAGAATCCGAAGCGTTCTGATGCATACGATTTGTCCCGTATTTTCAGGTTCGCTTAACTAGAGGCTTAACTAGAGGAGGATGGTGGTGTGGTGAGACGGGACTCTACTCATGCATGCTCTTTACATACATACGAAGCCATTCCGCTGCGTTCGGCTCCATTCTGTCGATATTGTGTTCGAGTGTCGTAGGTCAGTTTTGGATTAGAGGCTGACTTGCTTGACGATCCCAACTCCGACTATACTATAACTATACGAAGTATGTAAATGACTCTTTAGCCCTCACATTACGATCATTTACTAAAAATACTTCGTACATACGGCGAATTCCAGAGCCTACATACATATAAAAATAAGCAGCTAAAGGCATGCTCTTCGTATAGCCCCGCAACCAGCAACAATTATAAGACATAACAGGTATGTAGTTAGTTACATATTATTTCTTAACTTACTTTACTCCTCTTTGGTCCCCATCCGTGATCGTTCGTTATATTTCCAAACAAGTGACCGGAATCCCCGCATTGCCCACCGATGGTGATCAACAACGCCTGATAAATCCCAACCTCCAGCATTTCGCATTTCTAATGTACATTCGTTCTTACATTCATTCCCATGCCTGCTGCCGCTGCAACAGCATTAGATCTATATTAGGTAGGTATCTAATAGATTGATTCTCTCGAACGATATAACGTAGACAGTGCGCATTCCTCGTCATCAATATACATAGTTGCTCGTACATAGGTATGTAGGTTATGTATGTAAGTAAGTGTCCCCTCAATAGATTTACCCGTAACCGTCAACTTTAATCCATCCACACGTCCGCTCAGATCCCTCGGCAATTTGACCTCCGCGCCATGAAGTCTGTTTCAGATCGGAGATATAAACGGAGAAAAAGGTTAAACAAAATAAGATAAATGTCACACAGCACGATTCGGCGCAGTGCCTGAGTGCAAAACGAAGACGAATGTACAACGTGTATATAGATACTGACACGCACAGTACCCCCGGAACGATGCCGATGCCGATGTCACGGCGGAATTACAACCTCATCCGCAATCAGACGTTTCCGGTGGTCCATGACGGGATCTCCGTACCCTTACTATCTCAGGGATAAACATGATAAACATCCTTATAGATCTACAGCTTTCTGATGGGACATTGTTTACCGCCTCTTCCGCTTCACCCCAACGAGGATCCGCTGTGAGAGCCCTAACCCATACGTTAGTTCGTGCAACATGTCCTCGTCTTGGTGGAGGACATGGGCCAACCAAAATACAGAATATACCGCACGGTAGACCGCATCCCTTATTTAGAGATCCAAGTAAGGCATCATTTTTAATTCGCTTCGTTGTATGACACGTACCAATTATGTCCTTTTTAGTAAAAGGCTATCAAACATGACACCAAAGATATGCTCGATATACCTAATTCCTATGTACTTGCAGAGTTAGGTATTTTGTGCTGTTGATCCTTGGCCAGTTTCGACATATATAATGGGTAATCTAGTTATCTGGAATCCTCCATTCACCATGAAGCCCTTATCGTGACAAACCATAATCCACAAATCACTCACGATACATCCACCTCTAGGCCCACACGAGATATACTACCTAGGTATGTATACACTCATAGACATTTAATTATTTTATGACAAGTCTCACCCTTGTGACTCGGTGACGGCGCAGCATTCCTCTCGATCATAACAGGCAAGATTGTCATCGATGCCGGTTGAAACCCACGAAAGCTTCATAGAGAGTTCATACTACAGTTAAATCACTTCGGCTGACGGTTAACCTGGGAAGTTCTAGCTATGTAAATATTTGAAGGTTAAGCATTGAGGAGACACATCGGGTTTAGAGTTAGATATTTCATAAGATTGAAATAACACTTATACCGTCTACCACTTCTTAACTCTGTAGCTACCTACCTAAGGTACCTAAGGCTTGGAATGTCTAACTTCTGTAAAAAGTAAACTTTGAAAAAGACGGAATGGCATTCTTGAGTTAGTATCCCAACCGATAAGCCTTGAGAATACGGATTGGATAGACAATCGATAAGACGAACCCAACCCCTGATAAATCGTCCGTGCCGAGCCCCGAAATGTTGACGTGGGCAGTTCCCTCTCCCCCACGTCGATAGATCCCTGCAACACCAATTGAAAGGCGGCACCGTAATGAGCAAGTGCAAGTGCAAGTGCAAGTGCAAGTGCAGGGGTACAACTTCATGTTTAATCGAATCGAATTTTCAATCCTCAACCTAGCGCATCCTTAACCCTTCAAAGACTTTGGTCTTCCTATTGGCCTTCGATCCGGTCGAATCCTATTCCTTTCTCCATTGGTGCATATCTATCGCCGAGTCCGTTCTGTATATCGACTTCGATTCCTAGAACAAACCGGCATTACAGTACAATACAATACAATACAATACAATACAATACAATATATCAATATCCTCCCTTGATTCGCGACTCTACAATTGCAATCGCGCACCCCGATACCCTCTCCTCAGCCCGCGGCTACATCGCGCCCGCGCGCCCGCACACGAACGAATGGCGTCCGTCGTAGAGACCCAGCCCTCGAGCGCCAGCGGTGCCGCGACCGAAATCATACCCAAGAACCTGTCGCAAGCAACACTACGCCCGAATCCGCCACCCTCGCCCCCCACAACCGACACGGATGCCGAGACGGACTCAAACGCATCCAATGTGCCACAGCCGGAATCTTCAACGGATATATCGTCGCCAGATAGCCGAGCGGAAGACGATGCGCCTGTGATCTCGCCCGTAACGTCCCCGCCGTACTGGATAAACACCCACTCTCACCACGCGAGAGGAATGGCCTCCGCCTCCGTCGAGTCCCTCCCAGCCGGCGGCATCACCCTACGCGACAACGAAAGCAGCAGCCTCGACGACCGGGGCAACGCGTGCTGGGCCAGGAGCGTCGAGATCACGGACTACGTCGTCGTGAACGGCAGCACGACCAACATAGGCGCATTTGTAGTGTGGAATATCAGGGTCGAGACGCTGAGCGTGAGTTTGTTTCTCCAGGGGAAAAAAACCCCCCCGGAAAAAAAAAAAAAAAAAAAAAAAGAGAGGAAACGATGGGAAAGCGAGGCTAATGTTTTGATACAAATCGTAGGGGAGCTACATGAACATCCGAAAGCGATATTCAGAGTTCGACGACTTCCGATGGCGACTAGTGCGCACGTTCCCGAACTTCGAGGCAGCGGTGCCCGAGCTACCGCCCAAGAGCATGATATCGAAGTTCAGGCCTAGGTTTTTAGAGAGACGGCGAGCGGGTCTGCAGTATTTCCTAAAGTAGGACATTCCCATTCATTATCAACAATTGCCGAGGAAATGAGTATTAACATGACGATAGTTGCATACTGTTGAATCCCGAGTTTTCCGGGTCGCCTGTCTTGAAAGAGTTTCTCTTCTCGTGACCGGCAGCTCAACAGCTAGTTGGTCAGACAGTACTTAGCGGGGCCACCGCACGATCTCGACGCACGTTATGAAGTAATGCTAATTCTGTACGAACACAATCGCTTGGATACCCGGAACGATAGGCAGAAGGGGGGATTGGATCCGGTTGGCTCAAGGGCGCCGGTAGTGTGTCACTATCTCATTCAAAGTATATATCGGAAACCTAGTATCATATCTTTTCAAGTCCAATTTTCTTCGAGTATTGTCCTCCGATGAGAACAGAAACCGATTCCACGTAGATTTTGCCGGATAGGAACACAACCCCCTGCTCTAGGCCAACACCACTCTATGCTATAGCCATACCGCGGATCCAATGCTTGGAAAAGAAGTCCGCCGACGACAACATACAGGAGACTAATATATAGACCGGCAGTACGAATGCCCAACCACAAACGCCCAGTCTATCACCGTAGCTTCCCTGGTCCTTTTTAAACCCCAAGAGACATTTACAAGCCCTCGGCTCCCAAGTTAGTCAGACCTACGGTACCACCATCGCATCCCTCGTTACCACCAACAATCCCCGGCTCAAAGCCAAAGGAAAGCCAACGAACCGGTCGCAAGCCCGCTCATTTCTGGCTGTTGATCATGCTAAGGTAGCAGTTCCAGCCGATGCTGACGAGGTTGACGACGAGGACGCGGTGCTCGAGGGGCACGAAGGTGAAGTTACCCATCTGGACGAACGGCCAGATGAGATAGTTGGTCTGGAGCGCGGGCGCATAGCTCTTGGCCAGCTTCTCCTTAGGGGACCCGCCCTCCATGACCGCCATGCTCGACAGGAATATCCCGATGAAGGTCGGCGCGAATATCAGCTGGTCGGCGGCCACGCGCGCGACCATCTCGGCCTTCTTGTTGCGCAGCTGGATCGAGCGCTGCAGGATCCCGTACCAGGTCGTGGCTGCGGGGCCGAAGACGGCTAGAGGGGAGATTAGCGTCTGGGCTTGTTCCTTTTATATATATATAGGTAGGTATATATAGCATATTCATTTTATTTTTAAGCTTTTTCTTTTTGCTTTGCTAGTGTGCTTTCTTTTCTTGCTGCGGAAATATAGCCGTTGTGGGGGGCATGTGGGGTAAGACATGCGTTGGTAAAGAAGAATGAGATGTGAGAGGAGCGAGATATAGGTGCGTGATACCAAATTTTATTGTATCTTGGAGAAAAACTAAAGTATCTTGACACGAGACAGATTGTGAATAGAAACATACCGCCACCGTAGAGGAACATGCGACCAGTTCGGGCAAGCTCGTGCTTCTCAAGACCCTTCTTCTCGACGGCCTGCTGCGCTGTGATATCGCCGACGGCGAATAGCACAGCGGTAGTGACGCTCTGCGTCAACAACGGCCGCGAGGCGAGCTTTCGTTGGTACCTGGAACCACCATCTCCATCAGCAAGTGCTCAATACATTCCTTCTAGATATATACCGGCTCGCGGCTCAGCGGAAAGGCGATTAATATATGTCGAGGTGACATTCATCCTACGTACCAGCGAAGCATGGTTAGGGGTTAGGTTAGGTAGGTTATGGTGCCGTTAACGAAGGGCCGATATGAAATTGGAGGTTTGAAGTAGTGGTGGTTTGTTGCAAGTTTTTAATTTGTGGATTGCTGGACCCCTAAACTTAAAAATGCTATACGTAAACCCGCAAGCCCTAAAGTACCGGTTTTCTCGTTAGCTGCATATGCTCTCCCAATGGGATGGGTCCTCCGTCCTCCGTTGTACAGGATTAAGAATCTGAAGAATTGCCCTAACGGGATAGGTAGCTGTGAGGCTCTCAGCCTGGTACGTACCTCTTCAACCCTCAAGCTGGAGTGAACGATCTCGAAGTAAACCTAATAAAGTGGGCTTCGGAGTGGTCACGTATTCTTTGTTTCTTCATTTTCAGCTATTATCGTGGTATTCTAGTGTCGTATTAGTTTAGTGCCAAAATCTTCTTGGTGAGCTACTTGCTTAATTCAGCCGAGTAAAAGAACGATGATTTATTTATCTTTGAGTACCTAATCTAGGGTAAATAGAAAAAAAAAGAAAAAAGGTATTATTTCCTGGTACAGGAAACATCAGGAATTGAGCCCGATGCGGGGGTCGAACCTTTAGGGCCATGTTAGTATATAATCGTGAAGAACCTCGATGAACAAGCAGTAACTTACCCGCAACCTTGAGATTAAGAGTCTCACGCTCTACCGATTGAGCTAACCGGGCGTCTTGTGGTGAAAATTTGCTTTGTTATGTTTGTAAATATTGTTTGTGCGTGGAGTTTGGCTGGCCGGGACCTTGGTGGGCGACGGGGATGTGCACGGTAAAGAATTATTTGGGCGGTTTGTTTCCATAAATATCGTCAAGACAGAATTATACACAAATATATGTGTGTGTCCCGTGTATTGTTTACCACTGCTGGGCTATGTTGGGGACTCCCTGGTACATGGTTCTGTGGTAAATAGAGAGGAAAGCAGGATTAGCTGACGGCTCCCGAGTAAGAGATATATATCAAAATCACAATTTTGAAGGCTTAAAGCTGCACACTAAGCATTTGGGTAATGATATCCGAAAACTGCTAGAATTACAGACGACGAGACGTAGAGGCACAGAACCAAGGTTTATATCAGCAAGTTCACATGCAAAACGGTGAAGATAAGAGGGTTGATATAATTTACAGGTGTTGCCATTCCATCCGTAACCATTAACAATAGGAAAACTCAAAGGCGATCCAAGCTGAGCTCTGATAACGAGATAGCCAAAGATTATTAGTCCATACAAGCTTCGACTGCTTCAATTTCGTAACCCCCCAAGTCTAGCTTCAGCCGTGGGGGTGAACGCTTGAACCACCCCTATAAAGTTTCGTGGGAAGCCACGCTGACCCGAAGAAACTGAAACTGTTTTGCCATTAAAGCTTCCTTATATTTACCGCCTCATCTTTACTTTACAGATCAGTATACTGGTTTAAAACTGTGATTTAGGGTTTAGACGTTGAAGGATATTCACCAATGCTTTAGGGGGTGGGATGGAGATGAAAATATCACGAGAAGTATATAAGGCTGTAAAGCATCGGTATATAGTGGTGGTCTAGGTTTGGCATTATGTTATTAGGAATTCTCACTGTTACGAGACTTTGAGCAGTCTAGTACGACGTCTAAGAAACGCACAGTTATGGTACGCAATGAAATAGATGGGCTATAGCGAATATAAAGTTGAGCCTGGGCGTAAAAGTTGGAGCTTTAAGGTATCTGATCACCTTTTATGGGGATATATCTACCGCACCCTCTAAATAACCCCCCTACTTTCCTATTGTAGATCGATCTCCCTTCAAGGGTCATATGTATGCTCTGGCTGGCTGCATTGGATTATTATCTCAACTCCACGTTGGCTATATTACGCTTTTCATATCAACATCATACCAATAAGTTCATCCAAGATGGCCAAGAAACAAAAGAGTCCCCTCAAGATTTTCAGGTTTTTACGCAGCAAGTGGCAGTACGCTGTGATTAACCCCGAAGATATATATACATGTGACGATAAAGGGGACGAGAAGGCTTTGTCCTCGGGTTATATGGATTTCCCTTTCGACTTCGAGAGCTGTCGGGGTTGGGCTGGTAATTTTCCTTGTGTCTTCGGGTCTACCGAGGGATGCTCTTCCCATAACCCACACAAGCTACCAATCGCGTATAACAAATGCGTTCCATCTGACAGGAAGCCCCTGGGTTTTGTCCTGCGGCTCACTGGGTCGCCTAAGCAAGATGTGGTGGGATACGATAAGGCTCAGGACGACGAACGGATATGGTCTTTATTACATCTAGACCACTCCACTGCTGATCCGCTAGATCCTATCCACCCTTCCATCCGCTATGCTTTGGCATACTATCATATCCACTGGGTTCAGACCGCGACATCACTCGAGACGCAAAGGGCAAGAACCAATGCCTTAGCGTGTCACGGAACCGTGGCCGGGAATGGGAACACGCGGCCCGAGTTTCGGTATTGGATCCAACCTTACTGGTACAAGGACTCCTTTTATATTCAGCAAGCGATCCGATTTACCATCGAACCGAAGAAACGGAAGTTTCTGTTCGGACACGAGTATGCCATACTGGGATATTCTCCGAAGGATTGGACGTTCAGGACTTGTCCGCACTACCGGCAGCGCTTCCAACAATATGAGTTCCAAGAGACGCGAGGACTTATAAAAGCGGGCATGACATATGTATCGAAGTGGCGCGACCCTTTAGGAGGCTCCGATAGGAAATGGACCAAGTGGCACAGCGTATATGGTCCTGGCTACCATGTTCTCAACTGTCAGTTTTGCTGCACTGATACTTGCGTGGACATAGACCTGGTTAAGGACAAGATCGTGGTCCATATATGGGCATGGAAAGATCTCGGAAAAGCGCTCAGCCCATTCGATCCGAAGTGGATCTCGGCCCTTCGCCCCGAGGCATCCGTTTGGAGCCGGTCACGGACTGAGGCAGCTGGCAATAAAGTGCGGAACGCAGTTCGTGAAGCAATGCGTGAAGAATCTGGGTAGCTGGTCTGAGTTGTCTGAGTTGTCTGATTACCTACCTATGTTATGAATATGGAATAATGTAAGGAATTAGTATTTTTGAGGAAATTGACTGTTACAAATACTTGGGATTATAAAGCATAGTAGCCTGTATCATGACATAACTAGCTTATTAACTACCTAACTACCTAACCTAAAGGAAGGAAGGAAGGAAGGAAGTTTATACCAAGGAATATTGCTGACATGCTGGGGTAGCTTCCTTCTCATTCTTCGAGAGCATTTAATAAATGGGCTGTGTTTCAAAAAGAAGAAAACATGGTACATACCTAGTTACGTGTTAGTTAGACTTCAGACTTGTGCACAGTACCTAATCAATGACTTCTTTCGTCAAGCCTCCCTTGTCTGCAGGTATGACATTTGGAACTCTTGCCGATTGAATGCCGTTATGAGATAAGGAGAAACAAAAAAAAGAAATCGGCGTTTAGCAGAGATAAGGACCGTCAGACGCCTAGAGGAGATTGGATCTTATTAATCTGGAAGCTTAAAAGGTGGTACTTCGGACGCATGGATGTACATAGACGGAGGGGTTGATCGGAGCGGGCGCGGGGAACAAGAATTCAGGGTCCGTCACATTGGGTAGGAGACTGTTGTATTATAATATGCAACATGTTACCATACCTAGGTAGGTATGTACCTATATAGAGTAATCTATCCAATGTCTCTACCCAGGTGATGCACTGCTCGCTCGGTTCATCCCAGGCAGCACGAAGGAATTGATGCAGGCTTATTTTGTTGGATATCGTCGTTCAGCAGATGTCAGCTTTCTTGGTCATGGGTAGTGTGAGTTTTGCGGCTCAGAGTCTTCTTCCCCGATCTCTCTCGGCCGAAGTAAGCAAGCTCGTGGAAATGATAGGGTTTATGTAGAAGGCAAGGCGAGGTGAGAAAACAAAGGAGGCGCTGCGTGGACTTGTCTGCATTGGTACATGTACATGTATATTGACCTTAATTTAGGTATGTACCTGTGGTTGGATGTAGGTACCTATAGGTACGTACAGTAATTGAATTATTGGCTTGTCTAACCAAACCTTAAAGTACGGCTTCTATTCAAGTGACTACCGACATTCACGACAACTTCAGATGGAACAAGACATTCAATGGCAGATAGAATGGGTGCGATAGAGCAAGGTACCTAAGTCATCTGCGTATATACACACCGTGTACAATCACGAGAGATATAATTCAATACAAAATAGTGGGTAGATATTAGGTACCTTTCAATAAGAAGCCAACACCTGGGCCAATGGAGAATCCCTGCAAACATCGCCCTTTCTGGACCGGCAGCCCCCTGCAACAACGCATGCACAAATTAGCATTTGATTGGTTGTTTCCTTTTTCATTTTTCCTGTGAACCTGTGTGATCTCGTTTTACATCCAGCCGGCCAGCACGGTAGGTACCCTTTGCGGGAAAAGGTACTAGCGCACAATCCTAATTAGGACTCGGCTATCGTACCTTGTGTTCCTATTTCCTTCCAACTCATCCCAGCGCCCATCCTGCCTGCTATGTATAGGTAGTACATACATACCTAATGCACCTATGTACCAGCTTACACACCCACCCAATATCGCCCCAACTAGTACCTGCAATACCTGCAATACCTGAAAGACCCTGCAACACATGCAAATATCCCTACTCCCGTAACAACCTATCGCAGAATCGCATCTCGGGACAGCCACCTTGGACACTTTCTCTCTCTCCCGAAGTTGACTTGGAAACTTTTATCCGTCTTTTACCTTAAGGTTCAACATCCAAAATTATACGAATCTAAGCATTTACAATTATTTACGCTTCCTCATCTCTGCTCCCGGCCGTCGACGGCGTAGACTTGAGTTGACACCATCTCTGGGACACGGTTCCCCTCGTTCTTCCCACTCGACTTGGGCTCTTCGTCTCGAAAGTCTCGAAAGTCTCTCCACACCACACCACCTCACACCCACACATAACTTCTACTCGCCCAACTGACTAACCTACTTAAATCTTTCTATTTTCTACATACGTACGTTACTAAACCCCCAATTTAAACCACACACCAATCCCTCAATATTATTGTCTGTTCCGCCGTTCCCTGTTGCGAAACTTACCATTGGTAGCGTCGGAGTCGGCAGCAGTTCGGTGTAATCGTTCCGCTTCTTAAGCTTCCTCTATTACGTTCGACTACATTCTATCCGGCGCCTTGTCTCCGGCATTACTACCTGACAAGTAAATTCTAACGAGCAGATCAACTCGTTCCGAATCTCTACCATTTCAACATCCCAGTTCGATTCCGCCAACATGAAGGGCCGCCCAGTCGACCAACTCGTTTACGAGTTCATGTTCCAAAAGCCCCGAACCAGCGACCCCCAGAACTTCCATACTCTCCTTCACCGCAACCTTATCCCGGAGGTCCGCCAAGAAGTCCACTCTTTCTATGGACATCTTGACACTCAGGAAGCCAAATATCCTGGCTTAGACTATACTCATCGTATCCACCGCATACGGCTTAGCCGCTGGCAGTGGCATCGTCGTCTATTCCGAGCGTTTGACGCTCTGCGCCTGACCGATTCTGAAATCGCAAGCCTAACAAAATGGGAAGGTACAAAGTGGGCGAAGGAACGCTTCGAGCGTGATTCCGGAATCGTCATCAAAGATACTGCGTTTGACGATATTGCGGAGTGGGTTGAGCCTGAAGACAGGCCACAAACTGCACGCGCAACGCAGACCACGACCTTGCCGCAGGTCGCAGCGACGCCAGACGAGGACATGGATGGCGAACAGGAAGAAGACGAAGACGAAGACGAAGACGAAGAGGACAGCGATGGTGAACTTACAAGCGTCGGAATCCCTCTGAACGAGCAACTCCGCGAAAGAGCAGCACGTCACGAGGCCGGCGATACCTCGTTGCCTCTAGACGAGGAGTGGGAACAGTGGCTGAAGAATGCAATCGAGGCCGGCGAGTTTCCCTTCCTCACAGAGCAGATCGTGCGGGAATCCAATATGGCCCTCATCCCGCAGGCACTCTTTCCACCGGGTACGCTAAGTGCAGCACGAGCTGGTCGTTGGCAGGAGATCCCGGACTTCCTCCATTCGGTTCTCCGATATGCCTTAGACAATGAAACACCGAACCGAGACAGTACCTCAGCTTCTGGTGAGCGTTCTTCTGTACGTTCCTTGCAAGGCTACCTCTCCGGCAATAGACGGAACTTGCGCCGCAACTATTCAGATCTACGGCTCCCGGCTAGCGAAGCCAGTGTCGCCACCTCGGAAGTTCGTCTGCAGCGAACAGCCCAGTCAGGCACCCAGACCTATATTACTCTTCCTTAAGGAGTCATCGCCGAGGCCATAGCACCGGTATCCGAGGTGGTAACGGTGGAAAGAAGTACAAAATTATTCGATACCCTTCAACTAGATTCTTTCAACTTTTAATGTGCCCTTAATACGTGGGCACTGGCAATTTTGATACGGCACGCGGCGCTTTGTCGACGGCCTAGATGGTCGTCACTTGCTTTTAGGACCACTTAATAAAAGTGCATACCAAACAACGAAGATTTTCCTGAGCATATTGATGAGATTTGGGATTAGCTGTGGCTTAAGACGGCTGAAAAGAGACGTATGGAAAAGGAGGCGGATGCTCTAGGATTGCGTACCGACCGAGCAATAGAAATTGGTCGCCCTTAACAGCAAAACTCTCGAGGTCACGAACGAAGGCCTAGCATAGGCACCCTACCATACAGTCCACTCCTAATACTCCTGATAAACGGAGCGGAAAGTCTTGAGTGCCAGTGGTCTTTCTTCCAGCCTACTTCTAAACTCGGTGGTAAATATCTGAGGACTTGGTCCGATTGTAACTAGAAGAATTATGGCATCAATTTTCCAGTTTCTACCCCAAGCATCCTACCACTTCAAGATATCTATGTGTCAATAAATACCAGCCGTCCGAAGGGGCGCGTCAGGGCAGATAACAGCAGGTGTCATTGGTTCACTTATTATATAGGGGTGACTCATACGGGGAGTTGCGGATTGCATTCGCAGATTTGATTTTATTAACAGGGAGGCTAGGTCTGGATCTGGTTTGCTGCGATGGGTTATTTATTCATCTACATAGTCGATCAAGGTCGAGCGAGTAGTTGGCCTTGCTGATATCTGCTTATAGCTAGGTTAAAAGAAAATGATTTCACTCTTAAAGAGATTGTTGCGATGCTGTGATGGGAACGTGCTATTGAATACGGATTTCGAATCTGCGTAGTATCGAGAAGCGTGGTACACAGCCATTGCAAGTAAAATACAACAAAAATAAAAACCGCAAAGATTAGCACAGGCCATTTGGCTCCTATTAGGTATTACTTGAGCTCCATATCGTATCACGCATACACGCACCGAATAAGAAAAAGCAAAGCAAAATAGAATGCTAACAAGAGTCACATTTTTGATCATCCTGATTTCACGCATCGTAGTGTCATATTGTCATAGTGGCATTCCGCATGAACCGAATAACACGCTCCAAAAATACAAGACTCGTCCTCCCTAACCGACCAAAAACCACCTCCTCCTCACACAAAAACCATATCCTACAACTTACCCGCCGTCCCCTCCCACTTCCCATCTCGACCCAATTTGCGTTATATCTCATACTCATACTCCCGCACCCCTCGCAAAATCATCAAGCTCTTCCTTCAAAGAGTCCTTAATAATTTTCGTCGAGGGACAAGGATAACCAGGGAATGAAAAGACGGGCAAAAGAGAAACGCACGCGCCGGCTAACGTCTTGTTTTCGGCTTGCGTGCTGCTAGCCGTGTCTCTACAAACTTGCTAAAGGTTTCGCCGGGACGTATATGTATACGTCAGCTGGGAAGAGCGGAGACGGGTTCGGGTGCCGGTGACCGGACGCGTGGGGTTCTGAGGCGAGATCATGGAGGCTCGTAAGACTTGCTCGAATAGTTCGACGGTTGACGGGCGGTCAAAAGGTTGTACTATATGGGCATCGCGGTCTTCCGTCTTAACTACCGGCTGGGCTGGCAGCTCCGGGGCGCTATCCATAACAGCACCGGCCTTAGAGGTACCGTCATAACCCAAGGTCTCTTCTTTCTTAGGGCGGATAGCAATGCTCAGAGCCGGCTCGGTTTCTCTAGCCTGCCTTTTCCTACTAGCGGCGCGTCTAGTCAACACGCCCTTCTCCAAAAATTCGGGGACGACCTCGAAATCCTTCTTCATCTGTGCCCTAGCCAGCGCTCTACCGCGGTTATCTAAGAGCCGCAGGTGTTCCGTGAACGATCTTTCCATGTTACTAACCTATGGTTCGAGGTGCGACCACTCGGGGATGGCTTTTATCTGGGCCCACATGTACTTTTCAAGCTTGTTGGCAGACTTGGCGTATGGCGTTGACTCGTTGTTGTACTTGCGGCAGTTGTCGAAGATGAGCTTGGCATCCTTGACGAACTCTTCCGGAGTACTGTACTGGTCCGCTTCTAGTTTGGTCTCCATTGTGCTGAGATCCATCGGCTCCTTGATCACGTCGTAGTAGTCTGCAACGTCATCTTTATTGACAGGGTTTAAGAACGGCCACGCCGACTGATGGTTTTGTAGGTCGTTGAGCAGATGGAGAAGTTGGTTATAGTTGGGGCCGTGACGTGGCTGTCGCGCCAGCTCGTCCATGTCAGGAGACCATCCTGAAGCTCGTATTGCCTCGATCGAGAGGGGGTCGATGGGGGTGACGCCGTTCTTCCACTGCTTAGGTGGCTGATGGATCATATGCGACTTGGAATAAGCACGGATCTTAGCCAGAACGCATTCTTTCTGTTTAAGTAACATGCGACCCATCTCGAGGTACCGGACGCGCGGGAGCATAGAACACTGCATTATTGTACCGCCTTCATAGTCCTTGATGTAGCCCATCCACACAGATCTCGGCAGTGTGATTTCTTTAGTAAATCCTTGCTTCTTGAAGTAGCCTATGGCATAATTATCTGCATAAGTGAGGAAGTGCATTACATCGCTAGTCGCCTTGACGTAGTCTTTCAGATGTGACATTAGATGAGCACCGTAACCCTTGACCTGCTGGTCGCTACTAATAGCGCAGAAAACGATTTCTGCAAACTGACGGCCCTTGAAGGGCCTGTATGTGATTCCGCCAACAACTTCTAGAGGCTTTTTCACGATAGCAATGGAGAGATGGGTTCGGTCGTATACAAGGCGCGCGATGTAGTCTTTGGGCATTTTAGGTAGTTGCTTCTGGAATATACATTTCAGACCAGTGAGGATGATAAGGGATTCGCGCTCGTTATCGTTGTTGACTACGCGGAATTCAATCTCGCCATTTCGTTCTTCGATGACGGCGGGCTGAGACATGGTATTAGTACTTTGTGTTTTCTACATATGGGGTATGGTCGCGCTGGGAACCCTTGCGCAGAGGTGATGAGAAAGGGAAGCAAGGAATGTCTATCTCGGTACTGCTTATCTCTTATGGAGGCCAGCAGATGGTTGGCAGCATGCGAACCACTACGGCGCCGAGGCAGGTATAAGATGAATGCTTACCTTCTCTGGGAAAGGTATCGGCTTAACAATAGGCTTCTTCTCTGGTTCCGTAGAGTCGTCGTGCTTCGCCCTCTTGGCGGCGATGGGTGACGTTGGCTCGTCACTGGCCTTGCGCTTAACATCTGTCGCGAAAGAGCCAAGTTAAAAACAGTAGCACGTTTATATCGGTGATAGGAAACTCACGCTCTTCCTTAACCATCGTAGCTATAGTGACAGCCAAGTAAAAAATGATGTAATAAGGGTAGAAGTACGAGTACGAAATGCGCTCGAGTCGCACGTCGTAGGTTGTAGTTGATAAGCGTATGGGGAAGCGTCGGCAATCTGACGCGGAGGCGTTTGCTGGACGACGACGCAGAAGTGGAATACCTAAAAAGTATGGATCCAGTACTAAAAAAAGGACTGGGGAAAGATCGCGCAGTAGGCTGGTAGGTAGGTGACTAAGTATTCTTATTGGCTGTCAATTAGAGAAAGAAGAGCTGGGGAGGCAGTAAGGTTTACACTAAGCCATAAAGAGACAGGCCACCTGTTTGTTGCAAAAAGATGGGTCCATAGCTCTTGCATTCACCCAATTCACCCAATTCACCCAATAGAAGTCTAATGGGAAGACTACAAGGGGAGCTTTGCTGCTTCCAAATTTGATCACGTTAAATCTAAATCTAAATCTAAATCTAAATCTAAATCTGAATCTAAATCCAAATCACACATCTTATACTTATAAACTTCTACTAAGGCATAACGTCGTGAAGTAGTTAGCATCATTTTCATTTCTCTGTTGTTTTCTACTTGGAAGTATTACCAACCAATTCAGCCCGCAACACCCGATTTCGTGAAGAAAATTATTGCAGGGCCTCGTCGTCACTCTTCATGGATTCTTCACTGCATGAGATCTGGCAAACTGCTCCAGGCAGTCCATTTCTTCCTACAGTTGGAAAAGGTAGTCAGTTTCTAGTAGGATTTGTCCTACTCCTCCTCGGTCTTACTCTGACTGGCGCATTCGCATTGAGTGAGTACTACAATTATTACTATGGTCACCAATTGATCTAGATTTACGAAGAACTAATTTATTGCTCTAGACCGATCTCTCGTCAACCTCCCCCTCTACGGACTCCCAGCCTCGCTGGCTGTTGCGTACGTTCCTTCCTACAATTCACGTCGCTATATATCTCTAGGTCCCCTAACATGTTTGTAGATTTGGCACGGTGTACATGTTCTGTGCGGTTGGAGTTTACGTCTAGAAGATACCCCGAGAAGGGCATCGCAGGCCCAGGAGAGCGCCGGTCTGTACCATAGATGAATTGAGGTTTACGAAAGTATTCTTTGGGCTACAAACACCTTATATGAACGTGATCGGCAACTATTGCAACTATTGCTGCTAGCGAAGTTGTTACTATCTTCTAAGATAATATCGAAAAAGTCTCGACTTAAGGAAAACCATATCCTCCAATATGGCCTCGTCCGTTGGATCTGCTCCTCCGCAACTACCCCTATTTCGAGCAGTGGCCAGTTCCACGAGGCAAATATATCAACTGTTAAAATGCATCAGCTTCACAGCCAAGGTACAGGTGGAAATAACTCAGGAGGGCATCCGCTTTGCCGCAGACCATTCGCACGTGATGCAAGGTAAGCGGCCAACATGGTATATGTCGAAAAAGGTCTAACGGTATCTCCAGGCGTAGCGTTTTTAGATAAAGCTCTCTTTACGTCTTATACCTTGAACTTGCCAGATGAAGGAAGCGATCCACCAAAATTTCAAATGAATTTAGTCGCTTTGCTGGAAGCCTTACAGATCTTCGGGGCTACGGACGTAGCAGCCCGAGCGGCCAAAGCGGAATCGGAAGCTTATCGTAGCAACCTACGTAACTACCGGCCAGACGCCTTTAATCACCAGACACTAGGTATGCCGGGAACATGTTGTATCATGTACGAAGAAGACGGATCTCCGCTAAGCATCATCCTGGAGGAAACTGGAGTCAAGACTCAGTGTAATATGGTCACCTACACCCCTGAATCACATGATAATATCCCTTTCGATCGGGAGGATATAGCCTTCAAGATTATCATGCAAGCTCGATGGCTCCTCGATGCTCTTTCTGAGTTAGCTCCAATGGCTCCAATGCGTATCGCCATTGCTGCTTCACCAAATGCCCCCTATCTAAGCCTGTCAAGCAGCGGGGCCCTTGGCAGTGCCAGCGTTGAGTTCTCAAGCGGCCGTGACCTTCTCGAGACCTTTTCCGTGCATGGCCGTTGGGTACAAAGTTTCAAATTCGACTTTGTCAAGTCGGCAAGCGAGGCTATGCGCATAGCGAACAAGGTCAGTTTCCGCGGGGATGGTCAAGGCGTTCTCAGCTTGCAGTTTATGGTCGAGGTTGAAGGCGGTTCGGTCAGCTTCCTTGACTTCCGGTTCGTTCCTTATGTTACGCAAGAAGACGAGGAAACCGGGAGCGAGGAGGAAGACAATCAATAACCCGCTCTCGTCTAGCGAGACGCCCGCCGAGCTTATATATGCGGTTTCCGATGTTATGGTTGCTTGTTAGTCAGTAGTCTAAACTATCCGGCTGCTTTCAAGTTTCATATCTGTCTCTCTAATACAACTAGATTGCCATTTAAACGAAACCAGCGAATACAGTATCCGTAATTTGGACTTGCTTAGTTCACAGCTAAAATTGACCATTCATTTCGGCATCGTTTCCTCCATACATGACTTAACAAACTTGTGCTAGAGTCCAGGATAAAGACCCGATGAGTTGCATCTATATAAATAACGTAACTATGTTCTCATCCATGCTTCTTCATCAGGGTGTTTAAAATAGTTATACATTGGCCATGTACTTATACTATGACTTTGCTCCTCTTATTTTATATTGGGCGGTATACTGACTCCGGTTGTCTCTCACGCCATTGCCGCGTGACGGGTATTTAAGTGTAAGCTACCTAAGATGGTTTACACGTCCACAAGACGTTAACGAATTCATCATCATCATATGACTCTTTTCTATCGAAACATGGTGGACACACATATAGTTTACTGCTTCCCTAGATAACCGTTTTGGAAGAACGAATACACTAACCGAGCATGTTGGCAGGTGTCTGAATATGCGTGCTGGAACATGACTGGTTCGTCTTTTATAGTTTAAGAAAACGGGGTATGCCAAATATTAAATGAAAGCCGAGTGAACACACTTTTCACCTAAAGTGATATATAACCATCGTTTCACCAGCATCTCCACGTCGTCCAGTTACTACATAACGTATATGGCGCCACGATTCGGCCACATCTTCTAGAGCCATGGTGAAACTCTTGGTATATAGAAGCCATCCTCCCCTAGCAGTGACAGGCAATATATATATATATACTTCATGTCATTCTAGCTCGTGAGGGCGGGGTTACTAGACCAGAATATAAGAAATCATGACACCAATTATTTAAAATAGTTACGTTGAAAAGCAAGGCTACCTACGTATATCGAGCGGGACTGGCATCTCCCTATCCTTTAATACCAGCTATATCCCAGCTCTTACCGGTGTCTCGGCTGCCGGATGTTCGTCCTGCTGCGTCTCAATTCCAGCAGGATGGCAACACCGATCGAGTCCATCGAATAGGAACCAGCACCACTAGCTACGGGCCTACGGGCCTACGGCCTTATGAGAGACTTTGGTTACATCACTTAGCAATAGTGTAAGGTTCTCGTATATCATGCTATTTATAATTAACGGCGACTAGAGGTGCCACCAGGTCTTTAGTGTTTCTCTCCACGAAGCAGCCTCTGGTGACACGCTCTAATGTCTCAGCCCGGAGCATCAAGTTATGTCCCACGTCACAATTCTAGACCGCCCCAAGAGTAAACTCGTATGTTTCTTGCACAATGACCTACGCAATGTAGATGAATGGCCGTATCGTGTCTCCACGATTCCTTATACGTTCACAAACATGTGGGAAAGAAGATTGTGGCGATCGGTTGCTATGACCCAAACAGGTATGTAGAATTATTGGATTTGTTTAGAGGATCGTGGCCGATGTTTCAATTTAAAGCCTACCTAGTGCTGGCATTATTGATATATCGCAACCATCTCTTGACAGCAAGGCCCGTCGGGATGGCTGCATATATCTTTGGGGCAAGTCCCCGAGAGTTTCGGTACATAAATGTCATGCCCCAACCCGTGTCCCGTTAGTCTTCTGCTTCTCAGCATCCCCATTCCATTTCGTCGTCATTCTATAACCTTATACGGATATTTGTTGGCCCTACCGTCAAGAGTAAGGGTCTTTCTTATGGCAACTTGAGAAGATCGGGTTATTGTAAAAGTATATCACCACGCAGATAGGCAGACCGGCATCTCCTACATATATACATTCGGGTTATCATGAGCAGCCCCAGCGATACGACAAAAGAACGCAGCAGCAGCTTCTCTGGCAGAATTGTCTACTCAAGCACTAGGGATCACTTGTCTACACCTGGTGGGCAGCAAAACGAGCCTGCGGAGCAGAAGGCCACTACTTCCAGCACACCCGTCGAACCTCCACCTCAGCCGCCGTACACACCACAGCATGCTAAGGACTCGTTCCTAAAGACGGCTACACCTCGACAGATGAAGAAGGCCAACGAAATCCTATAGATCTCGTCTCGCGCTAGTTATATCACATTACCCTACCTGCCTTGTCCATACACTCCTTACCTACCACCGCCTCTCAACTTCACCGCGCTATGCCGAATCACCATCTCAATTGTTTTTTCCAACCCGGACTCCGTCGGCGCTACGAGCGAGTGAGTGAGTGAGTGCTGCGGCTCATCGGCAGGACCACGTGCGTGCGTGTGTTGCTTTCGCGACACCGCCGTATGGCGCGAGTCTAAGCGCGAGCCGCGAGACTCTCGTCGCTCCGGTGCGGCCGGGCACTATAGATACCTACCTACCTACCTACCCAACGTACGTACGTAAAAGACACGCACTGAGGCGGCACATTCCATCCCATCCCATCCCATTCCGAGAAAGCCGGACGCTGACGTCGGCAGCTTTCTCTTCCCACTCGTGACGACGATTTCGCCTAGGTATTTGGGATTTTCTATCTGTTTTTTTCAAGTGGCTTGCTTAGGTACCTGCATAACTACCTACCTACATAACATATACACATACATACATACATACGTACATGCAATCTTTACCTACTCTCCTGGCCAAATATGCGATAGCTGGCTGATCACGAGCCAGGCGGGACGGGGCGCGGTCTCACTCTCGATCGAAGCATTGAAATTTTCCAACACGGGGGATCGATCACTTTGGAAGGTTTTTCTTCTTTCATTTCAGAATTTTTCTTCTTCTTCTTCTTCTTCCTCCTCCTCATCGCGAGCTATGGAACAAAGAGGATGGGACGGGGGCTTCTTCTTCTTCTTCGTCTTCTTAATCCAGCCAGGGCAGGTAGAAGATGGCGAGTGAATATAGATAGGACCTACTGCTTTGAGCCCGTCTTCGATCCTAAACGTCGAGTTTGTATGACGATCTTGAAACCTCGCCGCAGGAAATGCTCACGCCCCGTTTTCATTGGATTTTTCTTTTTTTCCTTTTTCCTTGTTCTCGGGTTAATTGGGCAAAGGCTGGCGTGGATATGATAGGACGGGGTGTCTGGGTTTGGCTTGGCAGGATTTGTTTTGCTGCAGGGGTGATTTCGTGTAGATGGAGGGGGGGGGGGAGAGAGATACCTACATACTATGTAGCAGTGTCGAGAGCAAAATCTGATATCCTAGCAGGACTGGATAGACGCGGACAACTCTAAAATAACTCTATTCAAACGTTAGTATGGATCCGTAGATTGCTGCCAGTCCAATTAGGCAGGTATGTGTGCTTGTGCATATGTATTGGAGACTTGCGTGATCCTTTGGAACTACGATTTGACGAACTGTTGAACATCTCATACCTTGGAACCTTGGAACCTTGGAATCAACGTGGCTTCCCTGCCTTATCCAGGGGTTTTGCAGCTTGCCATCTTGGTAGCGAAATGCAGGACCTGTCTCATCTTCGCGTGGTTTCTTCATATCTTATGAGGCTAAGCCCATAAATAAGTAAAGTCCCCCTTGCATCGTCTACTGTAGCATGTTTTGGGAGAAGCTTCACGATCGTAAATGCATACATATCTTACTACATATATTACACACCTTACCTTGCCTCACCTTACATACATACTATGTAAGTCGTCAGCCTGCAAAGCACAGTGCGGGGGGGCCGGGGGGCATACCTTGGTTACTAACTTATGGTAACTATAGGTAGTATGTGATCTTGTAAGCTCCATCTGATTGATGCAAGTGATGCGGTATTTGTCGGCAGATCGTGTTTATTAACAAGAAACCCACCCATCCATCCGCTCATCGACAAAAGTACCTAACACACCACGATGTTTTCCCGACTTACTATTAACTGATAAGGGGGTGGCTCCCGAAAGGTGACTTTAATCGTCAAAAAGTCCTTCTTTCGAGCCTCAACGTCCCACGTAGTAGAAGGATTTAAACTAATATAGCTACCTACGGTCAACAGCCAGATCTGCACTAGTTCCAAATCAGACAGGATGCTCGTCCTCGTTCTAGACACGCTCTAAATATATTTGTATTATCGACGAGACTAGCCATGAACTAGACTTTTTGAGGCTGGGACGATACCTCTTGGGGCTTTTAGAATTTTAAGCTATACATATGATATACACATACATGTCTTCCTTCGTACGGATGTTCGATTCACATATCTTGAGGTTCGGATGGGTTGACCACCGTGGCCGTACGGGGTAAGGAGGATTAATGTACATATTGTGACCCCAGATCGTCGATTAATTGATTGATTGATTGATTGATTGATTGATCCATCCTCAGATGGCGGAAAATTAAGACCGCCAGAAAAGCCTTCCGAACCTCAGCACTGCAGGCGAACCGTTTCGTTTCAGGTATCTGGGATCGGTCAGACTGGGGGTCAAATGCAACCCATCTCGCGCCGCACAGGCGAGAAATCGAACAGGAAGTTACCGCGAGGACGGATGGCAAACACGTAAGCCCCCTTGTGTCCTGTGTCCTGTGTCCGGGCGATATTAGAGCAGGCGTCTCGCAAACGCAGGAACATGGCGTCAACATGCGTAGGTACTACATTGCACAAGGGATTTTGGTGGGAGCTGTTGGTCGGAAGATAGAGCTACCAATTACAATTAATACCATAGGTATGCCAGCTGGCTATGTACCTAACTAGGTAGTTAACCTAGTTATCTTATGTTACATTAATCTATCACGATCACAGGGCTGAGATTGTACATAGGGCTAATGTTGATTATTGCTTATTTCGTCCCGAGTATATTGGTTCGAAGAGTCTAAGGGATTACCATGTTGGGGAGGTTGAGATGAATATCGATTTACTTGGTAGATCTACTGATCTAGTTGATTTTCGGATGACGTCAAAAAACACATAAGCATCGTCAATGAAGTCGTAGCTCAGTAGAAGTAGTGTTCTTTGAAACGATATAGTTATTGGATAATTTAGCTAGATATGTTTATATTGCCTTCAGGGTCGATGCTGATGTTATGATACAAGGACTTTCCAGCAATTTAAGTATTATATGATCGTTGTAGATGTATCCTTGAAGTTGTGCTTAAGGTTGACAACATCTAACAGCCTCTATCATGGTAGCTCCTAGGGTTTGTATCTCAAGGCTCAAGGCTAAAGCTCCTGCT